GTAGATTATCTAACTCTTCAATTTGTCCTGGGGGCCTATAAATCACACCTACACGAGTTACTGTGTGATTACCAAATTCTAACGTAGCCCAAGCGGACTCTATGTTTGCCTCACTAACTTTTATTAGGCTAGATTTTATGCTATCCTTCACATACAAGGCCACCCCTCCCCCTTTCTTGCCTTCCCTATCTTTCCTATATAAAGAGTACCCTGGTATTGTTATGTCCCAGTCATTTTTCTCATTGTACCATGTCTCATTAACAGCGACTAAATCTACACTATCAGTTGCCATTATTGCCACAAGTTCATGGATCTTATTCCCTAAACTGCGAGCATTTGTAGACATGACTCTAAGCTTATCATTTTTTAACACACTTGCTACAGGCACCTTCTGTCCTTCTTGTTTGTGTTACAGAGTAAGTGTTGGGGATGAGTGTGACAGGATTGGATGGGACAAGGTGGGTGTGCATCGTTGAGGGGTGTTTTACAGGGTTGGGGTGAATGTGGCATGGTTGGATGAAGGAGTGTGACAATAACTGGTGAGTGTGACAGAATTAAGGTGGGGTCAATGTGACAGGGTGAATGTGGCATGGTTGAGGAAGGTGAGTATCATAGGGCTGGGGTGAGTGAGACAGGATTAAGAGGGGTTAGTGGGGCTGAGTGTGACAGGATTAGAGGCATTAATGTGACAGAGTGTGGCATGGTTGGGAGGCGAGTGTGACAGGGTTGGGGGTGAGTGAGTGTGGCATGTTTGGTTTAAATGTTTTTTTTTTATTTCGTACATAAGAAAGGCAGAAAGATAGCAAAATTGCTAAAGCAGTTTCACGTGTGCCTGCGCAGAGACTAATGAAATCAACAGAAAGCAATGTTATACATTCAAGTAAAAATAGATAAGTATGCATAACTAAACTGGATTTTTTCTAATAATCATTTGCTGCATTAGGCAGGCCTTGTATTCAGGTTCAGAGGGTCAAAGAAACATTTTGGTTGAACTGAAATGGTGTATGGCCTAAGTAGGCGATAAGTGAAAATGTATAGTAATAAGTAGCTTATATTTAAAGGAAGAGCACGTTATGTAAGCAACAATGTTTATGCCTAACAGAAGAAAGTCAAACAACAATGTAACGCATTCTGACTGTATTCCAATGCGGGGGTCTAAATAAGCATATTGGTTGCCGCATATTAAGAGTGAGTCAAAGGGGGTGATATGTGGGAAAGTATATCATTCGGTGATATTTGTGGGGTGTGGCATGTTTGTAGGACGGGATTGGAGGGGTTGTGAAGTGGTCTGGGTGACTATAGTGTCCCTTTAAATGTGAAAAGGTGAGTGTGGCAGAACGAGGGTAGATGAGTTTGGTTGGAGGGCAGATGAGTAACAGGATTAGGAGGATCAAGAGTGAGGGTAGTGGGGAATACAGTGTGTGAGAGGGGATCACAGCATGAGAGGGAATGACAGTGCATGAGAGGGTCTGACATTGGATCAGAGGGGGGGACAGTGTGTGGAGGGTGACAGTTGGTCAGGTGGGTGACAGCAGTAGGGGGTGTGATAGTAAGTGGGGTCGGTTACTGTGCTTCAGTGACCAGCCTCCCCACACTGAATGGCTTCAAATACTCTTTTGGTGATGAATTCCCTGGTGGTCCGGTGGGCTAGCTCCCTCTGATGGTCTGGTGTACAAGCGGTGGAATAGCAATCTGGTCTGCAGCTCCGCCGTGTGCAGTACTGCAGACCATGTGGTAAGTGTCTCGTGAGTTCCAGTCACAGCGTTGCCTTAGTAACCCGCAGCAACACTCTAACTGGCTGAGATCGTGAGATACAACCTTAACAGTCTGCAACTCTGCACCCCGCGGAGCTGCAGACTGGAGGTGCTGGCTCTCTCTCAGGGCAAACTGAGCGGATGGGCCTCGCACGCGGCGGCACATAGGGCAAGCTGCCGGGCCACCTCCTGGTGTTGGGCCCTCGGTCATGGACCGAGGACCCGACAGGTCAACTTGTCCTAAGGCAATTTTGGCAGCCGCAAGGCCCCAGACAGTGCAAGGCCTTAGGTGGCTGTGTAGGGGGTTTGAAAACTAATCTCTCTGTTTCATTAACTCCTTAAGGACGGGTGACAGACGAGGTCCGTCACAGAGGGGAGACCCTTAATGACGAGTGACGGACCTCGTCCGTCATGCGGTAAAATTAACCCCGGATCACCGGCGATCGTGGGGTTAATGGTGCTCCGGTATGCCTCTGCATTAGAGGCATACCAGGAGCACCCGGTCAGGCTGCCCAGCAGATGTGCTCACTCTGACCGCAAGTCAGAGCGAGCACATGTGCTCTGTATACTTACCTTCCGCCTCCCTGCACTTCCTGGTTCTGTGTGAAGTGCAGGGAGCCGGAACAGGGATCCTTCCCCCTGCTGTAAAAAAAAATAAAGTTTAATTAAAGTCCCACCCCCCCCTTTACCCATTTTAATAAAAAATTAACCCCTTCCCTGCCAATTGATCACTGACAACAGTGATCAATTGGCAGGGATTACATTTTACTATGATCTGATTTTTTTTTTTTTAAGGGGTTCAATTTATTTAATTAATTAATTTAAATATTTTATAACTATATATTTTGCTAGCTGGGGTGGGTGTGAGTTATGGGAAAATTGGGAATTTACTGTTAGTGCTGCTTACTGCTAGTTAGGGGTTAACGGTAAAAAAAAAAAAGCTTAGAAAAATGACAAATCTGTAAAAAAGTTTTAAGAAAGTTTAGGAAAGTTTAAAAAAAATTAATAAGCAAACGCTCATTACCACTACACCTGGAACAAACTAGAGAAAAAATTATCCCACGCCAATGTTCAAAATATGCCTTTTGAATTACCCCAGGGTGTATTCTTTAATAAATAGTATGTGTTTGTGGGGAAGTTTCAATAACCAACCGTCTAAAACTACTCCAAATTGGAACATGGACACAGCGTAAAACTTCAAAGTTAGAAAAAAACTGAATGGCTGCGTCTCAAATGCGCCCCTTCAACATCCACATATACCTGGCAAAGGTACATACGGGGGTATTGCTGTACTCAGCTGACATAGCTGAGCAACATATGAAGTATTATACAGTCGTAGCACACATAAGGTTTGCAAAATATACTGTGCAAACTCACTTTGTATGTCAAAAAGGCAGAAAAAAACGCTTATTACCACTACATCTGGTACAAGCTAGCGGAAAAATGATCCCACGCTAAGGTTCAAAATATACCTTTTGAAACACCCTGGGGTGTCTACTTTAAGAAATGGTAGGCCTTTGTGGGGTAGTTTGAATTTAAAACCTGCGAAGATGCTTGGAAATTGCACATAGGCCCAGCGTCAAAATTAAAAGTTTGGTAAAAACGGATATGGCTTGGTCTCCTATATGGCACTGTAGCTTCACGAAATAGTGCCAAAGACATTCATTGGGGGTGTCTTTTTACTCAGAAGACTTAGCTGAGCATAATTTGGGAGGTTTGAACTTAGTGGCACATATGAAATATACAAAACGCAGAGCGAAAATGCAATCCGTATGTAAAACATGCACAAAATTATTTTTTACCACATACTTTGGCATATATTGGTGAAAAAAATGGGGGCATGTTAAGGCACAATATGCACCTTATGAGATACCCTGGAGTGTCTACTTTTACAAATGGTAGGCCTTTGTGGGGGTTTTTGAACAGTCAAACTGTTATAATACCCCAAATTGAAAATAAGGCTCATTAAATCCATCTCTCAAAATTCTACTGTGAATACTGAAAAGGACAGGTATCCTGTATGGCACTGTAGCTTCACGAAATAGTGTCAAAGACATACAATGAGGGTGTCATTTTACTCAGCAGATGTAACTGAACACAAAATAAATCTTTGTACAGGAATAGCACACAACAACTTTACAAAATATACATGAGAATTTCTTTGTTATAAGTTTGTGTGCCAAAAACCAAAAAAAACCCTCAATTTTACTCCAATATTTAGCAGAGATTGGCGGTGAAATGGCTACGTAGAAAGTGTCAAAACAACCTTAGGTAAATAGCCTGTGATGTCTACTTTATATAAATATATACTTTTGTGTGGCAATTTTGTTTTCTTTTATGGCTATTAAGCTTACAAGACAAACATACCAAATTCTAAAATCGCTATTTTACTCCTTGTACTTTGTGACCTGTAACTACCAAAAAAAAACTTAAAATCCCAGACACGTTATATATTCTGTAAATCAGAACAACTAAATGAATTTATTTTTAATTACTTTTCTTAACCTGCACTAATTATGCACACATTATTATTGCAAAAACTGTAAAAAAAAAAACCACAAAATTTTCATTTTTGTAAAATGTTTCTGTATTTTTTTACAATAAATAAGCATTTATATATATGTGTGTTACATCAAATTAAAGCCCCTTTTGTCCTTTAAAAAACGATGTATAATATGTGTTGGTAAAACAAATTAGTAAAATGCAAATTGCAGTTGAACGCAAACAGCAAAAAATGAAAAAAATGCTGTTGTCATTAAGTGAAAGACAAGCTTTTGAAGCTCTGTCCTTAAGGGGTTAAGGATTTTACCTTTTCATGAAAGTAGGAAGGTGTATTGTTAGTGTAGCCTTGAAGTGGCAGGTGAGCTTACATTTAACGGCCATTGGAGTGACCCTAAAAAAGAGTTAATGTGCATAGGGATTTGGGATAGTGCACAGGTAATTTTGTTGTTGTTTATTTTGCTTTTGTTCTATATATGTGTGTGTGCTCTTCATGCTTTTATTGTGTGTTTTTTTTTTTATCAGTATAACTTGTCTCCTGCGAACCAACCCTGACATTATGTGCAGGGATGTATATGTACCTGTGTGTATATATGTGTCTATGTCAGGGATGCTGTCCTCATACTGCTGGCCCACCCTTGGTGCTGTGTACAAGATGCTATGTGTGTAACTACAGATGCATATGTTATGATGTCTCCTCCTCCTGCCAGCCCACCCCTGGTGCTGTGTATCATTGCACTGAGCTGTCCTCCTCCTGGTCACATGACTCCTCCTCCTCCTCCAGCATCCCTCATCCTGCAGGACCAAGCAAATTCTCCATCACTAAACCCTCACCCTGAGCATGGCCCGGAACCGCAAGGAGAGGAACAGCTGGGGTGAGTAGGGGGTGAGCAGCACCCATTGAGCTGCACTCACTGCTATAGATCTGAAGGAGAACAGGCAGAAGGCACGGTAGACAGCAGCTCCAGTTCAGGGTGTGTTCCTTACAATGAATTGTGTGATCAGATCTTCTTGCAGTGCTAGCAGGCAGGATTTACTAAATTCAGGGACAGCAACTTGACTAGGTTTGGAGGCTATTGTATTAGAATATATATAATAGATATATATTTATATATAGATACATAGACAGATATAAATATATATAATCTGTCTATGTATCTATCTATCTATATATATATATATATATATATATATATATACACACACACACACACACTATATATAGTGGAGATGCATAATAACTAGGATTGGCCAAATGTTGAGCTAGAATGTAGGAGCTGCTGTAGAACCTCTTTGTCACTGTATCTGAGTCATTGCTGTGCACTAGAAAGACATGACTCACTATAGGGTGCAGCATTGTGAAACACAAGTGTAATTGGCAGATTCATGTTCCAAGATGTTCAGCAGCAGCCATGGTAGTACACAATATAGTGTGTTCCCCACCTTGCCCACCCAACTGTTGAAGAACTACTACAATTCCTGTGATGCTTTGTCAGCTAAGGATTCATTGGGCCTCCGATGGACCTGCCAAGGATGCAAACATCACAGAAGCCATATACACCCCTTTACAAGGCAGACCCCTCAATGCAGATTTTTATTGGATTGTAAGGTGTGAATCTTACAATCTTCCTAAAACTCTGCGACTTACCATGGACAGCACCTGATCATGGTAAATTAGAGGGGGACACATGGGGACACACCTCATGTCGCTGTCCATTTTGTCAGCGGGCAATTTTTCCCTCTCCCTTCTAAGTCAGGGAATAAGAGTGGATAGATTAGAGAGACTATTTAATGTGGTGGTAATTAACCTTTATCACTCCAGCTGTGCACAAATGCATTTTCCATCCATTTTCATCCATAACCAGACAGCATTAAAAAGCATTTCAGCAATCCATTTTTAGTTCACGCTCACCACAAAGGGCCATCTTAGATTTGCCACACCCAGGGGTAGGTAACGCCAGCAGCTGCAATTCTTATAGTTTTCACAAGGTCTCCCGCACACACATTTTAAAATGTTGTCTGGCTGAGGCTCATGGGAGTGACAGTCTGCAGCAGTTGGAAGTTTAGAGGTCCACTGCCACACCTGTTTAAAAAATCTCTTTGTCTGTAGTAGTCTCTGGGAAGTGTGAGGGCTTCTCATTGGTGCTTATAACCAGATTGAATCTTTCATCAGTATATGGTATAACAAAATATTTTTCATATTCTTCAATGTGCACAAGTTTTCAAGTGTTCTGCTACTGGGCATTATAAGAGATGATATATTTCAAATAAAAACAATACGTGAACAATTACATATTCACATTTTCTGCGCATTCCCATGTTTTGCCACTTCTGCAGTGAGCTCCAATATGATTCTCATATTTCTATAGCACAGCTGAGCTTACCCCATAAACGTACCCCTTTATTGGTGTAGTAACTGGTCCTGGGAGTTGTAGTTCTACTGTTAGCTTTCTAATGTAGAATGCAAACTGCTGGACTTCAATTGCAAGAATTTTGAATTATGATTAGACATCATGTTTTTCAAAGACCCCAGAAGGTGTCATCCCCTCTCTATGTGCAATGGCCCAGGAGCAAAAGTGAAGGAAAATATAAATTTCTGAAGCTCGCAGATCCACCATCTTCCTTCTTCAGCTCCTGTGCTCCAGAGAAGTTCAGAGAAGAGCTACTAAACTGGTTCATGGATTGCAGGATAAAACTTACCAGGAAAGGTTAAAGGATCTTAACATGTATAGCTTGGAGGAAAGACGAGACAGGGGGGATATGATAGAAACATTTAAATACCTAAAGGGAATCAACACAGTAAAGTAGGAGACTATATTTAAAATAATAAAAACTACCACAACAAGACGACATAGTCTTAGATTAGAGAGGCAAATGTTTAAAAATAATATCAGGAAGTATTACTTTAATGAGAGGTTAGTGGATGCATGGAATAGCCTTCCAGCTGAAGTGGTAGAGGTTAACACAGTGAAGGAGTTTAAGTATGCGTGGGATAGGCATAAGGCTATCCTAGCTATAAGATAAGGCCAGGGAAAGTATTTTTGAAAATTGAGCAGACTAGATGGGCCAAATAGTTTTTATCTCATAGTTGCCAACTGTCCTGTTTTTGCCGGGACAGTCCTGGCAAGCTGGAGTCTGTCCCGGGCAATTTACTCTTCCGGGACAGTTCAGGCAACTTGCTGGCCCTCTGTTTTTTTTTATGTATTTACAGTCCGAGGGAATTCAGGAGAGAGGTACACACTGCTGGGAGATGCTATAGAGAGGTGCTGGGGGCCGGAGGGAGCACTGACAGTCTCCCTTCCGATTTCCAAGCAGCTTCCCCTGCACAAAGGTCGAGGTGGAGCAGGCTCTGCTCCCACGATGCAAACTCCATCCACGCATGCAAGCCCTGCCTATTGCCCCCAAGCTCCGCCCCACCATTAAACAGCAGACCTTGCTGCAGTTGGAAGAGGCCAGAAAATGACTATCTGACCTCCCAGCAAAAACTTCCAGTCAGTGCAAGGTAAGCTTGATATACTCAGGTGTCTGTGTGTGTGTGTGTGTCAGTGAGCTTGTCTGTAGTGAGAGTGTGTGTGTATGTGTGTTAGCAAGCTTATCTGTCGTGAGCTTGTGTGTGTGTGTGTCAGGGAGCTTGTGTGTGTGTGTCAGTGCCCAGGCTGACAGAGGAGACCTGCTTTCTTGCTGTGGGCCCTCTTGGGCTGGTGAGATCAAAGATCTCCCTCACTGGTCCAAAGGCCCTTCGTTAGTGACAGGGAGGGCTGGAGGACCTGGGAGGCAGAGCGCTCCTCCCGCGAGCATGCTGTGCGGAGTGTTACCGCGTGTTACCATGGCAATGCTCCGACACAGCATTCTTCACGTGGGAGGAGTGAAGACAGCCTGCAGCCAGAGGAGCTACAGGCTATAGAAAATTCACCACCACTGAACCACCATGGCACAGCCCCCCTCACACAAACAGCACCTCTGACACACATACACAGCACCCCTCACACACATTCAGCACCCCTCACACACTGCACCCTTAACGCTCACACACTGCACCTGTCACACACAGCACCCCTAACACACACACAGCACTCCTGACACAAAGCACCCCTCACACACACACAGCACCCCTCACACATACACAGCACCCCTCACACACACAGCACCTCTTACACACATACACAGCACCCCTCACATACACACATCCCCCCCTTACACACACTCCGTACCCTTCACACATACACACAGCACCCCTGACACACCCACAGCACCTCTGACACACCCACAGCACCCCTGACACACAGCGCCCCTACACACACACATCACCCCTCACACACACTCAGCACCCCTCACACACACTCAGCACCCCTCACACAATGCACCCTTCACACACACACACATCACCCCTCACACACACAGATCACCCCTCACACTCACACACATCACCCCTCACACACACTCAGCACCCCTCACACAAAGCACCCCTCACACACATAGCACACATCACTCAATGCACCTATCACACACACACACACACTGCACCCCTCACACACACTCTGCACCCCTCACACAAACACATACACTGCACCCCTCACTGCAGTCTGTGTGTATTCAGCAGTCTCTGTGTGTGTATTCAGCAGTCTGTATGTATTCAGCAGTCTGTGTGTGTATATAGCAGTCTGTGTGTATAAAGCAGCCTGTGTGTATTCAATCTGTGTGCATTCAGCAGTTTCTCTGTGTGTATTCAGCAGTCTATGTGTGTGTGTGTTCAGCAATCTGCTTGTGTGTATTCAGCATTCTGTATGTATTCAGCAGTCTCTGTGTGTGTGTGTGTGTGTGAGGGGTGCTTTGCCTGTGTGCATTCAGCAGTATGTATATATTCAACATTCTGTGTGTATTCAGCAGTCTGTGTGTGTGTTTTCAGCTGTCTCTGTGTGTATCTTGTGTGTATTCATTGTACTGTGTGTACTCCGCAGTCTGTTTGTATGTACTTAGCAGTCTCTGTATGTGTATTCAGCAGTCTGTGTGTGTGTGTATTCAGCAGTCTCTGTGTGTGTTTGTTGTGTGTGTGTATTCAGTGTACTGTGTGTATGTACTCTGCAGTCTGCCTGTGTGTACACAGCAGTCTGTCTGTGTGTACTCAGCAGTGTGTGTGTGTTTTCAGCAGTCTCTCTGTGTGTATTAGGCAGTCTCTCTGTGTATTTAGCACTCTCTCTCTCTCTGTGTATTCAGCTGTCTGTGTGTGTGTTTTTTGTGTGAGTATTCAGTGTATTGTGTGTATGTACTCAGCAGTTTGTCTGTGTGTACTCAGCAGTCTGTGTGTGTACTTAGCAGTCTGTGTGCGTGTATTCAGCAGCCGGTGTGTGTGTTCAGCAGTCTGTGTGAATGTATTGTATATATGTATTGCATTTGTTGAAGGTACCAATAAACATAAGCTTAATTTTTATCGATAATTTAAATTTGTATTCTTGTGAGTTGTTGTGTAGCAAGGGCCCCAGTACACTGCTTTGCCCAAGGGCCCATAATTCTGTTAAGATGGCACTGCTTGTGTATGTCAGTGGACTTGTCTGTAGTGAGCTTGTGTGTGTCAGTAAGCTTGTCTGTAGCAAGCCTTGTGTGTCAGTGAGCTTGTAGTTAGTGAGCTATTGTGTGTCAGTGAGCTTCTATTTAGTCAGCCTGTGTGTGTCAGTGAGCTTGTCTGTGGTAAGCTTGTGTGTGTCTCTGAGCTTGTCTGTATTGAGCCTTGTGTGTCTATACAAATGAGTTTTCCTGTAGTAAGCTTGTGTGTGAGTCAGAGTTTTGCCTGTCATTGAGCTTATTTGTGTGTATCAGTGAGTTTGTGTTTTGTGTCAGTGAACTTGTCTGTCTTTGAGCCTGTGTACTAGTGAGCTTGTGTGCTTACCATATACCTGTATACTGTATCAGTAAAGGGAGGATTGCAGGGAATTGAGATGGGAATTTCAAACTTTAGGACGAAATAGTGTAGCTGAATGGGAGAATTCTTCCAACTCGGCTACTTTGGCCTTAAGGTTAAAATTACCATCTCAATTCCTTGTAATTCTCTCTTTATTGAGTAGACAGTGTAATCTGCACTAGGAATTATGTGGGTTGGACATAGTGGGCGGAGGTTTGAGGCAGTGGGTGTGGTACATTTTCAAGGTACGATAGTAATTGATAGCTGGCTGCAAAGTGTCCCTGGAAATGTTGGCAACTATGTAAATATCTGCCGTCAAATTCTATGTTTCTATGTTTCATCTGCAAGTTGCCCGCATTACTGATCTACCATATGGGGTATTACAGCATGGAGGACTATGGGTGGTCACACAAGGCCACGAACATATTCATTTGCCACCTCCCTTGACCAACCAGAAGATTCCTGTTTCTCATAGCCATTGCAAGTAACTGCCTTTGGAATTGGCAAAACTTAAAGACGGAAGCTCTACCATTTGTCAGGTTTTGTCAACTTCGGGTTTGACCATAGGACAAAGTCATCTCTGCTTCGTCTTGTAATGTTTTTTGCTTGCCTAATGTCAATGAAATCCTAATGCAGTAAATATAAGTATTTCATAGAGACTTTATCATTGTGAAGTACTCATAAATGATATTGCCCAGATAGAGCCACTAGAAAAACAGCGATATCTTTGGAACAAAGAGGAAAAATACTGCATATTGAGAGGGTTAAGGACACTGTAACAAGCACTTTTTGCAAACTGAATTACTTGCATACATGTTTGACCTTCCTGGTATAAAACAATTCCATTAAGTGCAGGTAGGCACACAATGCATGTAGTTATGTAGTTTTATAGCGTCTGTTCTCTGCTGCCATATATAGAATATGTTCTTCCTGTTCAAAAAATAAATGAAAGCCAAAGCAATAACACAAATTGCTGGTGCTGAATGTGCCAGGTAACATAGAGCATCACGTTAAAAAATTGGTAGGTGATTTTCAATCGTAGCGCTTCCCCTTTAAATATATTATTTCATTCTTTTAACATTCTGTCTGAAATGTATCTGTAATAGGTTCCATTGGCTCTGCTTGATTACAGGTGGATTTTCAGACAGAGCATATGATTGGAGCTCTGAAGAGGAGGATTATGAGAAGAAAGCCCAGCCGGTACAAATCCTTGTGGTTAAAGATGACCATTCCTTTGAGCTGGATGAAGCGGCGTTAAACCGTATTTTACTATGTGAAGCTGTCAGGGATAAAGAGGTTGTTGCTGTATCTGTCGCTGGTGCATTTCGAAAGGGGAAGTCATTCCTGATGGATTTCATGCTGAGATACATGTACAAAACGGTACATCTTTGGCTATATGCATCTTTTCTTTCCTAAAATCAGAAAAGCAAAGTGAATCAACAATGGTGGTAATTGAATCAGGACCTAGAGATATGTTAATGTAAAAAATAACCTATAAAAATGTTCGACAAATATATGTTTGTTTAAACAATAGTGATGTAGAAAAATGGACGGTATAAATGAAAATAGAAAAATATATACAAAGTAGAGTGCAAAAACATGTTATATTGCAACTGTAGGCACTCACATTTTAAAGGAGCACTATAGGGTCAGGAACACAAACATGTATTCCTGATCATATAGGGTTAAAACCACCATCTAGCCCCCCTGCACCCCTCATGCCTCCATAAATATAGCAAAATCTTACTGTATTCAAGTCTGTAGCTGCTTACTTTGTCCCTGTTTCCTTTAGACCTGCCCACTGCCTGCTGACATCAGAAGAAGTGGTAGCCTGATCCAATCACAATGCTTCCCCATAGGATTGACTGAGACTGACAAAGAGGCAGGTCAGGGGCAGAGCCAGCATGTTTCAAACACAGCCCTGGCCAATCACCATCTCCTCATAGAGATGAATTGAATCAATGAATCTCTAAGAGGAAAGTTCAGTGTCTGCATGCAGAGGGAGGAGACACTGAATGTTTGGATGCATTTTAGGCAGCCATGACCCAGGAAGGAACTCTAACAGCCATCTAAGGAGTGGCCAGTGAAGGTATCACTAGGCTGTAATGTAAACACTGCATTTTCTCTGAAAACACAGTGTTTACAGCAAAAAGCCTGAAGGTATTGATTCTACTCACCAGAACAAATTCAATAAGCTGTAGTTGTTCTGGTGACTATAGTGTCCCTGTAAATAATTTTTAAATATCTCACTTTGGTGCCAGATATAGGATGGCAAATAGCACCTTATTTACAGAAGATAAGTTGATACAGTATGGTCGAGAACCATGATGACAGAACCAAAGTAAGAAGAGGGCCATACTCAAGCAGTCCTACAATTTTGGAGATAAATTACCCACGAAGCAGAGGGAATCATTGGCAGATTTAAGCAAATTATCATGGTTTTGGTATTTTTCCTTCTTGATCTACAGTTTTAGATATCATTAGATTGCTCATTGGGAAGAGTCGTTGTTTTCCGCGCATGAGCCTTTATTCTGGACTCTAAGTCAGTATACAGCAGATCCAGTATAGCCAAAGGTTCCTGCATGCTTTGCCTTTCACATAAGTCACCTTGCTGTTTATACAGCACAGACTCAGACTGCTCCTTTGTATGAGACTGCACAAAAGATGATGAATTAGGTAGGATCCACCCTTACCATTTAAAGGTCTCATGAAAACACACACCTTGCACACCCGCTGTCATTCACACAAACAAATTTTAATTTTCACGTTAGCCACCCAAAAGTCTTGTTTTGTGCTGGCTAATGACACCCCTTAATTTTGATCTTTCCACTGTTTAGTAGAAAACTCCCCTATTTGCTATCTTTATGTGGGATTGCCATTTTTAAAAGGACACTCCACTGCCCAAATACAAAAATAAATAAATTCATGACATATTGGTAGATGTGCATCTTTTCATCAGAGCTAAATCTAAAAACGGCCTGCAAAAACTGCAGTCCTCTTGTCTGTAACCTTTTGCAAGCCCTCCCCTTTTAACCCCGCCCAGACTTTCTGTGGCTGTCCAATCATAGACTCCCAATTCAGCTCACTAAGAAGTCTTTGGAATGCAGGTGCTCTGAGCAATTGCTGGGGTGTAACAAGTTTATTTTATAAAAGTGTAAATTTCAATTAAAATTAAAATTTTGTAAAATGAAAAAGACACAATCTTCACACATAAAGCACTACAGGAACCTAAAGTACTTTAGGGGTCTGGAGTGTCACTTAAAGGATACAAAATAAGGAGGCTATCTTACCTAATTTGGTATCCTTAACTATGTAAATCTCATGTAAGGACACCAATTTATGGAGTTATCTACTACAAAGCTGAAGGATCCAATTTAAGAAAAGCTTTTTTCTTAATTTTTATTTTTCAGTTGTTTAGTGGATATCCCCCTTATTTGCTATCCTTATGTGGAATTGCCATTGTAAAGGAAACCAAATTAGGGAGCTATCTACTAAGCACATACATGTTTTCATGCACACATACAAAAACCAAAATCCCATGGAGAGACACAATTATATTTAAATAAACTATATAAACACTCCCTTAAATGTTAAATATCCAAATATCTATATAATATGGAATGCACATTATAACAACTTCAAACACAAAATATAAACCGACTTAATTATGTAAAAAAACTCTTAGTAACAAAAAAATAAAAATAGACAAAATAACGAAGTAGAGGCAGACAATAATACAATGGTACAATACCAAGAAATCTTACAAGTCACCAAACCCCCCAATGTTTCGGCACCAACTGGTTGCCTTTATCAAGGGTACCCCCAACGTTTCAGCACCAACTGGTTGCCTTTATAAAGGGTATCCTTGATAAAGGCAACCAGTTGGTGCAGAAACGTTGGGGGGTTTGGTGACTTGTGTTTCCGCCTCGTGACTTGTAAGATTTCTTGGTATTGTACCATTGTATTATTTTCTGTCTCTACTTCTATTTTGCCTATTTTGGTTTTTGTTTGTTATTACATAAAAAGTCAGATTATATTTACTGTTTGAAGTTGTTATAGTGTGCGTTCTATATTATATAGATTCATGCACACATACACACACACATAATCACAGACATACACACAAACATCATCACACAAAAAACTCACACACACACAATCTCAGACCCACACACATACAGTCACAGACTTATAAACACACACATCATAGGCACATTCATACACACACATACCACTTAGTAATCCTACCTGACTTTGGGAGTGCTGGAATTGATGCACTCCCTAATCCAGTGGGTTGTGCTGGGATTACTTTGCTCTCCCTACATAGGTCCAATGTGTGCCCTCTTGTGATCCTGATGCCGGGATGACATGATATTCTGACTGCCGGCACACTGCAGGGCGTGCGACGGTGCTGTGCAGGGAGAGCACAGTAAGTACACAGCTCTCTAACCGCCTGTACTTTGTACTTCATCCCACCAACCTCCAATTTTGGCATAGTAGGTGCCTGCTGTGTGGTTAGGCATGAGCCTACTCTGCAAAGTACAGCAAGCAAAGATCCTCCCCACCCCCCCAGCACTGGCATTCTAAGTGGGGGGAGTGGGTGGAATAATCTAGTGACACCATAGGTTGCTTATCTTTTTAACCCTCAACTTAATAATACCAACCATAATAATACCAATAAAACCCAAATGTTTCCTATTGTTAATGCCTCCTCATAGTATACCTAGACTCTTACTGAAATTATCTTTAAATATAATAATCACTCCCAACACCCCGACTGAAAGGCATTGGACTTCCCAGACTGTCCTCCAGGTGTTGGTGCAACAAATCTTTCTTGGTTGCTATGACAAACAAATATTAACTCCATCGAGTATTGGAAATGTATTGGACTTTTTCCTTTTCCCCTCCTTAGGAGGCTCAATTTAAATGGCTTAATCCTGCGGTTTAGATGTAAAGGGGACATTACAGACAACATTGCATCTATTAAGCATCACTCTTTGGACTGCTCAGTTGACACTAGGTCAGAACAAATACTTCCAAGAATGAAATTGTAATTCCATTCCTTATTTAAATTATTAATGTTACCCAAGCCACTGTTTATTTCTTTTGTTTCATTTTATTCTCCTAAATTATATTTATTGGTTTTATATTATACATGTGAAAACTGTAACAAAAATTCAAAAGAAAAAAGATGAGGATGCCTGAGATGGTGTCATTAATTGTGTGGTATTTAATATCTTTAAATGTTTAGTGGGAATATAGGCTTAGTCTTGGATTATTATGATAGGTGCCCATCTTAAAAGTGCAAAATATTTAATAATTTAGTTATGCCCACTGGCACAAAAGCCAACACCACTTGCTTTAAACAAAATACATTTTGCAGCTCCCATAGACAACACTAAATTCACCAGTGCATAACCAGATATTATGGGGCACAATGCATTGCAAACATGAAATCTAATGCGCACCTTTATTGGCAAAATAAAGTCTTTGCAAAGTCTGCGCATTAGATTTGAGTACGATTTTCAGTACTAACAAAAAGGAAAGGATGGTGTAATAAAAACTAACCGTGCATGCGTACTACTCTTTCTTGCTTACCTATTTACTCCTCACTTTACAACCTACTCAGAAAATGACTGCTTGGAGATACAACGGTCATATGACGCCAATTCGCCGGGACAAATTCATTTAGCTGAAATTTGCATTCGCCTTGCTGCGACAGGGATGCGACACTTGGCTTCTGTTTACATTAAAGCTGTACCTTGTACTTCAAAGCAATAGTATCTTCTTGTACAAATGTGCATTACATTCGCCAGCGAAAACATTTTTCAGCTTCCATATTTAAAAATCTGAATGCGCATTAGATTGTATGGTGCATTAGATCCAAATAAATATGATAATACTGTAAATCAGTCAATAGAAGTCACTGATTGGAGGTGAAAATCAATGACATATGGAATCACTGGCATGGGGTGGGTCAGTGATGCATTTCCACGATGAAGCCTGCCTGGAAAAGGGATGGATCCATATTAAAAGGGTGTGTAGGGGGCGGAGTCTGGTAGGCACGCTGAGAGGTCGCACATCACAAGAGCTCCGTGATAATCTGCCCTTATCCAACTGAAATTGCAGTAAATAGCCCCAAACACTGCCTGATCACGAACCCCAGAGACCGATGGCTACCACTGGGGCAACAAGCACCAAAAACATCGACCAAAATCGACGACGGGGATAGACTTGAGGCTTACAAGAGGCCTACTCAGTCGGCACAAGGGAGGCAGCCGATCCTTTGGCTAACTGCAGCCTAACCATCTGGGCCATAGCATTAATTGGTGGCTTATTTGGACTGCCTCCCATCCAATTTACTGTAGTTCTTACTTTCTCACTTTACATTTAAGAAAATAAAATGCTAAGACATACAAATAGCTCGTTTTTTTTACTGGTCTTTGAGTGGAGGTGAGTTAATTTTTTTTGCTGCTGCTGATTTTCTGAAAAAATAAAATAAAAATCAACCTTACATAATCCGTGGTTTTATTCTTTTTAAGATCGACATAGTTATCAAATATTTGGGAATATGCTTCACTGCAATGGTGTCATCTCTATCTCTCCAATTGAATGATACATGTGAATTTGCAGTTCTAATGCAGTCTAAATCCACATACACAAAATTGCTTTTAACAGCTTATTTTTAACAGCTTGTCATGTTTGTAAACAGTAATCAGTGTTAAACCCTTAAGGCCTGAGGTAATTGTCCAACTTCTGAGCCAACATGTAACCTGGAATTCGTGTTATGTGTTTGTTCCAATGTAATTTAAGGCTTTCTCTTTAAGAGCACCTATACACATTACACATTCTGTGCACTCTGGTGGATGTGCGGGGACAGCTCAACCTTCTGCTCTGTTCCAGATGGTTTTTCAGGAGGTTCAAAAGACTAATCAAAAGTACTTTGAGAAAGAAAATAAACCAGATACCGTGCTGACATGGAAATTGCGTCAACAAACCAGAGAATACATGGTTCAATTACTACAGGCATGAGGGGGAGAGGCAATCCACAATCCTAGGGAAATCTCCTCCATCTTTATTGGCCTGTAATAGCTTCCTGCAAGGACACAAGCGACCTTCTCAGGCAATGCTAGAGACACACAAAGTAGTTCTCCCAAAGGGGGTGAGACCATACACCTGTTCACTTATAAATATTGATGCAAAAGTTTTGCAAGTATTTTAATCATGTGATTGAACCTCATCCTGTCCAACTTAGTACATCCAGACCACGTGCTATGTATCCCAGGGAGGGAATCTCTAGGCTTTATTGTTGTCTTCAGATGTGGATAAGGCCTTCTACCAGGTGTACTGGAGCTACTTATATACAACGCTAGATGGCTTTGGCTTTAGTGGGGACTTCTTTAAGGGAGTCAGGGCTCTTGTGCTCCTGCCCAGAAACCAAGGTGGGCAGAGGGGGCTGCTCTCCATATCATTCACCATTCGTAATGGGACTAGGGAATGGTGCCTCTTGTCCCCCCTTTTTGTTTGCACTAGCCATCAAGCACCTGGATATCACTTCCACTTGAAGTCTGTTTTATTTATCTACTAACAGTGATATAGAAAGCTTACTGGATACATGGAACAACCTTCAACTGGAAACAATAAAGGCTAATGGGGATATATTATGCAGCAAGGGATTCATCAGACCAGACAACCTTCTTCCATTTCTCCATGGTCCAGTTCCTACATTGACGTGCCACTGAAGGCGCTTTTGGCGGTAAACAGTGGTCATCATGGGCACTCTGACTGGTCTGCAGCTACGCAACAAACTGTGATGCACTTTGTGTTCTGACACCTTTCTATCAACATTACGTTATTCAGCAATTTGAGCTACAGTAGCCATTCTGTGTGATCAGACCAGATGGGGCGAGCCCGTGCTCCCTACGTGCACTCAGTGAGCCTTGGGCATACATGACCCTGATATCGGTTCACTGGTTGTCCTTCCTTGCACCACTTTTGATATGTATGTACCAACCACTGCATACTGGGAACACCCCACAAGACTTGCTGTTTTGGAGATGCTCTGACCCAATCATCTTGCCATCCCTATTTGGCCCTTGTCAAGGTCAGTCAGATTTTTTTGCTTGCCAATTTTTCCTGCTTCCAATATCTGATATTCAAGAACTGACTGTTCTTGCTATTATCAGATATGAAGTCCCTAATGTGGTACCCTTAATTATGGCAATCTCACTAAGGATGCCAAATTAGGGAGCAATCTGCTAAACAGCTGAAAGGTGAAAATTAGGACAAAGAGCACTTTTCTTAATTTTACTACTTCAGTTGCTTAGCATATAAGCCTCTAATTTGGTGGCCTCATTTATGGAAATACCACATAATAAAAACAAATTAGGACGATATCAATTAAACAGTGGGAGGAGCAAAAATAAAATATGGGGGGAAAAAGCAATTTTCTTAATTTTGCTCTTTCAATTGTTTAGTAGTTAAGTCCCAGATTTGTTTTCCTCATGAAAACAAATTTTGTATATAGCTCTTTTGAATTTTTTAATTTTCAGTTTGTTTCGGAACAAAACACTTTCAAGTTGTTTAACGCTAAATAAGGGTCCCTGGCTACCCAGAGCCCATCCCCTACTGGAGGTATGGCTAAGGCAGAGATTACACACTTCCTTCTAGCCATACAAATTCATACCAGCAATGGGTGCTGTGACAGGCTGGAAGCTGTCACCTGACTCTCTCAGCCAATCAATGCCACCCACTGCTACTCAAGCTAATGCTTCCTCATTAGAGGGGATGGGCTGCTTTTTTAGCACTAAAACATTAAAAACTATTTAACGCTGAAAGGTAGGATAGCACCAGGGAACTTCAGACACTATAACCACTTCAGTTACATGAAGCTGTTACAGTGCCTACAATGTTCCTTAATTGTTGTAAACCTATTGAACCATGCAAAATTAATTGTTAATATCCTCTTATTTTCTGATTTTACAGGAACCTGTTGATTGGCTTGGAGATTATAATGAACCCTTATCAGGCTTCTCGTGGAGAGGTGGCTCAGAAAGAGAAACCACAGGAATTCAGATCTGGAGTGAAATCTTTTTGGTGGAGAAACCCGATGGGGGTCAGGTACTGTCCATTCCTCTATTTCTTTAAGGATACCGTATTATGATATTGAATACATAATATAAACGTGGATAATGTAGAAAATATCTAAGAGATGATCCTGTAATCCTTTTAATTCAGTTCAAGTGCAGTATTAGCTCTTCTCAATATAATTTCTGGCAAGTCTTATGTAAACACATATGTAGTGCTAAAATAATTACACTATTCATACCCTAATAATAAAGCCATGTAAAACTTATTATTGCACTCAATCCACATAAATCACTTAAACTATTCGTTACTGAATGATAAGTCACAGCACAATGAACTCACAGAATTTTTATGTCCATTAATATCCTATGTGGTGAAGCAACTCTGGGATTTAAATTTCTGTAGTAAAATAAAACCACTCTGTATAGTATTAAACTCATAATGAAATCGAGGGTTGAGCGTTCCTGTCTGGTATGTCAGATCCTAAAAAAACAAACACACACTAATGCTGGGACCGGGATCAGTTACCCAGAACCTGTACACCAGTCAGGCTTCCCCAAACGCCGGCCCTCCAGATGTTGCTGAACTACAACTCCCATGATTCTCAGCCTATCTATTTCATTCACAGAATCATGGGAGTTGTAGTTCAGCAACATCTGGAGGGCCGTAGTTTGGGGAAGCCTGATTACACACTCCAGGGGTGTCTCAGGGCCTCAAGTTAATTATAAATTTAAAAAAAGGCACTTTTCCTTGTCAGGAGAATAGGTGCAACCTGGAATTATTGAAAGTATCCTATGTTGTGTGGAACGGAGTAAAGATTCATATAAAAATCAGACTGGAGAGGATCTCCATCAGAATAAATCAAATTCCAAATAATATTACTTACTGTGAGACCTGCCTTATAAGGCTAACCACCAACCTAACCACCAATTTAACCATTCAATGCTGTTGATATACTCCAAAATATATTGCTTACAAAGTCTAGTATTCACTCACCATTGAGAAGGCTAAACAAATCTCTATAAATTAAGTGTTACAATGTTCCTATCCTTATTCCTGTTTGACATTAAAAGTATCAATTTGCCCTTGTGAAAGGATTATGCAATCACATACAAAGGTTATGCAGGCAGTTCCGTCATACCTAATATGTTCCAAAATTCATTATAAAGTGATAGGAGGTTTAGGATAGGCATATGAAGAAGAAGCCTCTCTCCATGTTAATCTAGCTAAATAGGTTAAGGAGGTATACTTCCTAAATGGATAAATTGATGGTTAGGTTGGTGGTTAGCCTTGTAAGGCTAGTCTCACAGTAAGTAATATTAATATGAATTTGATTTATTCTGATGGAGATTCTCTCCAGTCTGATTTATGTATGAATCTTTGCTACGTTTCACACAGCATAGGATACTTTTGATAATTCCAGGTTGCACCTATACTTGTGACATCTTTCTGATGTCAGATCCTAGTTGCGGTACAGTAAAATGAAAGTTCGTACACCGACAAATAACCAGTAAGTCTTTCACTATTAACGGTATTCCCAGTCCAAAATAGGGGTATATGGCACTTTAAGAGGCTTCTTGTCACTTCTCTTCACTTCTTAGGGCAGTGATGACTACCTAAGGCACTGATTTACAAGCAATCACATACCTTCATGAGAAACGTAATCAAAATGCAGTCCATACGTCCATTGCTTGGTGATGTGTATGGTTCTCATATCAGACGGTTTTCAGTTTTTGAAAAGGAACAGAGTTGAAAAATACATAGTAGAGGTGGCTTCTTTAACTAAAATAAAACTTTGATATATATATTGTGTATATTTACAGGAGACCAATTTTCATTCTACTGTGTTTTTTGTCCCCCCATAAACTGGCAATTGTGGAGAGTTTTTGGGTAAACTAACCAAGTTGAAAAAATTGTTGAAGAATTATATTTTAAAATTTGCAGTTCCTTCCTTGTCAGACCTCTACAATTTCTAGTTTATAGAAGAGACCTCACTAAGTGTAAAAGCAGCACTATTCACTACCTGGAGACTTTGCAGAATTTACAAAGACCCCCGACGGTGACATCGCACTGGAGGTCCGGTGACCAAGGGGGCAGGCAAAGGTAAGTTCTACTTACCTGAATCTGTGCCTTGCGGGCTCTGCCATCTCCTTCTGGTAGGTCCTCTTCAATGCCAGGAGCTGACGTCAGTGCTCGCACACATTGCTGTACTCTCGCGCAAGTACAGCATTGAGGTCAGTGGAGGATCCTGCGAGTCACTGGTGGTGGCTGGGGGTATTGAAGCTTCTAAATGGCTGTAGCTCTGCCCAGTGTCTAGAAGTATCAAGCGTAGGAAATATACAGAGACAAAGTAGTCCCTACTTTGTATTAGTATATCTCTTGACTGGGTTAAAATTCCAGCACAGTCAATATAAGTATTTCATAAAGACTCTGTCTTTATGAAATACTCATTTTAAAGGGGGTGACAGAACTGCTTTAAATATTTGATACAATTTTAAATGCCTCCGTCAATTGCAACATTTTTCATGTAACGAAATTCTATGCATTTTTCTATCTGACCTGCAGGTGGCAGTCTTACTAATGGACACCCAGGGGACATTTGATAGTCAATCAACTCTAAGAGACTCGGCTACAGTTTTTGCACTCAGTACTATGATCAGTTCCATACAGGTAGGAGCTCTATACAAAAAGACATCTGTCATTCACTTCCTCACTGATTGCTTGGCTCCATGTAGTTCACATAAAAAGCAAACTGGACAGCAGTTGTGTATCCAATGTCTAGCATATCACCTGCTATGATTCAAGGTTTTACTGGCAATGGTTTTTCATGGTCATTTGTTTTTCTGTCTATTCTATAATAAAGGTATACAATCTGTCCCAGAATGTCCAGGAAGATGACCTGCAGCACTTACAGGTAATTCATGACTTCTTATGAAGAAAAGGATATTTTTTTAGAGATGTAGTAATGCCCAGTGCAGGGTGTGAATGAGGAATACACAAAAAAAAAAAAAGGACTACACACAAAAAACAATAAAATAAAAAATAGAGCTTTAACGGCAGAATAGAGGAGACAACGCTTACTAGAATATACTGCAGGTCAGACAGACCTGACCCTGGCACTGCAGATTTTTAAGGACTGCTTTTTAAAATATGCCTAGGTAGTCTGAACTCTAACAGAACATCATGGAAAAAAAAGTCTACAAATATCTACCATATGAAGGTTAACCAACTTTTTGTAAGATTGCCCATAGCCTCTCCATGCCAGGATTTGACAAATATTTATATTCTTTCCTAGCCAAAAGTATAGTTAGAAAGCTATTTGCTGTTTATAGAACACAGGGAAATTTTAGGTGCCAGTATGATTGATTTAATACGCCTTAACGGCTGTATTTGTCATGCCTGAATCTCGGAGAGTTGGACTCATTTCCACATCTGTCTCCATTAAAGGGCCTGAAGAGGGCTTTCAACTTGCAGCCTGGGGGCAAGTACAAATGAATGGCCTGTTTTGCATGCATAACTCACAGATCCAGATTCCAAAAAATACCTCAGTGGGACAGTTGAGGCCTGGAGAGCTTTGAGATCTTGGACCACATACCCCATACAGTGCTGAGCTAGCAACGGCCCTGTACAATTGATGCCTGTGGCCTCAGTCCTTCAGTATTCTGCTGACAGACATCCCAAAACATTTCTATTTGCTTCTAATCGGAATATGAATGGTTCTGTGAGGCTGCAGCCCACAGCCCATGTATGATAGGAACTTCGGAAGGCAATCTCTCCCCCTGCCAGGCCTTTCCTATAGTTAACCCCTATCACTGCCTGATTGTTTAGAACTAAGTTGGCCAAAAGGTAGGTAAACTGCTGCTATAGAAATACAACCCTTATTATGCTTTGCTAGCAAAACATCTAGCAAAGCATTATGGGATGAGTAGTTCAACAGCATCGTGTGGATTAATCTTTTGGCCATCCCTGATTTAGAATGACCATGAATGCAAGGTTTGTGGGAATTGCAGTCAATATGACTGTCGGGTTGCTCTACCAACGAAGTCACATATGCATATTCCCAGTGTATTGTCTAAAACAAATCATTTTCTTCTTCCATGATATAGCTTTTCACAGAATACGGCAGGCTGGCAATGGAGGAGACCTTCCTTAAACCCTTCCAGGTAATTATTTAATCCTCACACTGCCACATCATTGTTTAATATTCAGCATTGCCTTTAGCAAATTACAACAGGAGAGCAGAATAGGGTAATATTAATGTGATACATTTTAGCCCAAAAAAGATAATTAGATTAAAAAGAAAACGAGTGGAGAAATATAGTCCTTTTTTCTATATGTTTTGTATGATCTGTTTTGACCTAAAATTAGCAATTTCCTTGTCATTCTATCCACTGGATGTTCAAGCTACCTTTCCTGAATGTGTTCTGTATTCATGATGAATGCAGTTTAACATATTAGGATCTGTACATACCAATGATAACCATTAGATGGCAGTATATTCTGTATTTTGTGCTAATTACTAGTTATACGACATTGTTGGGTCACTGGAAAGATGCTCTTGTGCATGTGTGTAGCTGGTACAATTACAATTATTTATGTAGCACCAACATATTCTGCAGCGCTGTACAATAGTTAGACAAAACAAACAATAAATTCTAACTAAACATGTTTTACATATAGGAACAGAAGATAAAGTGGGCTCTGCCCAAACAAGCTTACAGTCTAAGAGTACTATTACTGTTAATTTTTTTTTATTTTTGCAGTGCATATAGATGATACAAGCAGGCGTGAGGTGCCCCGAAAGCAGTCTTCATGCAATCTCCTCGCTAAACATGCGGGACATGGGGATTAATAGGCACATTTTATATTATAGTCAGGCTTAAATAGTCAGCTATTTCAAGAGTAAGTGTTACCGCTATTAAGCTTAATCACTGCACAACTTAGTCTTTTGACGACACAAGAAATGTATGCATGCATGTAAATAGGCTTTGCTAGTTAGGTCGGTAATGCATCAACAGTGATATGTCAGTAAGGTTGCAACGATAGTTATGATGATTACCTAATGCAAACAAACTGGGTTGGTTCTGTCAATTTAGCAGTTACGTTATACATTTCAAGCGGTTAATAGCTTGTTCTGTCAGGCTGTCAAAGTATCCAGTAGCTACAGCTGCAGGAATGTGCCATATAATACATTAGTACAATACTGTATACTGTATAGTCCCCTGGGGTCCCGCAGGATGAAGTCCGTCTCTGGACAGGTCGGCAGGATGATGCTCGTATTTCCGGTATCTTGTCATGGTGTGGTGTGCCGTGTCAGGTTTCCCGATCAGAGTGTGAGGGGTGCGCTGAGTTTTTGTCGAGTCATTCGATGCCTCGTTGGAATGGAGGGGGTTCTAGGTGTAACAGCTCTTGGTTTCGGTGGCATTCTTTTTTTCGCCGTTCTGTGCCGGTAGGATGTTAGTTTGGCTCTCCGCCGCCCTCCCGCCTTTCTGAGCTGCTTCAGGGCTGTTGGTCGCTGCTGTGGGTCGGGCGGCGGGCGGAGGGGTGTGCAGCTTGAGGCAGGTCTCGTTGGTGTCCTCTTCCGCAGCCTGAGCTCCACTCTGAGCCAGAAGTCCGTGAAGATTTGTTCCAGGCTGATCAGTGAGCCCTGCCGTGTTGCATGGCAGCCGTCCGGCCGCGTGGTCTCCGCCATCTTTGGCGGGTCTCTCGGCCCTCCGCTTGATTTCCCCTTTGTTGCTGCCCTGTCTGGGAGGACTCCCAGGGGTGGACCGGGATCTGTTGCGGGAAACCCACTTGTAGCAGTCAGTCCCTGGTTTGCCCCAGACTGGGAGCTCGGCTGCCGCTTCCGTTCAGTGCGCTCCAGGTCTCATGCCCTCGCGGGTATTGCCTACCGTCTGTCGTCCACCCACGGTCCGCCAGTAAGTCATTTGGGGTCATTTGCTGCCGCTTATAGTAGATTGAGGGTGCCTTTAGATCCATTTTTGCACAAATCTGTAGGGAGCTTCAGTCAGGCACATCTTCCCTCCATGACAGTCAGGCCCCGCCCCCATTACTATTAAAGGGACACTATAGTCACCTGAACAACTTTAGCTTAATGAAGCAGTTTTGGTGTATAGAACATGCCCCTGCAGCCTCACTGCTCAATCCTCTGCCATTTAGGAGTTAAATCCCTTTGTTTATGAACCCTAGTCACACCTCCCTGCATGTGACTTGCACAGCCTTCCATAAACACTTCCTGTAAAGAGAGCCCTATTTAGGCTTTCTTTATTGCAAGTTCTGTTTAATTAAGATTTTCTTATCCCCTGCTATGTTAATAGCTTGCTAGACCCTGCAAGAGCCTCCTGTATGTGATTAAAGTTCAATTTAGAGATTGAGATACAATTATTTAAGGTAAATTACATCTGTTTGAAAGTGAAACCAGTTTTTTTTTCATGCAGGCTCTGTCAATCATAGCCAGGGGAGGTGTGGCTAGGGCTGCATAAACAGAAACAAAGTGATTTAACTCCTAAATGGCAGTGAATTGAGCAGTGAAATTGCAGGGGAATGATCTATACACTAAAACGGCTTTATTTAGTTAAAGTAATTTAGGTGACTATAGTGTTCCTTTAATTTTAATAAAATGTGCATTCATTTTTTTTTCTGGTTGTACTAATCCATTCTCAGCAATCATTTTTGGAACGTGATGGGTGGAGGAGCTGGTTCACAGTGTATTACCAAAAATAAGTTAAAAAGTGTCCAGGGAGCATACAGTCACTAAAGACCCTGTGATGCAATTTTTCCTGGTGGTTTAGCAGGCGGAAAGGAATAGGAGAGTATAGTCCTGAATAAACGTATTGTAATGATATTAATACGGCACTATCACACCCTCCCCCACCAACTCCCCTCGACAGTGCCACACGAAAATTGAGTATTTTATAAAAATAGAATGTTTATGAAATACTAATTTTGACTGTGTTGAAATCTCACTGAAATGCCAATCCAGTCAAGAGATATACTGAGACAAAGTAGGGACTCTGTATATTTCCTCCCCTTGACTTTCTACAGTGTCAAGCCCGATAGCTGTCACCAGTGACGGCTGCAGGGAATCAGCTCTGTCTATGGAGAATCCCACAGTCTCATGGCATCCTCCATAGACCTCATTGCTGTACTCTCGTGCATGTGTGAGAAGCGGAAGAGGACCCGTCAGAGGAAGATGGCGGCACACGCGAGGGACAGGTTCAGGTAAGGTGATGTCATTGTCGCTTATTTCCCAGTATTCCTTAAGAAAAAAAGAAGAAAAAGGAGCAGGATGCATTCTCGTCTAATTTAAGCAGGGAATGAATGATAAATCTTCTAATCTTTAATAAAAGCCGTGGAACAAATTTTGTAGTGCTAACCTTCATTCTAACTCTCTTCTGCCATTTCTTTTCTACTCTGTGTTATTTATAAAGTTGATTAGTAGTGGAATTTTTATATAAGCATATGCAGGAATATTGCAGGTTCCAGAAACACATGGGACTTAAGCCCAAATGAAAACCTAATAGCTGTGGGGATGCTGTCCTTTACCTTATCCTTCTCTCTTTTATTCACTGGCTGTGCCGGTGGCAGTTCCTCCGCTGGCTCTACTTATGAACAGCATGCTACCAATGCTCTCTGTACCTGGCTATACCATAAGACAGAGCTCATGATCTCAGCCACCCTCACGAAAGGAGCTGCCCAGTTGAGATGCTCTCAATAGTGTTCATGTCCACTATTGGTACAGTACAATTGTTGCCGTGCCTCTTCCCCTTGAGTGTAGAAATGGGAATCGCTAAACACCTGTGTGTTGTTGTTCCTCCTTTACTGTGTGCCCATTCTTGGTTACCCTAACTACAGTATGCAGATTACAACCAGGACAGAGCCAATTATGTCATCCTTTCTCTACCAAAGCACAGCGCTCACAATTTTAGCCGGCCCGTATCACATTGAGATTTTGGATCTGAGAAAAAATACATATTTCCTTGATTTTGTATTGAATCCGCTTTGTATTGAGTGTCTCGATTAATAGAAATTAGTATTTGTAATGAAAATGATGTTCCATATTCAGGAGCTTCATCTTCTATCTGCATAACCCTACCCAGACATATAGATTTATATTTAATGCGCAATCGCCTATTGTAAAGATTCCTGAGACATCGAAGGGATGTGTGGGGGAAGAGTATGATTTCCACATCCGATAAACTATACATAAAAAACTGAGCTGTCTTTAACACATGCTGAGCTAACCTTTATCGTACCTGGCTTCCTTCCCCTGCTTGGAATGAAAGGGTTAAAGGGTTCTGTTATAGTGTCTACGCAGTGAAGATTGCACGCCATTATAGCAAACCCATACTCTGCATATTTAACTTGCAGACCGGACCCAGAGATAAACAGTTTGAAGATTATTTCACTGTACTGACTCAATTCTCTCAGTAAGAATGATTGTGAAATAGTTGTTCCATAGCCAGGTTTCTGTCACAGATAGAGGAGAGAGGATCCAGCTGTATTGCTCTATCGTTTGCCAAGCACAACAACACTTTATTAACCCCTTAAGGACCAAAATTCTGGAATAAAAGGGAATCATGACATGTCACACATGTCATGTGTCCTTAAGGGCTTAAAGTGGATCTGTTTTTTTCCTTTTTCTTCTTTCTTCCGTTTTATTAATAAAATCGGTCTATTTTTTATTAGTATAAGCTCAATTTGTATCCAGTTTCTTAGGTATCATTTTGTAAATGTAAGGAGGTTTTGACCGTATGGGCTCTACTTCCTGATGACCAATACAAACAGTTACATTCATGGGATTAAGAAAGTACGCCCTCTTTGAATTCTGCGGTTTTACATATCAGGACATAACAATCATGTGCTCCTTAGCAGGTCTTAAAATTAGGTAAATACAACCTCACATGAACAACAACACATGACATATTACACAGTGTCATGATTTATTTAACAAAAATAATGCCATAAATAAGCACAAGTTAGGATTCAATTGCTTGTAGAACCACCTTTAGCAGAAATATCGTGAAGTAATCCTTTTCTGTATGATTTTATCAATCTCTCACATTGTTGTGGAGGACTTTTGGCCCACTCTTCTTTACAACGTTGCTTCAGTTCATTGAGGTTTGCTGGTATTTTATGGCCCACCACAGCATGTCAATCAGGTTGAGGTATGTACTTTGACTGGGTCATTGCAACACGTTGATTCTTTTCTTTTTCAGCCTGTTAAAAATTTGCTGGTGTGCTTGGGATCATTGTCCTGTTGCGTGACCCAATTTCGGCCAAACTTTAGCTGTTGGACAGATGGCCTCACATTTGACTCTAGAATACTTTGATATACAGAATTCCTCTGCCGAAGGTCCATATATACTGCACTGAAACGCGCGTCAGGCTCTTTCCTATGGGTCAATTTTAACTTGCACACACATGGGCTAACCTAACTATAAGATAAGGCTAGGGACTAATGAAAGAATTTAGAAAATTGGGCAGCCTAGATGGGCCGAATGGTTATCTGCCGTCACATTCTATGTTCTATGTTTCCATGGGCACTTCACTGCACTGTGTGATACACATTTTTGTTATGATTTAAATTTTTCCTTTCAATTTTTTTCTTCTATGCCTATTTAGCAAGTTTAACAGGGAGAGAGGCTTTCTTTATTTTACCTTATCCGTCTGTCTACTTTTGATTATTAGGGCTGCCAATCTTTTAGACAGTGACCTTTTTCCCTTTGGCACTTTTTCTGGTGCTTAGCTACTAAGGGGAGATTTACTAACACCCTACGCATTAAAGGGCCAGGACTAATAAAGCCTATATGTATATTGCAGAATTAGGTGTTTAGTAACTTTATCTCCTCACTTATTTAGGCATGGGAGTAGCCTTATAAGGCCAGTTCGGTATTTAATATTATTTTGATTCAGTTTATTTTTGTGTTGATACTTTTTGTTACTTCAGATATTTAGTGGTCTCCCTCTGGTTACATTGTCCCATACCACTGGATGCTTTGGTGCCTACGTCTGTATCTCCAGTCAGCATTATATTCAATTTGTGAATTTTTGCTTATTTCTTTCTGTTGCTAGTATCTAGGGTTAAGCCCTTGGGCATTGCTGAAGTGCCCTCCTGGTGCATGGGATCATTGTGGAGGTGGTGTTTATTCCCTTTTACACTCATTTTCACACTGATCCCATTTCTTTCTATTTTTTTCTGTCTGTTTTTTATTAGTATAAGCTCAATTTGTATCCAGTTTCTTAGGTATCATTTTGTAAATGTAAGGAGGTTTTAACCGTATGGGCTTTACTCCCTGATGACCAATACAAACAGTTACATTCATGGGATTAAGAAAGTACGCCCTCTTTGAATTCTGTGGTTTTACATATCAGGACATAACAATCATGTGCTCCTTAGCAGGTCTTAAAATTAGGTAAATACAACCTCACATGAACAATAACACATGACATATTACACAGTGTCATGATTTATTTAACAAAAATAATGCCATAAATAAGCACACGTTATGATTCAATTGCTTGTAGAACCACCTTTAGCAGAAATATCGTGAAGTAATCCTTTTCTGTATGATTTTATCAATCTCTCACATTGTTACGGAGGACTTTTGGCCCACTCTGCTTTACAACGTTGCTTCAGTTCATTGAGGTTTGCTGGTATTTTATGGTCCCACCACAGCATTTCAATCAGGTTGAGGTATGTACTTTGACTGGGTCATTGCAACACGTTGATTCTTTTCTTTTTCATCCTGTTCAAAATTTGCTGGTGTGCTTGGGATCATTGTCCTGTTGCGTGACCCAATTTCGGCCAAACTTTAGCTGTTGGACAGATGGCCTCACATTTGACTCTAGAATACTTTGATATACAGAATTCCTCTGCCGAAGGTCCATATATACTGCACTGAAACGCGCGTCAGGCTCTTTCCTATGGGTCAATTTTAACTTGCACACACTTCACTGCACTGTGTGATACACGTTTTTGTTATGATTTCAATTTTTCCTTTCAATTTTTTTCTTCTATGCCTATTTAGCAAGTTTAACAGGGAGAGAGGCTTTCTTTATTTTACCTTATCCGTCTGTCTTCTTTTGATTATCAGGACTGCCAATCTTTTAGACAGTGACCTTTTTCCCTTTGGCACTTTTTCTGGTGATTAGGTACTAAGGGGAGATTTACTAACACCCTGTGCATTAAAGGGCCAGGACTCATAAAGCCTATATGTATATTTCAGAATTAGGTGTTTAGTAACTTTATCTCCTCACTTACTGAGGCATGGGAGTAGCCTTATAAGGCTAGTTCGGTATTTATTATTATTTTGATTCAGTTTATTTTTGTGTTGATACTTTCTGTTACTTCAGATCTTTAGTGGTCTCCCTCTGGTTACATTGTCCCATACCACTGGATGCTTTGGCGCCTACGTCTGTATCTCCAGCCAGCATTATATTCAGTATCTAGGGTTAAGCCCTTGGGCATTGCTGGAGTGCCCTCCTAGTGCATGGGATCATGGCCAAACACCTCCACCTTAAAGGATCACTCTAGGCACCCAGACCACTTCAGCTTAATGAAGCTTAATGAAGTGGTCTGGGTGCCTGGTCCTTCTAGGGTTAACCCATTTTTTAATAAACATAGTAGTTTCAGAGAAACTGCTATGTTTATGAATGGGTTAAGCCTTCCCCTGATTTTCACAGTGAGAGCATGTCAGCGTCCATAGGAAAGCATTATGAATGCTTTCCTATGTGACAGGCTGAATGCGCGCGCAGCTCTTGCCGCGCTTGTGCATTCAGCCGACGGGGCGGAACGGAGGAGGAGAGAAGGAGGAGAGCTCTCTGCCCAGCGCTGGAAAAAGGTAAGTTTAACCCCCTTTCCCCTTTCCAGAGCCGGGCACGTAGGGGGACCCTGAGGGTGGGGGCACTATAGTGGTCCTTTAATGTAGTTGTTCTGGGGAGTATAGTCATTCCCTGCAGGCTTTTTGCTGTGAACACTGCCTTTTAAGAGAAAAGACAGTGTTTACATGACAGCCTAGATGGCTACTAGAGGTTCTAGAATTTTCCCTATAGAGATGCACTGATTCAATACATCTTATGAGGAGAAGCCAGGGCGGAGATTGGCTCTGCCCCCAGCCTCCTTGGCTTAGATCATCAAAATTGACTATCTCACACAATCCAGTACTTTCCTATGTGAAGGCATTGTGATTGGCTGAGATTATCAAATCCAAGAGTTTTAGAACGCTCAGAAAAATCACCAGGTTCATTACATTACAGCAAATCTATCTTCAAGCTATTTAGAGACTATTTTTAATGTCTTACGAATTTTCTTGTGGGCTGACTTTCAGACCTTGTTATGTTGTTCTCTGGTGACAAATCACGGTTATCTTGCTGAGATGTCCCATCAGCACCCGGTATCATTGTGTAAACTAGAACTCTAACTCCTGCTTGTGTGTTTAAATATCTGTCAGCAGTTTGCCTTGTTATCTACTCCCCTGCTAAGACCTCTTGCTTATATCTTAATGTAATGCTTTAGACTTGAGAAAGAGAGGGTCTCCCAAAAGCTTGTCATTCCAAAATTCTGTTAGTTCAATAAAAAAGGTATTCCAAGATACTAATTAAGTCTGTTATTTTACATTCTCCCACTAACAAAGATGCATTTTTTTCATGCAAGAGTGAATTGCACAGTGAGTTGAAAACTGGTTTGGAAATAACTGCCCTGTCAAAATTAAATAAATAAATGCAAAATTTCAGCTCAGCAATTTACGAATATATTCTGCGGATCAGTTGGGAATTTGTTGCAGCTCAATATTTTGTGAATAAACTTAAATGTTTCTGCAAACTCGAGCTCTGTTACTTGAATTTTGTAGAATGTAAAATGTATTTGTGCCACATCCGGAATTTTGGAATCATCTGATTTTAGAATGTTTGAATCGGGGGCGTGGCCTGAGCTCTGACCGGGATGGACGCCTGAGCTGTGAGCTCCGTACCGCCAGCAACCTAAATAGCCTGCTAATCAGCAATTATTAGCTCTTATGGGGCGCCACCGACGCACGGATACCCCCCAGACACCGAGGGGCTCCTAAACGGGTCAGCCCCACGGCCCGATGGACGGATTCCTCCAGTCCCAGACTGACGCAAGCGGGGAGGCAAGTGGATCTAATATGGCGCCGACGGCCCTACCCCCCAGGGAACCGCATGGCGCTGCGTTAGAAAGGATAGGTGAAGAACTCCGTACTATGGCTGCAGCCATGGCCACAAAAACGGACCTCCTAGTCCTCACAACCACCATACAGGATGCACTACGTGCCGAAATGGCGGGAATTCGGGCGGAGGTGACGGCACAGACAGGCCGCATCCAGGACTTGGAACGCTCGCACGAAACCCATGCCGCGAGGCAACAAGCAACGGACACGGTCCTTACACGCCAAGGTGAGCTGATCCTACAAATGAGATGGTCAGTCGAGGACCTAGATAACAGGGGGCGCAGATGCAATATCAGGGTCCGCGGGGTCCCCGAAAGTGAAGGAGAAGCAGTAGATGCTGAGGATACTTTACTTGGCCTATTCCGCCTGATACTTGGAGAGGCCGCACCCCACACTCTTAAATTTGAACGAGCTCATAGAGCCCTTCGCACCCGGTCCCTGGACGATGGCCCACGAGACCTGATATGCTGCCTTCACTCCTTTCGGGATAAGGATGCCATCATGAGAGCAGCCCGCTCCCGCCCAACCTGGGATTACAGAGGTGCTGCGGTATCCCTGTATAATGACCTCTCCCCCATTACACTTGAGGCCAGGAGAGCACTGAAGCCAATCACAGCTGCCCTACAGGAAAGGAACATACCTTATAAATGGGGCTTTCCCTTCGCCCTACTAGCCCGCACTCAGAATGGCTGGACATCGGTCCGCTGGCCCGAGGAGATTCCAAGGTTCCTGGAGGAGCTGGACTTACCTCCAATAACGGTTCAGGACTGGATTTTGAGCCCACTGGGAGGGAGACCACGCCAACAACGGGCACCTCGGAGGCGTGGGGACAACCCACTAAGAGGTCCAGCACCCTGCAGACGTAACAACCCGGAGGCGCCGGAGTAACAGGTAGGCCCTCCACCCTCTACTCTCCACCCATGACCAATCCCCTCAGAGGAGCACTTTGCCCTGCGCGGACACTATACTAGGAACTGCAACCCCTCAAACCCAAACCACGGATTGGAAAGCTGCGTAGATGACCCTCCTGCTTTGCCCCCATTCGGGATCCTTCCAACACCAAGAAGATGTAATGGAGGGGTTCTCATTCCCCCTATCCCCACGGAGTTTTGGGTGGGGGTGCCGGGTGATGTTCCTTCTTTTGGCCGGGTGGGAACTGTGGAAGAGGATTACTTGCCATACAAGCTCATAAGATACATATCACCATGGATTTATGTTGGGGAGGGGAGGTTGATGCGGGGAACTTTTTGCATTGCTTGGGGGGGCCCTGCTTTCGACCTTAAGCTGAGAGCCTTCCATCTGTGGCACCGGGGAACTCACCTGCGCATGGTGGAGCACAGGCCGGCGAGACATTGATGCTGCAAACCCGCACCAACTCTCTTGGAGACCTGTGCACTGGACTCACGGTATTGTGCAGTACCCACAGTATACATTGCCGATCACATATCTCACTCAATGACCTCACCTCCTCTACCACGAATGTCTGCTACACATATTGTATCATACATATAACACGTATTGCATATAGCTGTTATATATATATTGGGCTGGCAACTGTATAACACAACTGCTGGATGTACTGACCCCCCCGGGCATACAGACGGGCTAGTTCACGTGTCCGGAATGTGCACACCGGGACTGGGCGGTCTGATGGCTGGAGGGGTCGGCATATCGCGCAGAGGAGGGGCGGAACTCCTAACACAATCAACATTGAGGGGTAGACACCCGGGAGGAAGTAGGGGAAGGGGGGAGGCCCCATCGGGGCAGATAATCAACAGGTCTTCCCTTACTTGTGGGAGGGCAGGGAGGGAAATGTAAGTTTTCCACGGTTGCCGACCACTTACGGGGGACACGTCGGGGCCGGGAGGTCAGGGGTGGAGGGAGACGGGGAGAGATTGAATGTTGATACCAAACGTATAAATCTCAATGCTGTTTTCGCGCTTGCCTAATTTTGCAATGTTAATCTATTCAAGTTATCCTATACCACCTCTGTCAGGTGGCGCCCTACCTATGGTTCATATGGCACTAGGCTATGGTGCTGGTGGGTGGGACAAATGGATACTGTTCTGACACCACACTTATTTTCCATATCCACACCGGTTCGGAGCGGAGCCATTGACTCCCCTTAAGGGTCATGCATTTTCCTGGACGGCGGAGCCCCCAGAGATCCACATCCCGGTCTGGTTACCGGAGTGGCCTTTGGCGACCCCTGCTGTCGCACGACTTCCACCTCCTTAAACTGAGGTGACATCGAGGTGCATTCTCTTTGCTTTCTCCATCCTCCACTAAGGGACACCTCTATCTGGGGACTATCGTACTCTCTCCATTTTTTTACTTTATTCTTTTCTATCCACTATACTTGACACCACTCATACTTTCCTAGTAGTCCATCCTTGGCTCTAACACAGACGTGCAATATAGCCACAACTCGAGCCCTCCTCACACCGGCACCACACTCCGCCGACTGCACAACCTCACGCACCACACGGGAATACGGGGAAGGTAAGAGGGGTAAAATCTACACACGACGCCCCTACTTTAGTGACTTCTCCCCTTGATTGGGAAGGCTCCTACTGGCCCTCCGCTCCCGCAGCTACACAGACCACTAACACCTAGTGACCACACCAACGGGAGGGAGCTAGCCGGGACTATATAGCCACCCTGGGAGGGGGGATCGGGCGCCGGGTTCTCCGCGTGCCTTGAGCCGGGTGCCGGGATGTCCGCACCTTATCACAGTGCCCCGCTGCATGTCCTAACCCTCAACTGTAGAGGACTGAACGTTCCTGAACGCCGCACCCATCTCCTGCGAGAACTACGGAAATCGCAAGTATCTGTAGCTATGCTTCAAGAAACCCACTTCCTAGAGGGATCCGCACCAAAACTACGGAACCGATACTACCCCAACAATTTCTTTAGCAACCACAACACGGCACGTAGAGCTGGTGTTGCCATCGTCCTGTCCGCTAACCTGGACTTCAGGGAACTGGACAGGATGATTGACACACAGGGGAGGTTTATCTTCCTAAAAGGCACCATTGCTGACAAACTCTACACATTGGTGTCGATCTATCTGCCCAACACAAACCAGGCAAGATTCCTTAGGGGAACATTGAATAAGCTACGAGGATTCTCGGAAGGGGCGCTTATTATAGGAGGCGACTTTAACACCCCACTAGACCCCCAGAAGGATACGTCGACAGGCAGTAGCTGTCTACCACATTCTAGTATTCACTCGATCCGCAAATCAATGAGCGAGATGGGTCTAGTGGACTGCTGGAGAGCGCTCAACCCGGATTCCAAGAATTACACCCACTATTCGGCACTCCATCAACGCTACTCGCGGATTGACTACATACTGCTCCCACAGGAGGGCCTGTCGTGACTTAGGGCAGCTACTATAGGCCCCGCCACCTGGTCAGACCACGGCCCGATGATGGTTGAACTGGAATCACCGCTATTCAAACCAGCCCGCTGGACCTGGCGACTGAATGAGTCCCTACTCCAAGACCCAGAGGTTCTAGGGGAAGTAATGCAAGCTCTGGAACTATATTTCAGAGAAAATGATGTGGAAGGAACGTCGCCTATATCAATCTGGGAAGCACACAAAAGTGTAATCCGTGGAAATCTCATTAGGATAGCTTCCCGCAAGAGGAAGGCGGCGATGCGGGAAATGGCAGAAGTTTATGAGACCATCGCAAAGCTGGAACTCCAACACAAACGGACTCAACACGCTGACACACAAACAGAACTATTGAATGCCCGACGACGACTCCGAGACCTCATCACGCGAAGGTACTACCGCTCCTTACAATATTCGAAGAATTTCTTCTATATACACGCGAACAAAGGCGGCAAATTCCTGGCACGCCTTCTGAAAGGCGACACACCGCGAACAAGGGTACACAAAATCCGCCTCCCCTCTGGGACCTCAACCTCCTTCCCAGACGATATCGCGAACGAATTTCGCCGATACTACCATGCTTTATACAACCTCCCTGCCCTAGATGGGACAACACCGGGACCTGTTGCCCTCACGCCCATCCAGACCTTCCTACGGGATAATGTTTGCAAACGAGTGAACCCAGACGCGACAACCATGCTAGACGAACTGATCAGCACCGAGGAACTAACCGCAGCCCTGAAGGCAACGAAGGTGGGTAAAGCACCGGGCCCGGACGGATTCCCCACAGGGTACTACAAACATTTCTCCGCACTACTTCTGCCCTGGTTGACGAAGGCATTCAACGCCATCACGGAAGGAGGACGATTTGGCATGGAATCACTAGCAGCTTCAATCGTGGTTTTGCTTAAACCTGGGAAGGAACCCGAGCATGGCGGCAACTACCCACCGATTTCCTTACTGAATGTGGACACGAAACTCCTTACGAAAGTGCTGGCGACCAGGCTACAATGCGCGTTAACGAGTATAATTCACGCAGACCAGACGGGATTTATCCCAGGTCGAGAAGCTCGGGACAGTACACTACGACTTTTCTCCATACAACACCGAGCACGAATTTCACGGGAACCCCTCTTACTGCTCTCTACAGACGCCGAAAAGGCCTTTGATCGGGTCAACTGGTCGTACATGATGCACACGCTAAGGGCCATGGGATTGGGATGTAAGATGATGTCGTGGATATCCGCCTTATACGATAAACCCCACGCGGCGGTCAGGGTGAATGGAGCACTGACCACCAACTTTGAAATTAACAACGGGACCAGACAGGGATGCCCCCTATCCCCTCTTTTGTTTGCCATGACCCTGGAACTGCTCCTACAGGCTATAAGACAGAATCCGGACATTCACGGTTTTATTTGGAAGGGGTCAGAACACAAGGTGGCTGCCTACGCGGACGACCTTCTCTTTTTCATTTCTAACCCACGAATCACAATGCCCTGTCTACTCCTAGAATTTGAACGCTTTGGAAGGATCTCGGGATTCAAGCTTAACCTCACGAAATGTGAGGTTCTTAATGTCACCCTCCCACAGAATGAATATGCTACACTGAGCTCTGCTTTTCCATTCCGCTGGTGCGAGGGGAAAATGAAATACCTAGGCATTTGGATCACCACCGATCCGCGAGACGTTTATCGACACAATTTTACCACCATGTTACAACAAATAACATCAGACCTTGATCGCTGGGCATATCCACACATCACCTGGCACGGACGGATCTCGGTCCTCAAGATGAACGTACTACCACGGATCCTGTATCTATTTCAAACCATCCCAATATCGCTACCGGCAACCTTCTTCTCGACTCTGAAAACGGTGGTCATCCGATATGTCTGGAGAGGGGAGAGATCACGACTACGATATGAAACGCTTTGGAAGGATCTCGGGATTCAAGCTTAACCTCACGAAATGTGAGGTTCTTAATGTCACCCTCCCACAGAATGAATATGCTACACTGAGCTCTGCTTTTCCATTCCGCTGGTGCGAGGGGAAAATGAAATACCTAGGCATTTGGATCACCACCGATCCGCGAGACGTTTATCGACACAATTTTACCACCATGTTACAACAAATAACATCAGACCTTGATCGCTGGGCATATCCACACATCACCTGGCACGGACGGATCTCGGTCCTCAAGATGAACGTACTACCACGGATCCTGTATCTATTTCAAACCATCCCAATATCGCTACCGGCAACCTTCTTCTCGACTCTGAAAACGGTGGTCATCCGATATGTCTGGAGAGGGGAGAGATCACGACTACGATATGAAACGCTGTGCTTACCCAGATACAGGGGTGGCCTGTCACTCACGGATTTTAAAAAGTACCACCAAGCTACCACAATGCAACGTATCCTGGAGTGGCACGCAGCCGAAAACCCGAAACAATGGGTAACCCTGGACAGAGGTGACTCGGGGACCAAACTTAAGGCTGATGTGGCGAGAGGGGACGGGTCGTTGTGGGAAAGAAGAGGACGGGAACCCGCTAGCACAGACATTGAAAATGTGGAAGACAACTAGAAGAATGGCACAGGTCTCCCCAACCCCTAGCCCTATGCTCCCATTTACCCATAACCCCGACATTGGAGGAGGACTCCCATATGGGACCTGGGCGTTTCTGGGGGAAAGGGACTATGTCCCGTTCTGCACAATTCTGGAAGGGGGAACCGTACGGCCCCTGAACTCATTGCTGGCTGACAGACCACAGACGCCCCTACTAACCCTACACTACCTCCAATTGACACACTATTACGACTCCTTACCTCAAAAACAGCTGCTACATAGGGACCTTACGTGGTTCGAGGGCCTCTGCCGTCGAGGCACCAAACTTGAAAAGGCAGTATCTCTCCTTTACCAACATTTGTTGATAGGAGCCTCCTCGGATAATAATACCTTTCAAAGACGGTGGGAAGCACAACTAGAGATACAAATCACACCAACACAATGGGGAACAGCTCTGCTATGGCAACATAAAAGTTTCTCAAGTTCCTACTACCAGTAGGTCAACTATAAATTGATCTCCATGTGGTATAGGACCCCAGTCGTATTACAGAAGATTTTCCCGGAGACATCCCCAACCTACTGGAGATGTCAGGAGGCAAGGGGCACCTTGTTACACCTGTGGTGGGAATGTCGGACTTTCTCGCACTACTGGGATCGCATCCACACAGAGATAATGGCAATCCTGGGGGACGACACAGAATGGTCCCGAGAACTGGCCCTATTACATATCACCTCGCAATCCATCCCTGGATACAAGAGATCGATCCTACGCCATTTACTGAATGCGGCCAAATCCTTGATCCCCGTCTATTGGAAGAGATCAGAAGTCCCCACTGCGGAAGAGTGGCTCCAGAGGGTTGGGGATATACAGGCGGCGGAGGCGCTACGGGCATCCCTGGCGGGGCGTTCAACAAGGCACGCGGAGATGTGGCGACCCTGGTTCTCGTATCAAGCGGGTAGATAGTGGGCCTCCATCACGCACATAAGGAGTGGAGGGCTGGTGGGTGGATCCCAGATCCTTCCTATCACTGGCCATGACCCCCCCATGGGACACCTTGCCCCGGTGGGAGACAAAGCACATGGATTCACACACTCCCTTGTTAACGTAGAACTTTTACAGGACACACACGTGCTGAACGAACTTCAGCACGGCATTACATAGCCATACTCAATAACCACACGGACGGTTAACACGTACCTGGAATCCCAACGTAAATTACGGGACACCGCACACCGACGGGCGACCAGGGAACTGACACAACATACTAGATCAGACCCCTGACATGCCTATAACGGGAGACAGTAACCTGACAGCGGTCTAAACTAAATTACCTTACACACTCAGCACGATCCACCACAAAACGACTAGATAATTCCCGAACACCACATACCGACTACTCACCCACTCCGATGCGAGGAGGAAAAGTGGAACCCAAGGACAGACTCTTCTAGACCTACGAAACCTTTCTCCCCCTTTCATTTCTACTTTCTACTACAATTACCTTCCCCCCCATTTAACCGATCCATGGCATAGGAACACGGGATCCACACTGGATGACTAAATGCGGTGTATACAATCACACAGGAGGTCGCGATAAGAACATGAAGTGTAACCAATGGATACATATAGGGTTCCACCCCGAATCTGACCAGTGGGAAAACTCCCTCATACCATCTAATTACATACCGCATATACACTAGTCATGTCTTATGCTTATCTTATTACGCATTACCTTAAAGCCGCAAATGTTACCTATAGCAATAATTTGTTGGATATTATGGACTGCTGTATAATGCATGATATGTTATGCCACAACGTTTTACATGGAGGCCTGCGAGCCTCATTTTCTATGTCTCCTTTTTTTATTGAACTTTCCTCAATAAAATCAGATTTACAAAAAAAAAAAAAAGAATGTTTGAATCCATCATGTGTCAACTGGTCACAAACTGAAATCAGATATTTCAATAATTTATTATTGCATGCAGCAGATTTCTAGTATTCTGTAACACGGCATAGCATCTATTGGTGCCTTTACCAAGAATTGTATAAAGCAATCAGAGGCTTCCACTATGTGACAATACCTTATTCAAGTCTTGAGTCCCACTATCCATTTTATTCCAGTGATATATTGCTTCTCTGTAATAACAATCAAAATTAAATGTTACAGTTTGATTTTCAGCTCACTACAATTTTGTGTTTAGTGGATACAATCCTCAGTGCAATAGTGCACATTTCAGCTAATTGATGCCTAGGTGGAAGATGTGTGCCACCTTAGATCAAATTGGTTTGTAGATGCATGACAGTGAAGGTCTCTAGCAAATGCATGCATCCCTTAGAACTTTAATATTCAAATATGGAATGCTCTAAATGAGTGGTGCCCAAAAGGTAGATCCCCAGCTGTTGTAGTACTACAACTCCCATATTGCTTTGCATTCCCTTAGAATGGCAAAGCATCATGGAAGCTGTAGTTTTAAAACAGCTGGGGATCTACCGTTTAGGCAAACCTGCTCTAAAGCATTGCTCTTGGAAAAGTTTATATGGGCTGCTGGGTTGAAAGATGCTATTAAGTATGCGTGGGATAGGCATAAGGCTATCCTAGCTATAAGATAAGGCCAGGGACTAATGAAAGTATTTAGAAAATTGGGCAGACTAGATGGGCCGAATGGTTCTTATCTGCCGTCACATTCTATGTTTCTAGTAGAAATGTTAAAATATCAGATCTGTAGGGTTATTCACTAAAGTGAGAATTCAAAGTGAAGTTCAGATTTAAGGCCAAAGTAACTGAACTGGAAGCAGATAATTGTACGGTTCAGCTATTTTGACTTTAGAATTAAAATTCACTTTGAATGCTCACTTGTGAATAACCCTGTCCGATTCTTCCAACAGGCTAAATTGAGCAGTAAACTCACTGGGAGAGAATTGCTGCTGAGTTTATCTGAATCCTGGGAATGTTGGTTGAGAACTGTAGAAGCTGAGCTTGCATCTACGAGGTTACAGTTCTAAGAAAAGTATAAATTTAGGATGGAGGTTGGTCCAGTAAGCCAGTCGTTCATGAGTTTTCTGGGCCAAACCCTGGTGCAGAAACATCTACCTTGGGAGTGCTGGAGAATGTCCGCTGTGCGTTATTTATTTAAACGCTTGGCAAGTGTCCCAGTCTAATTTCTGCAGCAGGGAAGCAGGGCCAAGAAGGAAATAACAATGTCACAAATCTGTTTTATTTATGAAATAGGGATGAGGATGTCTCAGAGATGCTTCATTTTATCTCCCACATGGATTTCATTATGAGTCGATTTGGATTTTTCCCACATTCCTTTCCTGCTTGTGTGAAATCGCCATACAAATGAAGTAAACAGTCAGTCTGTGTGTGCAGATCTGTGCACGTATGTCACTGTGTGAATCTGTGCATGTGTGGCAGTGTGTGAACTGTGTGTGTTTATATCTGTGCATGTGTGTCAATCTGAGTGTGCACGACTGTCTATCTTTTGGAGTGTATCTGTGTGTATGTGTCTGTGCATATCTGTGTGTTTGTGTGTTTCTGAGTGTGGCAATCAATGTGTGACAGATATTGTATGTGAATGTGCTGCTACACACACCAACACTACGCACAAACGCCGCCCCTACATTTAAACGTTACAGAAAAGCACACCCTGCCTCCAGTGTCCCCTATTCATTGCACATTACTTTGAAAAAGTACTTTAAAAATTAAATTATAAATCGCCATTAAATTTACTCATAATCCAATACCAAGGCAGACTCCACACTGCAGCCTGTTTCGGCCTTGTTAAAGGCATCAACATTGATGACTATTGCTCATAAAGAAGCATTGTGGACATACGGCTGATGTGCAGCAATCACGACGATGCACCAATCCATTGTTTTCTCATAGAGGAACATCAACTGCAATGCTAGTCATAGAGAATACCCCTTCTCTTGATGTGACTTCCACAGCCTCAATAATAAAAATGTTTTATATTCAAACTGAATTTACAGTACATTAAGTTTACTGTAGCACTTTTTAAATCCTGCTTTGTTAATTGAACTTTGATCACACACAGAAGGGTGCTGTAGGCTGAAACAGGCAATTTATAGAGCAGGAAATAATAACTTCTAAAGTAAACACACTTTTACTTTAAGGTTAATTTACTTTAAGTTGTAAGTTTAAAAAATGTGACCTCTCTCTTAGGAAGTGTGTAGGAGGCTGTGTGATTCACAGCCAGGGAAAGTGTGGCTAGGGCTGCATAAACAAAGTGATTTAACTCCTAACTGGCAGAGAATTGAGCCGTGAGACTGCAGTGGCATGATCTCTACATCAAAATCACTTTATTAAAGGGACAATCTAAGCATCAGAATAGCTAGAACTTAGTGTAGTGGGTCCACTGCAAAAAGACTGTCTGTTTAGTCCGACACCGGTAAACGCTGCCGTTTGAAAAAAAAGAAAAAAAAAAAAGGCATTGCTTACATTTTTTCCTAAGGCAAACACAAGTGCAAGGGTAGGCAAACTTAATCTACTACATCTCCCATAATGCTCTTACAACCATAATGCTGGCAAAGAATCAGGGGAGATATAGATCACAATACTTAGAGTGCCCAACGTTGCCTACCCCTGCTCTAGTTGCTGTCACACAGAAGGCTCTTCCTGGTGTGGTCCTGCAATCTTGATCTAATAATTCACTATGAGGAAATGCTGATTGGTACAGTGAGGAAATTGCTGAACATGTACCCCTTTGGGGAATCATTAGATTGGCTGATCTAATCTGTAATGATGGTCTCAACCAGGGAAGGAGAAGTGGCCATGGTAAGACTGGTGCACTTATTTTACTTGTTAATGAGGGGAAGGGGAGCAACAGCCTGAATAGAAAAACACTATAGCTTGTTTGTATTAAAGGGATCCTATAGTGACAGGAAAACAAACCCATTTTCCTGGCACTATAGGCTCTTGGAGAGCCTCCCTCCCTCGGGGCCCCCCTTCTTCAGCTCTGAAGGGGTTAAAACACCTTCAACCACTTACCTTAATCAAGCGCCGGGCTGATCTCTACTCCCCCGCCGACGTCCGCTCCGGAGTGGTTGTACTCTTTGTTTTTCTGGACACACTTTGCTTAAAGGACCACTATAGGCATCCAGACCACTTCAGCTCAATGAAGTGGTCTGGGTGCCCGGTCCCTCTAGTTCTAACCCTGCAGCTGAAAACATAGCAGTTTCAGAGAAACTGCTATATTTCACTGAGTGTTAATCTAGCCTCTAGTGGCCTTCTCACTGACATGGATGTCCATAGGAAAGCACTGAGTAATGCTTTCCTATGGGCGTTTTGAATGTGCGTGTGGCTCTTGCTGCGCATGCGCATTCGGCGCTGATGTCGGCAGGAGGAGGAGAGGTCACCATCGCCGAGGATTAAGATAAGTGGGTGAAGGGTTTTTTACCCCTACAGCCCAGCGGGAGGGGGGCCAAGAGGGTGGGGGGTGGAACCTAACAACCCTATAGTGACAGGAAAGCAAGTTTGTTTTCCTGGCACTATAGTGGTCCTTTAATATTGATGGTCAGTATATGAAAAGGGCTGCCCTGCAGTATGTAGAATCGAAGTGGTGAAGAAAGACAATGTATTTTTTAAAGAGAACAAATCTCAAAGGAATTGTCATAAGATAACTGATTTCTGTCTATACATGCTTAATTGTGGTGGTTATAGCAACCTTATTTGGGTCCAAAAGATAGCTGTCTTACTGATGCTCACATATGCCTCCTAATTCCCAGCCATCCAAAGGCAGTCCTCATGTGATGAGTGTGAAATAACAATAAAAAACCTGTTTAAAAGTGCCTTTTCTCTCCGAACTGTATTTTTATCCCCTAGTCGCTGATTTTTCTTGTGCGTGATTGGAGTTTCCCCTATGAGTTCCCTTATGGATCAGATGGTGGATCCAAGTTCCTGGAAAAGCGTCTAAAGGTTTGTAAATCCTAATGTATCACTTTGCAAAGTATAGAAAGCATGCACCAATAATACTTTCTATAAGTAATAGTTCGATCTTTAATACTGAAAAGAATATTCACTAAACTCCAAATTTGTGCACGTTAAATCCAAAATCTAACATTTAGGAAAAATAGCTGGTCTGGAAAAATTCTCCATCTTAACTCTAGTCATAGCTCGGATTTATTATGTTAAAATGCAATGATGAATGATCTATTTGGTCACATGGTCACCTTTGTGTCTGTATGTTTAAAGATGTTTAAATGTGCTTTTACAAAATGGTAACAAAATGGTAACATTTGCAACCTTTTCTATTTATATTTGGGACTATTATTTCAACATCTGCGACTTTTCTTCCAGATTCTGAGTTGTAGTTCTAGAGTTCAAAATATTTCAAAACTGGCACACATACGCACCTATTTTTATTTACAAAAAAAAAAATCTAACATTAATTAGATCACTTTTCTATTTTTCATTCATTGAGTAAGAAAAATATGTAAATCTTGGACAAATTGATTAGTTTGGGTATGAATGACAATTATTTTGATTCGGACAAACCAGTACAAACAAATTTCTTTACAAGTCAACTGTGAAGTCTGTCAAACACACTCATTATATTCTGAAATCTAATTGATGCCAATATTATTTCATGTGTTTGCGGCTAGGTTTAGCAGAGAGCTTTAGGTTCATGGAGAGCTGTTGCTATGCTACATTTTCACACAATGACAGAGCGATAAAGCGATGTAACCTTTCTAGCACACATTAGAAGAGCTGCGTATTAGCTGCAATGCGGTTATTAGCTATGATCCGCGAGATTGCCAATACACCTTTTTATAAAATAATTTAGAAGCCAGGCTATAAAATACAATGAAAGATATTCCGATTTCTTATAATGGAATCTAGCAATGTTTTGGCCTTAGTTTGTTGTCAATTCAAAGGCTTAGTCACTAAATTTGTGCAGATTTTAAGCCAAAATAGTGAAAACTGGAAAAATTCTGCAACTCATCATGTTTTGGCACACAGTTTAAAATTCAAAGGTCAGTTTTCAAAAAAATAATCTTTTGCTGATATCCTTAATCTTTACAGACCTCAGTGCCTCACAATTGAAATGAAAACCTTCAGTATGTCTACTTTAAAGAAATAAAAGACTTGAGACAACAAAAATAGGTGCTATTCTGGGGTATTCTAATGTTTTCCTGGGAATTACTCCTTATTTAGCACATCAATTGAGTAGCATATGATGTGCCACGATACGTATTCCTTTAAAAGGAAACTATAGTTCTGGGAAAACACCCATTCATCCCCGTGTTGCAGAAGGGGTTGAAAACCCCTTTAACACTAACCTGATTCCAGCGCCAAAGTCCCTCTACATCGGTTCAGGCTCCGCCTTTGCTCCTCCTCCGTTGACATACACATGCGAGGCAATCGCCAAGATCGCATGAGGACTTCCCCCATATAAAAACATTGTATAATGCTTTCCTGTGGGTACTTGGGTGATGCTGGATCTCCTCATGCAGAACGTGAAGAAGTCCAGCGTTGTTTAGGAGACCAAAAGTGGCCTAACCACCCGAAAGTCCCTCTAGTTGCTGTCTGGTTGACAGCCATTAGAGGTGGAGTTAACCCTGCAAGGTAATTTTTGCAGTTAATCAAAGACTGAAATAATTACAATTGCAGGGTTAAGGGGCCTGGGATACTGCACCCAGACCACTTAAGCTGAAGTGGTCTTGGTGCCTATATAAATGGTTACTCCATCTGTTTTAATAAACAGAGTTCCGGGCTGCCCAAGTCACACGAGTGAGGTGTAACTAGTTCCCATCACAAAAAGTGACGTTATCTCTATTATGTGGAGCGTGTCAAGCAGAAATGCTGCACGTACCGATTCTTACCAACAATAAGCAGAAGTGGTCATGCTGGGTTGAGTTGCCCTTTAATGGCACTTTTTGTTCTCTTGTAATTGTTGCAGTTTTGTGTCATTTCAGGTCTCTGAAAACCAACATGAGGAGCTGCAGAATGTTCGAAAGCACATCCATTCCTGCTTTACCAACATCTCCTGCTTCCTTCTGCCACATCCAGGACTTACCGTGGCCACCAACCCCAACTTCGATGGGAAATTGAAAGGTTTGTTATTGTATAAGTAAAAACTGTCACTAGCAAAATCTTCTACACACTACCACCATGTGGCATCACATTCCCAGGTTTCTATTAATATCGGCCTTTTTACTTAACCAGAAACTGTGAAGAATTGACAAAGGAAATAATCATACTGAAATAATAACTGAGTTGGTGACGTTTTCTAATTTTGGCCTACAATTTGCAATTCCCTGGTCAATTCTAAAGAATTCCCAATTTAGTTAAAAAAACAAAACTGTCTATAGAATATTTATTCAAGGTCCAATTTGTTCTTTAACTTACAAAGCAACATCTGAATGGCCTTGTATACATAAATAAAATGGCTAAATATCGACAAAGCCCCTAATCAAGGTTTTGGCTGGTATTCATTAACCCTTTCAGTAATGCAGGGATGTCACTGTCTTGTAACACATTGCACATCTTTCTGATAAAGGACTCCATGGCTTATTGAGGTTACACAAGTAGTATAACAATTAATTATGGGTGTAATTTCGACATGCATTTATTGTTTGTGTACAATATATATCAAACTCAAAGACACTTTAAGTAGTATAGCTTCACATTGGTGTCAGGTGTTGTTGGCATAGCAATACTCAGAGGGCACCGTTTGGGATGAATATTTCACTGACCCAGATCTTTCCTCCACCCTCAAAATTATTAGATAAACATCAAATTTTAGATCAGAATTTGTAGTAACCCCTCTCTTCTGCTCTTTAGCCTAATTCACACAATCCCCTAAATTCTAACCCTAATTTTAATCATAATCTACACGTTCAAACCCTTACTCCCATAGCCACTCATAGCCCTGGCTATGGAGTTGAGATGTTCTAATTAATAAAAAAAAAAAAAAAAAAAAAGTGGTGATCTCCACGGCCTGGTTTTATATAGTTCACGAACACCTCTTACAGTCTGTGGCTGACATATTGCATGACGTGTGTGTGTGTCTAATTGTTCTCCTGCTTTATAATGTAGAGATAGATGAAGAATTCATAAGAAACCTCAAAGTGTTTATTCCATGGTTACTGAGTCCTGAGCACCTCGATATTAAAGAAATCAATGGGAACAAAATAACCTGCCGGGGTCTTGTGGAGTATTTTAAGGTATTTTAGTTTTTATGCATTTTTAGATCAAATGGTATAGCGGTTTCTACTGTTTTAACTTGAATAGACAGCATTTTACCTTTATATATCTTCCAACATGACTGATCCATAAACCAGGTTCTGTAAATGTGTGACAGTGAATATGTCCATGAATTAATATAAAGAACAACCATCTTTTTGGAGGTAACAGAACAAACTAATACCTAAAAATAAAATCAAAATAAATAAAATGTATGCTTTTATGAAAATACTTATTTTTCTCTGTTTAAAGGGAAGCTGTATGCACTATAACCATTTCATATCATTGAACTGGTTATAGTGCCTGCAGTCCCCTGGCAGTGTCTCTTCATTCAGTGTTAAACCATTTTCGTGCAGTCTACACTGGATGAGCACCCTGGCTTCTGACCCCTGTTGAAGGTATGGCTTAGGCAGAAATTACACACTTCCTTGTTACCATATTGATTCAAACCTGCACCCACTGTAATAGGCTGAAAGAAGTCACCTGAAACTCTGAGCCAGTGACAGCCGCCCATTGCTGCTCAGGCTGCGCCAGGGGACTCAAAAAACTAAAACCCCTTCACTGAGATGAATCCTTTATAGTGCCTGCAGTGTCCCTTTAATTGTAATTGGAATAAAATGTGATATTGTTATAATTCAGGCCTGCATCCAAGGCAAATGTCAAATGACCCATGAATCTATGCATGCAGTCCATGAACACAGCTGTACATGCAGGAATAATGGGAAAAGGATACCCATGCGCACAAGACACCTTGGGAAGATGATTTCACTCCTCACCCAGATGGTTTGTGCAAAATTGTGCTCACTTTTTTTCCCCTTAGTGCCTCTTGCAGACTCATGCTTAAAAAAGAGGGATAAGCTGTCATTGACAGAATCCAAGCCAACAAAGATGTGCTAATACTTCACCAAAAGATGACCAAGCTACAAGAACTGCATTCCCACTACCAAACTTAGCAACAAGAGACTAGATTCTCTGGAAAATCAAGGTACATGGCACAATATAAAGATCTGAGGTACTTCAGATGGTGGCTGAGGCAATCTGCACCTTTTTAATGAGACTGGTCACCTCAATACTAACCACCCAAGCAAGCCAAAACGCTGACCTTTGATGGTGCATATCGAATAAATCAAATATGGAGTTCATATCTGCCAAAAGGGATGTTATCGTCTGATATCAGTCTATGCTAGACAAAAGTTGCCTGATGTCTTCCCTTCAGGGAAAGACTACATTCACCTTTCAGTCACACAACTTTTCTCTCTATAATGACCTCACCCGCTCCACTCTACAATGGAGCACATCCACAAGCCCAGCAACCCTACAATTATGTAACGCTTCTTTACCCTACCGTTGGTCTGCTTTGAGAGTCTAAAAGAACGGGACAGTTCACAGATTCAATTCCATAGTGGATGTTACCGCGTTCCTCACCACAGTGACCAAAGCTGAGACTCCCCTGACCTCAACTGGGCCTTCCTGCTCCTGGGATCTCCAAAATGGTTCCCTTTGTTCCCAGGTGTGGACAGGATACTGGATAAAGGCTGCAGGCCTTCTTTACATATAACCCTGCATTCTACATGTTCCTCAAAATTGTTATTTTTGCTCTTATTCTTATTTATTTTTTATTGTTCATTTCATGCATCTTCTAGATAATGTCTAGTTACATGTAGCCTATTAAAGGCACAGAGATATAACATCCAATCACTTCTTAATAGAAATCACGTCTAAATGTAAGTCTTATGGTGCGTTAGACTTTGTGAAGGACAAAGCAGGATGTAGTAAGAATTGGCAGCAATGTGGAGACTCCCTGGCTCACACTCGAGGCCAAATATGCTCAATTAGATAGAGGTTAACAGTGATTTCCTTGTGACCATATGTTTATTATCAAGGCCTCGCAATGCGCCGGTTGATGTTGATTAACTTTCCATTGTCCGTCATTTGTGAAGCCAAAGACAGCACTCCTTTGGAACGTATCCCAGAATACACCAGGGAGGCCCATCCTAGATTGCCTCATCTGTATTTTAATTGTAACAACATGCTCTATTTCTTATAGTACATTTGCTGTGTCAGCCACACTCAAGGTGGATTAATTCTGCTGTATTTACTATGCTAAGATAAATACATTTTGGATATCAACAGGGACCTGGACTTTATTTACTCACCAATGAGTGGTGGAGAATTTGCAAATGACATAATTGAAACTGAAACAATTTTTTTCTTGTTGGTCAACTTATCACTTGGGGAAAAAAATGTAAATAAATAATTATATGTATGTTTTATATGTTTGCATACCTATATGTTATATATAATCCTACCAATGTTTGTCAGGACATGCTACAGAGAGGACAGGCTGGAGGGGGTAGTGTACCCTTGTTCCATCTGTCACCTGGAGATTGCACATGCTCAAGTGCTGATCCTGTGTATGAAGGTAACATGAAGATCACAGACTACTAATAAGGGTATATTTTCCTTTCCCAGGCTTACATTAAAATATATCAAGGAGAAGAATTACCGCATCCCAAATCCATGTTGCAGGTAACTGCTTTTAAATCATTTACCTGTTTAGATTAAAATACCTACTTTTATTCAACCTACTGGTTACAGATTCTTTTTGATAACACTTTTACCATAACTGGTGTAGTTAAAGTATACCTTATATTGGTATACCTTATGGAATACTTAAGTATTAGCAATTACTGTAACGGAACCAGTGGAGATTTGTGCCAATTCAGCATGTACAAAGGCTTGAAATGCTTTTCTAACAATTAACCAATACCCAAAATACGATCGTGTGATTGAGTGTGACCACAAATAACTAATGGTTCTTTGTTAATGAATGATATCAATTTACCCACACCTATATCACAAACACGCTTTGGAATGTGTTGGTCATAGAGTAGAGATAATGTACTCAACATAAAACAGCAGAACCAACAACATAACAATTACACATGTGACTAATACCAAACAGATCAACCTGCAATCAAAAAAACCTTATAAATATAGAAAATGTTATGGATCAGTTAGCAATACTAGATTATAATATTCCTCTGCTCCTTAAGTCCTAGCTATTCACCACAATTTTTAAACACACGTTATACTTTTTTGTAATTAAATAATAGTGAAGAGGTTCATATTTTTCCATATTGACACGTGTCAGATGATATTATTAGTAAAGAAAAGAAGACTGTTCGACATTCCATTATTGGAACAGTTCATTTTCAAATCATAGACTCTGTTAATTTACAATGAAGCTCCTTGAAAATTTTAGTTGCATGTACCCTGTCATACTTCAAAACTCTCTGTACTAGAACACCATGTCTGATCTCCTGTTTGCCATCCTTAAAGGCCACGGCAGAAGCCAATAACCTTGCAGCTGTTGCCACAGCAAAAGACTTGTACAATAAGAAGATGGAAGAGGTAACAATACATTTTTTTTTTTAAAATACCGAACAGAAAACTGCTGGATATGTGTGTGTGTGTATGTATATATATATATATAAAAAAAAAATAATAGATGGGACTAATCATTAGGCTGGGAAAACCTTCAGAAAATCAGTGAGTGCTTTAATTTTTAGCTGAACACAGCTGCGCCCATTTCCCAATGAGAGAAACTGAAACATAATTATATATAGCAATAAACACGGCAGAGTATGTGCTGCCAATGAGCTCTTTCTGAGTTCAGCTGACAAGTCCAGAAGGGTTTTCCAGCAGGATGCGGTGTGGATGCAGGACGTAGTATGTTGGCCATTAATTTCCTATTTTGCTCTGGGCAATCTGAGGTCCCACACATGTATTTGCAGACAATAAAAACAAAACTGTAAGACAGAATTTTGTTGGCACTATTATTTCCCCAGATACCTCTTGCCCAGCTTTTGATAACTTATGCATGATAGTCAACATCAATTGAGAAATGACTAGTAGCAAGAAACCTGTGTACAAACACTGTTGTGATTTCTACAAGAATCCTCTAAAACCAGAGGGAACCTGCTATTAAAGAGGACAATTGAATGAGCTGATCCTCCTTTACAAATTGGCTCTCAGGACCCCCTAATAACTTGGGAAGATCCAGTTGGGTGGCCTTACTTTGCCTGAGTCTGAGTGCCCATTCTTCTTCCCACCATCTGAACCAGATGAAGGAGAACTATATAACATACCAGTGGTTAAGCAGTCCTTTGGTCCACATACTAAATAACTAAGGGAACTACATAACAGACCAGTGGTCAAGGAGTCCTTTCGTCCACATACTAAAGAACTAAGGGAGGTCATGAATGAAATAAACACACAAGCTAATAGAATCCATGCTGCTTGTTCCAATGTTTCACTCCAGTCTATGCTTAGAAAATAAAATAAAACATTATTATTTTATAGATCATATAATCTTATTTAATATATTTTGTCGTATCCCAAAACTCAATGTAGGTGTGCGGTGGTGACCGTCCATTCCTGGCCCCCACAGACCTGCAGAGTAAACACCAGGAGCTGAAAGAAAATTCAGTGAAGCTTTTTCGGGGGGTAAAGAAAATGGGTGGAGAGGAATTCAGCCGCCGTTACCTGCAGCAACTGGAGAACGAGATTGATGACCTTTACGTCCAGTATATCAAGCACAATGACAGCAAGAATATTTTCCACGCGGCCCGTACGCCAGCGACACTCTTTGTGGTCATATTCATCACTTACATTTTGGCTGCAGTCACCGGGTTCATCGGCCTAGACATTATTGCCAGTCTGTGCAATATGATAATGGGACTGACTCTTATCACATTGTGTACATGGGCTTATATCAGATACTCTGGGGAATATCGAGAGCTGGGCGCCGTAATAGACCAAGTGGCAGCTGCCTTATGGGACCAAGTAAGTACAGTTTATTAACATGAACACAAAATACAAGCCAGATTAAAGATAAGTTTGACGTACTGGAACAAGAACTGGTAAGGGCTCTGATCAAAGAGGTTCTAGTTTGAAGGGATTGGCGTAAAAATACAAATAAATAAAAGTATATTCTATTCGATATAAACACTGATTACAAGTTGAATTCACACGTGTGTAAAAGCTATTAAAATTTATAACATATTTATAAGATATAGAGCAGGTTAATAAAAAATGAGGAGTTTAGATAGAAGTTATCTGATGTAGTTAAATGTGAAAGTAGGCTCTCACCATAAAAGCACCAAAATTCTGCACATCATAAAAACAGTAAACTCCATTAATTTCACACTTTAGGGCCTTTACAACATTAGTAAGTGGCTGCATGTATATATACACACATAAACATGTCCAGCAGGTACAAGCATGTCTCGCATCTTCACGGTCTATGCATTTCTTATGAATAATACGTTTTCAAGATTTATACTGTGTCCTGCTGCGTTTAGGGTGAGAGCCTCCTATCTTTTCATTTAACTATATGGATTCTTCTTAAAGGGATTAACTATTCCTGGAGGCTTTATACGAAGTGGGAGCATTGTGTGTTTTTCCTACACACTGCTGTTACTATAACCACAAAATTGAGTTCAAGTAAATTGGTGAGCATCCTTTTTCCCTGTCATTTTATATGCTTTCTTAAGGAAGTATGTCTTTAAGGTGACACACCAGTCCCCTAAAGCCTAGTTTCTCACCAAAAGCAGGGTGTACGTCAAGAGCTGTATGGCTGACTGGCCTCCTTAGGGCCCCCAGGACATGTCCAGCAGAATAGGCACCTACTTACCCAGACAGCAAAATTAAGTGTCTGGGGGGGATGGAGGGGGGAGGCTGTAGCTGTGCAGCGAGGGAGCTACAATCTCTGTGCTCTTCCAGCACTGTTCCATTGCAAACCCTGTGGTGATGCTGGGAGCCAGGTTATGACATTCTAGCCTCAGCATCCCTCAACAGCGCGCAAAGGAGCAGAGCAAGAAGCCCATGAAGATGACAGCAGCCATACTATAGACCCTCACAAAGGATCCCCACTGGACGGATCCACTCCAGCACACCCAAACGTAGGAAGGCTTGGTGGACTTAAATAATAATATTTTGGGTGTGTGTGAGAGAATGTGTATGTGTGTGTGTGTCAGTGTCGTCTGTGTGTAACTATTATAGTTGTATTATATTTTCATTTTGTGACTTTTAGACTTCAGCTTAATATTTCATACAATCCTCCTTACATACAAAATATTGACATTATGTCATTTATTTTAAACATAAATCAGGCTTGTACTCCAATATGGGATTAACTTAAAGATCAGTATCTACACGTTTCATTTGGAATTTAAATCAATAGAAATTACTTTCTAGAGGCAGGGATACTTTTCCGTATAAGGTTGAGAAACATTGCAATAAAGCACTTCAGCTTACTGAAGTGGTTTAGAGGTTAACAGCATGTCATGGCAGGCTTAGGTTTGAGAAGTAAAGATTGCAAAAGAAAATGCAAGTTTATAAATCTCCTAACTAACCCCCTTCTCTATAAGCATCTGACAGGCCATACGTCATCACTAGTGATGACTTCAAAGGAAAAGGAGAGGAGCTGCATTGGGGAGACTCTCCCAGCAATTAAATAAAGTTGTGTTCGTACTTGATTGTTACCTTTTTTAAGGGTTGAAATGGGGGTGGGGTAGTAATCTAAAGAGTTTAAAGGGATACTATAAGTGCCAGGAATACAAATCTGTATTCTTGGCACTATAGCTCCCTTAGCCTCCCCCCTCCCTCACATCACCCCACCGATGTGAATAAAGGGTATATTTACTTACCTGCCCCAGCGCTGACGTCCCGTGTGGAGAGCGGAAAGCACTGGATTGGCGGAGATCGTCAAGCGGGCAGGGCCGAACATCCCCCTGGCAAATAGGCATCTCCTCATAGAGATGCATTGAATCAATGCATCTCTATGAGAAAAGTTCAGAGTCTCCATGCAGAGCGTGGAAACTCTGAATTAGTGTGCAGCACTGCCCCAGGAAGCACCTCCAGTGGCCACTTAAGGAGTGGCCACTGGAGGTGTCCCTAGGCTTTAATTTAAACACTGCCTTTTCTATGAAAAGATAGTGTTTACTGCAAAAAGCCTGCAGAGACTGACTATAGTTACCAGTCTGTAGTTGTAATCGATCTGTATTTGTTCTGGTGACTACAGTGTCCCTTTAAGCAAAGACTACGGCACTGACAGTTTTAGTGCATATTTATGCCACGTTTTTCTCCTTTATATTGGAGCTAAATATGTAACCAGATTACGTCTAATAAGGAATTCCCTTTGTAAATAGAAAGGGTGTGGGTAAAAAAGCGCTGCAGACGGCTGTAAAACATTGGTTTGCTTTTTTTTTTAGCAAAACCTATCAAATGCATTTATGTTGTGTTGCTGCCCCAAGTGTGCCAGTTGTGTCCTTTTCGTTACGGTTTGGTACCAGAAAACCTGTCACATGACGGTTACTCCAAAACATCAGTTTTAAGGCATTTTTTTCCAGTCTCCCTCTGACCTTAAACAGTACTAACTGTTGTAGACAATGTTTCCTATGGTGGCCACTGGCCAGTTGTCCATTTGGCCTACTGATAAACCTAGATAATCTTGACTACAACAGATGGGTATTAGGGTTTACCAAAGGGTTAAAGCCATTTTTTTTACTTGGATACATTTGCTTTGCAGAGTAAGAGAATTACAGACTTTAATAAAGGCTGTCACGTCCTCCAACATCTGGTTTTAGATTCAACTCCTTTCTTTGAATAGGCAGTAGCCCTAGGCATTCAGGGGTTACACCCTTTCCAGCCCTGTTTGTCAAGGATTTTAACGCTGCCAGGCATTTATTAGAATAGGTCATAAATATCCTGGTTTAAGTCACAGATCATTTCTCCTATGATCAACTGGCTGGCCCTCATAATCTCATAATTTCCATATTTAAACTCATGTTTATGCTGTGATTCAGTGCTTTATCCTGCATGGCTTCTGCTAAACTATTCCAATTGACCAACACCCTGTCTGTAAAGAAAATAAATTTCTAGGTTAGCCTCTGGCTTTTCGGATTTTGTTTTCAAATTATTTTTATTGAACAATTTTCTTTTTATGAGAAAAGGAACAACAAATAAGAATAATAAAGGGAGATTTAGGATATAAAGCAACCTCTTAGCAACAGAAAGTGTGGATAAACATAAAAAATGCTTTATAAAGAAATCTCTACACCATGTTATATAACAAATCTAATTTTTATAACAGGGGTGACCAAAAAGTAGATGGCCAAGATGTTATAAAAGTATAGCTTCCATGATGTTTGTCATTAAAGGTATGCAAAGCATCAGCGGGTTGTAGTTCTACAACATCTGGGGAACTACCTTTCGGGCACCCCTGGTTTAAAGGGAACACTATAGTATCAGAAATACAAGCATGTATTCCTGACACTATAGTCCTAATGTGACATTGTAGGTGACCGGCCACACTCTTATTGCTCTGAAAAGGTGATTTTACTCTCCTTTTTCTCCCTTGCTGCGGCTGGCCCTGCCTCCGTGGCTGGGATTATCAAGGCTGATGATCTCAGCCAATCCAATGCTTTCCCATATTGCACATGCGCAGCAAAACCTTTTCTATGAAAAGGCAGTGTTTACATTGCGAAGCCTATCGGGACAGGTTACAGACACAAGAATCACTACATTAAGCTGTACCAGTTCTGGTGACTACAGTGTCACTTAATTTTATATATTGTTCAGAAGACTGATTTGCTACAACAACTATGTAAACAGCCATGACACAGATTCAAATGACTTTTTTGATGTTCCACTACTATAGTTTGAAAAACTATAAAAAGAAAGTCAGCTTGTTCCAGTTTGGCTATTTTGGTCTAAAGGTTTATATTTTTGAATGCCTGACAGTTCATACTTGAGTGAATGAAAGCTAAAATTGTAAGCTTGAATAAGGTAATTCACGGTCAACCACAGATTTACTCTTACACTCCCCCAAAAATATAACAGTAGCTGCATGTTTAAAACCAAAAAAATTACAAAAACATGCAGATAAAATTTTTTATAGTCTTCTATCCTCTTAAAAGGTCCCTTAAAACTCTTCAAGCTAACCTTTGAGCTTCCTGGGTAACTGTGATCCTCTAACCCAGTCCTCATTTATCCCCTAACAGTCCAGGATTTAAGGATTACTCAATTGTGCCTAAGGTGTTTTGGGAAAAACAAAACAAAAAACACTTTAGACAACAGGGTAATCCCTAAATCCTGGACTGGGTTGGGAACTCCTGCTCTAACCAATCTCTTACTCTCTCAACTTTAGTAGGGACACACTCCATTTCACTCTTACCAATTCTGCTGCTTTTCCACCCTTCTACTTGTGTTTATAGGTGATACTTTAAAAATTAGAATACCGTGCAAAAGTTAATTTATTTCAGTAATGCAACGTAAAAGGGGAAAATAATATATGAGATAGACGCATTACATGCAAAGCGAGATAGTTCAAGCCGTGATTTGTCATAAGTGCGATGATTATGGCTTACAGCTCATGAAAACCCCAAATCCACAATCTCAGTAAATTAGAATATTACATGCAATCAATAAAACAAGGAGTGTACATAGAACAATATCGGACCTCTGAAAAGTATAAGCAAGCATATGGACTCAGTACTTGGTTTGGGCCCCTTTTGCAGCAATCACTGCCTCAATGCGACGTGGCATGGAAGTTATCAGCCTGTGGCACTGCTGAGGTGTTATGGGAGACCAGGATGCTTCAATAGCGACATCCACAAGAGGCACTTCCGTGAAACAGTGGAGTAAAACTCAACTATTTCTATCAAATGTTCTCATTTAGAGTGATTGGTGCAGCATGGCTGCGTCCTATGGTTAAGCATTGGATTGGCTGAGATCATTGATGTCGATCTCAGTCAAAGTAATGGAGCTGCACAGTGGAGACTAGCACCGCGAGGGAGAAAAGATAAGTAAAAAAAAAAAAAATATATATATATATATATATACATACATACACACACACACACACACCCCTTCTTAATCCTGGCAGAGGAAGCCCAGTGACCTAAACTGTGACTAGGGCACTATATCATTAGGAATACTGACTTGTATTACTAACTCTGTAGTGTAGTGTAATAGTCAGTCTGATTTGCTGTTAAGCTGTAAAACAACAAGTTTAAAAGTCACATTTAACAGGATTTTTTTAAAAACAGGATTTTAAGTGGTTCTGTCAGTTTTCCACCCTCATGAGATGTCGTTTGGAAATGTATTCCCTAGACGCTAGGAGATTGGTAATTCTCTTCATAGTATTACATGATTGGCACATCGATGGTTAAAGAATGTTCTTAGTTCGGTTAATTTATATAAATCAAATAACTTTTTTCTCTTTTTAGAAACAGTTAAAATCTCTGTCCTCCCCCTGCCCCCTCATCCTCCCTTTCGTTTAAATGTGATCATTCCTCTTGAGGTTTCAAGCTTTTCCCGGTACTATGGACAATTTTTTCATTTGGTTTTTTAACAATGCATTTTACATTTACATCTTCCATTATTATTTTATTATAATATTAGCTAAAAGACTAAAACACACTCTTCTTTCTTTTAAAATTGCTTTTGCAAAAGGGAAGCACCAATGAGGTAAGTAAAGAAAACCTGGTAATGCATGCGAATATAGTTACATGTGAGGAATGGGGCTTATGTGGTAAATAGTAAATAGCAGGCATCAGAATAACATTAACTTAATGAAGCAGTTTTGGTGTATAGGTCATGCCTCTGCAGTCTCTCCACTCAATCATATGCTATTTAGGAGTTAAACGTTGTTTCCATTTACGCAGCCATAGCCACACCTCCTGATACAACCTGCATGAAACAAAGTATTTTGTTTTAATCGGATTACTTTTGTTTGTATCTCCTGCTCTGTAAATTTAAGTTTAATCATACAAATGAGGCTCCTGTGGGGTCTAGGAGGGTGTTAGAGCAGGATATAAGAAATTCTAAATAAACCGAATTTGCAATAAAGGAAGGTCAAACATTAGATCTCTTTACAGGAAGTGTTTAGGAAAGTTGTGTAGATAACATGCAGGGAGGTGTGACTAGGCCTGTGTTAACAAAGGGATTTAATGCATAAATAGCAGTGAACTGGGATTATTTAAAAATTGCACTACTAAAGGAAACAGAAAATTGTATTAGACTTATCAGTAGGAGCAACAAAAACCAAAAAAAAAAAAAAAACAACCAGAAGTTGCTGATATAGTAAAAAACTAAAAAAGTTAGCATTGAGTAATTATATATAATAATAATAATAACAACAAAAAAACATAATGAGAAAGATAGACAGATCTATAAGATTAGGCAGAAAGAGGCTAAGCAAGTTATAAAAGCTTCCAAACTTCACACAGAAGAGAAAATAGCCCAGTCAGTAAAACACTTTTTTTTTTTTTTTATAGATACATAAATGAGAACAGGAAAGTAAAACAAAGATTAGTTATATTAAAACCAAAAGGAGGAAGGTATGCCTCAATTAATATTTTTGTTCAGTATGTACAGATAAAAATGATAGAAAGAAGCCTCAGTTAGGAAAATGGACACATAAGTAATTTATTACATGTGAGTTTACAAAGGAAGAGGTTCTATTTCAACTGGCAAAAGTAAAGACAAATAAGTTGATAGGGCCTGATGGAATACACCCAAAGTTATTAAAAGAGCTTAGTGGTGCAATGGCAAAACCATTAACCGTTTTTTTTAACCAATCATTAATGGTAGTAGTCCAGAAACATTGAAAATTAGCGAATGTTGTGCCTATTCACAAGAAAGGTAGTAGTGAGGAGCCAGGCAACTATAGGCCAGTAAGCCTTACTTCAGTAGTGGGGAAAGTAATGGAAACCATGTTAAACGACAGGATTGTTGAACATCTAAAATCACATGGATTTCAAGATCAGAGACAACGTGGGTTTACTTCAGGGAGGTGATTATTTTTTGATTGGGTAATTAAATAATACATCGGGGTGGTGCAATAGACATTGCTTACCTAGATGTCAGTAAGGCTTTTGACACTGTTCCACATAGAAGGCTTATCAATAAACTGCAATCTTTAAGTTTGGATTCCAATATTGTTGAATGGGTAAGGCAGTGGCTGAATGACAGGCAACAGAGGGTTGTAGTCAATAGAGTATATTCAAAGCTTGGGCTTGTCACCAGTAGATACTAAGATTTGCAACAGGGTTGATGTTCCTGTAGGGATAAGCCCAATGACAAACGATTTAGGTAAACTAGAAAAATGGTCAGAGCTGTGGTGGCAATTGCCATTTAATGTGGATAGGTGCAAGAAAATGCATCTTGGACGTAAAAACCCAAGGGCAGAGTACAGAATATTTGATAGAGTCCTAAGCTCAACATCTGAAGCAGAAAATGCTAGCAGAATGCTTGGTTGTATAGGGAGAGGTATTGACAGTAGAAAGAGGGAAGTGCTCATGCCATTGTACTGGTGAGACCTCACCTGGAGTATTATACGCAGTACTGGAGACCGTATCTCCGGAAGGATATTGATACTTTGGAGAGAGTTCAGAGAAGGGCTACTAAACTGGTTCATGTGTTGCAGGATAAAACTTACTAGGAAATGTTAAAGGAACTTAACATTTATAACTTGGAGGAAAGACGAGACAGGGGGGATATGATAGAAACATTTAAATACATAAAGGGAATCAACACAGTAAAGGAGGAGACTATATTTAAAAGAAGAAAAACTACTACAACAAGAGGACATAGTATTAAATTAGAGGGGCAAAAGTTTAAAAATTAATATCCGGAAGTATTCCTTTACTGAGAGGGTAGTGGATGTATGGAATAGCCTTCCATCTGAAGTGGTAGAGGTTAACACAGTAAAGGAGTTTAAGCCTTGCGTGGGGTAGGCATAAGGCTATCCTAGCTATAAGATAAGGCCAGAGGCTAATGAGAGTATTTAGAAAATTGGGCAGAGTAGATGGGCCGAATGGTTCTAATCTTCCATTAGATTCTATGTTTCTAACTGAAGAGTGAGACAGCAGGGGCATCCCTAAACTGCTTCATTAAACCAACATTGCTTTGGTGCCTATAGTGTCCTTTTAAGGCACATTCTAGACAACATAATCACTACGGTTTGCTGCAGTGGTTTTGGAACCAGGAGTCTGCAGGTTCCATCGGTGGTAATCTACCAAACTGCTTATGGACGTTTTGACACTTACCTTGCTGTGCCAGACACCTGTAAGTCTTCTAATTTGAGTTGATGTGATAACGCAGAATTTCTTAATTCCACATCATCACACCAGGTTTGGACAGTACTAATGAGCTGAGAGTGATAGCCGACAACTAAGCCAATTTATATAGTTTCAACTTGTTTAAACTTAATGTGAACGTATGAAGTTCTGCTTTATCAGACCAAGGACTGCAGGTGGAGCACAGCAAGGTAAGTGTTCAATCAGTTTGACAAATAACCAGTGGATGGTGACAAGGGACTGCTGGCACCATAACTACTAAAGTGTGCTCTATGATGCCTAAGTGTCCTTTTACAACTCTGTAACAACACAATTAAAAGGTTTCTTTCTATATTTATATATTAAAGATTTGTCTGTGTAAGAAATGTAATATTTTTATGTGGCATGGCAGCACTAGGTATAACCACGTTGACATAGTAGTGCGTGGCGCCAACAGCATAAAGCTAGGAATTTTGGAAAGCGGAGTTAATAATTAGTGAAGATGGTTGCTGTGCATGCTGCAGCCATGTCCATTTCTAGCACTCACCCTGCAGGAGGAGATATGTAGTGGCAGTATCTTTATATCCTGGCTAGTACTGTAGAAATGTTAGCGTTTACAGTGCAGTTTAAACAAAACTAGGCGTTATAGTAACTAAACGTACACTCGGATCCCAAAATGGGACAAAAATGCTTTAACTCTTACAATATTCTTTCAATAATTCTCCATACTAAAGCCATAGTAACCTCCGCCGTAGAATTTAGCAGAATGTATTTTCTCAAAAAAACAAAAACAAAAGGTGTCTGATTCACATTATTGTGAATGCTTTTAACTCTGTTTGTATTTTCAGGCTCTTTACAAGCTATACAGTGCTGCAGCTACACATAGGCACTTGTATCATCACGCGTTCCCAGCACCACAGACAGAAGCAGACGACGAAGCAGAGAGTAAAAACAACTAGCTGTCCTCATCTTCTCTGATGCTGTAGGGAGGCTAAGAGAGATTTGTCATCGGTACAGTTTTCAGGACATCCAGGAAAAGGAAAGATGCATGAGCATTAGTATACACCTATTGGTATCAACCTTTCCATTGTATCCATAACCGGAGAAACAATGAAGGTTATCTACTGAGCTCCCAACGCGTTTCAGAATGACAGAATCCAGGAATAATATACAAATTCTAAGTCAGCTTGCAGTATAGTGATTTAAAGGTAAGTTGCAATTGTGCTAACCGGCCCAATAACATATACAATACCAACCAAGGAAATTACGACTATACAGCTAATGTTCCATCACACCCTTCAAACATGAGATGTTGCCATAGGTTGGTCCATTTTGACAGTACCCTACATTAACATGGAGATACCTGGGTATTTTTTCCCCTTTCATTCACCCTTTGCTACCTGCCGATAGTGTTCTGTGACTGCCCCATTGCCTGCTGCTTCTACTTCTGCAGATTTATTTTTTTTAACCCTCAAATCACCAAAAGGTGAAAGAAGCGGCTTTCCGCTGATTTTTCACTTAAATCTGCTCTCACAAAAAACACAACCAGAGCTTAGTAAATAACCACATTTGAGAGCAGCTTTCATTTTACTAGCAGGGGTTAAATGCTTTACTTTCCATGGGTTGAGCAACAACACAATGCAAAACCCTCTGTCACCAAGTAAATGGACAAATGTATCATTTGGAAAGTCATTGTTCAGTCACATGCTAAGGACGACTTACTGAACTCTGCAGCTGTACAACTCTGGTGGCGGGAAACATGAAATGGATAATCAAGTTGATAACGACGGTACGGGGCTATACTGGCTCTCACAAACTTGCAACACTATTTATGCTATGTTTCAGTCTTCACTATTGCGTAAAATACTCACGGACAACATTTTATGTTAACGTATCACATGTACACCCATATTGCGGATATCTTTGTTCTTCAACTAAATAAAATACAAATATTAAAAATTGAAATCTAAATCTTTATATGGAGCAAATTAAAACCTTAAAATTAAGTTAAGTTATACCCTAAACAGAGGTTGCCACCCACAACAAATGCCTTGATATTTATTTTATTTTTTAAACCAAAAAGGTCATTAAATCCTGTTACATCCACACTTTTGTCATTTACTTGGACACAATCAAGAGCAGATAACTGATCCCAAACTAATTATATTCTGCAGATCCTCTAAGATCTACAAATTTTTACATAGCCACAGGTAGGTATTATCCAAAAAACATTTCTCCTGAGATACAAATTTTAAAATTTACCACATATGCTCTATAAATTATACTAGGGTAACATTATATAAAAATAAAATGGATTGCTTTGCACATGGAAAGGTCATTCTGTTTAACCTTTTAAGGACCAAACTTCTGGAATAAAAGGGAATCATGACATGTCACACATGTCATGTGTCCTTAAGGGGTTAAAGAGACACTATAGTCACCAGAAAAACTACAGCTTTATGTAGTTGTTCTGGTGAGTATAGTCAATCCCTGTAGCCTTTTTGCTGTAAACTCTGCCTTTTCTATGGTTTAAATTGCTCCCTAACAACACCTCAAATGGCCACTCCTCATACTCCCACTAGAGGTGCTTCCTGGGGCAGTGCTGTCCAGTGTGCTGAAATTTCCCCATAGAGATGCATTGATTCAATGCATCTCTATGAGGGGATGCTGATTGGCCAAGCCAGCGTTTGTGTTCCCGACCCTATAACGTTCCTTTTAAGGTTTACTGCGCACTATGGGAAATGTAATCCTGGGGAAAACAGTTTGCAGATCCTTGACAAAAATTAAGCAAAAATACAAACTGAGCAGGATTTTACATCGTATAAATATACAACACTGGCATCTGATAGCTCTACTTATTAATGTTAAAAGGACATCCCATGCACAAAACACAGCTTTCATACCCTTTGGCCTAAATACTGTATTTATTTATTTATTTTTTTCCTTCAACATTTCAACACTGCCTTCCCGGCGTAATATCTCTCGTTCTAAAATATTTCCTTCTTGCACCGCTTGTTCCTGAATAGAGGTATGTAATGCCGGAGCTCCATACGTCTGTTTTTTCTGTCCCGTTCATTTAAGCAGTGTCTCTTCTATAACACAATTGTGAATGCCATTAAGAAGCAAAGCAATGGGTTCTAGAATTTGTACAAAGTTGATAACTGAATTCCTTGCTCTGGGCAGAACCGAGGCTTCACAGAGAGCACTAAAATCTGCTAAACAGACCTGACATAGCATGGCATGAGTTATTTTATAGACTCTAGTGCCTGTCCTTTAGAGTAAAAAAAAAAAAAAAATCAAAAACCAGTAGTGCATGGCCTGCATGTTTAACTGTTGAAATGCAGTTGAATATGTCCAGCATTTCAGAGCCCCATTACCAGAATGGAAAATTCCATGTCACGCTCAAGGCTACAGTTTCCATGCAAACGCAGCAATCTCAGATGCATCTGTTATTACTTTGCGTTGGTTCTTACATATATTTAAATACATTTTCTACATTAAAGATTATCTGCATTAAACTAAAAGAATTGATCAATTCCAGCCTGCCATGATGACCCTTTAAGTGGCAACTCCTGAATTCATAAGTGACCATCCGGCTAATGACCAAATCACGGCACTCTGCAAAACCCTAAGTGGGAGAAAAAAAATAAAATAAGTGACATACACAAGATCAATCTTATATAAAGATTGTTCATGGGTAGAACATTGGCTTAAAAATAGAGTACAGAAAGTGGTCATTAATGGTACATTTTAAAGCTAGACAGAGGTGGCAAGTGACTCCCCTCAGGGTTCTGTTCTAGGAACACTTCTATTTAACATATTTATAAATGATCTTGAAATAAGTATTGAAATCATGTTTCAATTTTTGCAGATGACACAAAACTCTGTAAAGTAATACATTGTGCACAATATATTTCTTTGCTGCAGAGGGATTTAGATAGGCTGGGGGACTGGGTGCTCAAATGCCAAATGAAAGGTAATTTTAAAATTATGCTCTTTGGGGTAAAGAATGCACAAGCAACTTATACCCTAAATAGTAGTGAATTGGGGATAACAACACACAAATATTTGGGAGTTGTTATAGACAAACTAGGCAACAATGCTGTCACGAGCGTGGGCTATAGGCCCAGCCGAGACAGTGGGGAGAGTGTGGAAGTGACAGGGTTAATGACACCAGACCCCTGGTTACCTGTTGCTAGTCCCAGCAACCACTCAATTAACCCCTGCAATCCCTTCTACACTATCCCCCTTAGTACTACTGCCACCACCAAGACTTTTAAACCCGGGCGTCTTAGGTTACCCCACACACAGGAGAATTATAGTATCACAGTTCTACTTTTACTGATAAAACATATATAGTTAACCCCTTTTTGGTAACGTGTTTACCTGAGCTTTCCTCTGGAGAGTGAAGCTCATAGAGAACAGAGACACAAGCTGATTAAGTAAACATTTAATCTGACAAAAAGGATTCACAGTGCTGAGTACAAAATACAGAAATAAATGACATACAGAAAACAAATTGCAAAACAGTACATAAAATAAAATAGGAGAAAACACAAGAAATTCCTTACATATATTTACCCCATATAGAATTCTTGTGGGAGTCTTAGATGGTATAGGTCTCCTAGAAGTTACTGACAAAAGAAAAATGAATAACTGACCTCCCTGGATAGTCCAACACCCTCATATATCTAAACTAGTTGTTTCTCAGTGGGCAGACCCCTGGGGGGGGGATCAGAGGGGGTTGGTCTGGCAGTCTATTGCCCACTCTATGAAATTCCTTGTGTCCAGCTCTGGTGATGGCTATCTAGATGTTTTATGGTCTAGGCCTGGTGCAAGATCAAAGACCACAATAAATGTCATCCCAAGGTTTACAAAAAAACAACTCTTAACATATATAAACACATCAAACACCAACTCATGCTTTTGGCATGACACCTCCCCCTTAAGATGGTGGACAGAAAAATGTAGCCACAGGCTGATTTATCTGTCTACCATTAACCCTCTAGTTGCCGAGACAGGCCATCTGCATTCCCATGCAAGCTGCCCTTTTTGTGTTGGACAGTGAAATTATACTGTTGGAGGATAGGGCTCCAATGGAGCAGTTTATCAGTGTTACCTGTCACCTGCAGCAGGTTGTGATCAGTCCAAACCACAGCTACACCCTCAAACATGCCTGATTTGCCTGTTTCAATTTCCCATCGATCTCTGGTAACATCCCTTAAACCACACCCACTGCGCTCATGTAGTAGCTGTAAGGGGAAGAAACCAATGGATTTCTGCAGCACTCCCCGGTAAGCACACAAAAAAGCAGACAGAGAACACTCCCAGGATAGATGCGCTGTATCAACACCCATCATCTCTTTCATTTTGCGGTCTGTCTGCTGGGCTTGTTGCACTATCAGACTCTGAACCTTTGGTTCCCAATCAGAAAGTTGCTTAGGTGTATGCGTGAGTTGTGATAAACTGACAAGGTTCCTGGTTCCTCCAACAGTATGTTTCCCTGCAGCCATCCTTCCTGGACCCACAGGCTGAGTCTGCCCGTGCCCCTCACTTTCACTCCAGGTCATCACACATACCGAACTTTGGAAACTGGCTAAGCCTGCCGCAGAGTCAAGCTCACACACCCTCTGCCCTCCCTCATAGCCTTGCTGTCCCTGCACATTTTCACCCACCACATCACATACATCTGCTTCAGGCACATATTGGCACATATATTCATTCAGCCCCCTCTCGCTGGAAGGCTTTTCCCATACATTTTCACAGGACACATTTGACCCCCCTTGATCAGATACAGAATTTTGCACACACTCACATAATTTCTTCTCCAAGGCAGGCCCTCCTCTCACAATCTTACATAGCACCTCAGACTGTCCTGCTGCAGCCCTGACCCACTGTTGACTTGTTACCACTGCGACTAGTTTTACACATCCCTGGCTCTCACCTTCCTCCTCCCCCTTACTCTCTGACATCCCAGCCTCACAGTATTTTGATACAGGCACATCACTACTCACCCCTATCTCACATTTGGTAGACATCACTGGTTCAGTTACAGGTAGATATTTATCCACACCCTGCTCTCCCTCCCAGCAATCACACTTCACAATGTCTCCCAAAGTTTCACACAATACATTAGGTGGAGCAGTCAGTCCTGGCTCACAAACAGTGTCCGCTGGAGCATATTGACAGAGCATCCTGCCCAAATCATTCCCCAACAGAACATTAACAGGGATATCCTCTGAAATCCCCACTTCCCGCAAACCTTTGCCCGCACCCCAATCAAGGTACACACATGCCAGGGGCACAGCGGGACGCACACCCCCAATTCCTTTCATGGACATGGTTCTTCCAGGGATTATGTCCTCCGTATTCACCACTTCAGGGCGCACCAGGGTGAATGAAGCTCCAGAATCTCTCAGTCCCACGGTCACTTGGTCACCCACAATTACACTCTGCAGGTTATCCTCTTGTTTCCCCACAGACCCACCCACAAGCAAAACTGATGGTGCCCCTCCACGGGCTGGTGAGGGCATATTCCTAGTGGGGCAAGTCCTGCTCAGATGACCAATCTGGTTGCATCGAAAACAACGGCGGGCATCTGACTCACTTGACATAGCCCCGGCTACGCTGGCAGTCGGCGGTGAAGTTCTCACTGCAGATCTTACAAGTGGTGATTGAACAGTAGCTTCTCTCCAGGTCGAAGTAGCAGCTGACACAAGTCCACGCCTGGATGTGGGTGCATGGATGTCTGCATAGTCATCTGCCAGTTCTGCAGCAGCCCTAGCATTTTTTGGCTTTCTTTCCAAAATCCACTCTCTTACATTAGGGCTCCGGGTCTGCAAGAACTGCTCTAGGACCAGTAAGTCATTAAGGGCTTCATAGGTAGTAGCTTGTACTCCTGTTACCCATTGCCGGAACGTGGTTTCTAATTGTGCAACATATAGAATGCAGCTGGATGATGGGCATTGCTGCATACTCCTAAACTTTTTCCTGTAAGACTCAGGAGTAAGGTTAAAAGTTTTTTGCAATGCAGATTTGATTGCCTCATAGTTGTTATCAGTCTCTGGGGGAAGGGACACAAACACATCCAAGGCTTTCCCTTTCAATTGTGGAGTTAAATATCTGCCCCACTGGTCTGAGGGTAGTTGATGCTGCCTGCATACTTTCTCAAAACTTTTTAAAAATACATCCAAATCTGTCCCTTCTTCGAGGGAAGGAAAATCATCCTTACGGAGCCTACGTGTGCTGGACTCTGATGCATTGCTGTTCAGTGAGGACTGAAGGGTAAATTGCAGTTTAGCAAGTTCCAGCTCATGTCTCCTTTGTGCCTCCCTTTCGGCTAGCCTCTCTGCAGATTCCCTTTCTGCAGCCTGCTGTTGGATCATCACCTGCAGGGCCTCCTGAGGATTTGCAGCCATCAGTTGCCGAAATAAATCAGTTGAGCAAATGTCCTTAATCTTTTGAGGGGTACAACCACCAGGCATTTCAGTAAGCAACACTCCTGCAGTAGTAGGGAGCTCGGTAACCCTTTCAGTGTCTGTCTCTGGCTGGAAAATATGGCTGTCAGCCTCCACAAGGTCAGCAATAAGTTGTGCCTTATTTTTGCCAAAAGTTGGTAAATTCTTTTCTTGGCACAACAATTCCAAGGCCTCTTTTGATTGTTTGCGATAGGCCTCCATATTAATAGGATAGAGAAAGAAAAACAAAAGATGGGAGGGGAGAACCGTTTTGCACTTTGTATGTATTTTAAATCAGCACTGAGCTTGGTCTTTGGAAATTACACAAAAACAAGTATGCAATTTCTTTTAGTGCTAAGACCCCCTTTACAGGTAAAATCTAGCAAGCACTAAAAATCTCTAAATATATCCCACCGCTGCCGCCAGTTTGTCACGTGCGTGGGCTATAGGCCCAGCCGAGACAGTGGGGAGAGTGTGGAAGTGACAGGGTTAATGACACCAGACCCCTGGTTACCTGTTGCTAGTCCCAGCAACCACTCAATTAACCCCTGCAATCCCTTCTACACTATCCCCCTTAGTACTACTGCCACCACCAAGACTTTTAAACCCGGGCGTCTTAGGTTACCCCACACACAGGAGAATTATAGTATCACAGTTCTACTTTTACTGATAAAACATATATAGTTAACCCCTTTTGGTAACGTGTTTACCTGAGCTTTCCTCTGGAGAGTGAAGCTCATAGAGAACAGAGACACAAGCTGATTAAGTAAACATTTAATCTGACCAAAAGGATTCACAGTGCTGAGTACAAAATACAGAAATAAATGACATACAGAAAACAAATTGCAAAACAGTACATAAAATAAAATAGGAGAAAACACAAGAAATTCCTTACATATATTTACCCCATATAGAATTCTTGTGGGAGTCTTAGATGGTATAGGTCTCCTAGAAGTTACTGACAAAAGAAAAAATGAATAACTGACCTCCCTGGATAGTCCAACACCCTCATATATCTAAACTAGTTGTTTCTCAGTGGGCAGACCCCTGGGGGGGGGATCAGAGGGGGTTGGTCTGGCAGTCTATTGCCCACTCTATGAAATTCCTTGTGTCCAGCTCTGGTGATGGCTATCTAGATGTTTTATGGTCTAGGCCTGGTGCAAGATCAAAGACCACAATAAATGTCATCCCAAGGTTTACAAAAAAACAACTCTTAACATATATAAACACATCAAACACCAGCTCATGCTTTTGGCATGACAAATGCGCAGTGCCTATCAGAAGTGGCAAAGGCCAGTAAAGTATTGTCATGTAGAAAAAAGGGGCATTAGTTCTCAGGAAGAGAATATCATTCTGCCACTTTATAAATCACTGGTAAGACCACATTTTGAATATGCTGTGCAATTTTGGGCACCTGTTCTGAAGAAGGATATAATGGCACTAGAAAAAGTGCAGAGGCGGGCTACAAAATTAATAAAAGGAATGGAACATTTTAGTTATGAAGAAAGGTTAACAAATTTAGTTTGGAAAAACGGTGCCTGAGAGGGGATATGATAACATTATACAAATATATCCGGGGCCAATACAAACCATTGTCTGGAAATCTGTTCACAAACAGTACTATACATAGGACACAGGGTCATGCGTTTAGACTGGAAAAAAGAAGAATGTGGAACAATAAGGATGTGGAATTCTCTGCCTGAAGAAATGGTTTTATCAGAGTCTGTACAGATGTTTAAACAACAATTAGATACATACTTGAAAAAACATTAGATTCAAGGATATACTTTTTCAATTACGGTAATTGCTTCTTTATCCAAGGATAAATCTGACTGCCATTCTGGGGTCAAGAATGAGTATGTATTTGTGCCTTCTTTTGCATCATTAGCAAAAACCAGATGTGAGGAAGGGTGAACTTGATAAACACAGGTTTCTTTTCAGCCTATGTAACTATGTAACTGTCAGGATGTGTCTTAAAATTCTGGTTCTTGCTTTCAAATCTCTACATGATGCTACCCCCACCTATCTATCCTCCCTAATACACAAGTATATCCCATCAAGCCCTTACGCACTGCTGAAGACTTGCGTCTATCTTCTGTCCGTACTCCCACCTCTGATGCTCACCTTCAAGACTTCTCGAGGGCTTCATCGTTCCTGTGGAACTCACTTCCCTCCTCCGTTAGATGCTCACCCAGTCTCCACTCCTTCAAAAAATCATTAAAAACCCACTTCTTCATAAAAGCGTATCAATTAAACTGTAAATCGCTCCCGACTGATTCCTCTCTTGCAACTGTTATTAGTCCAATACTATCCTTACCTTTTGTGTCACTTTACCCCACTTCGTTTATTTTTCACCATTATGGGTGTGAGGGAGAGGATGATTGACCTGGCATACTGATAGCCACTTTGGGATGTATGGGGGCTCCTTAGGAGACTGTAGCAAGGACTCTAATCATATCACCAAAACAGCACGGGCTGATTTCTAGCCGGCAATTCACGAGACAGCATGTTTGTTGCTGAGGATTATACGAAACTAGGCAGATAGTGTTCCGGGCTTTTAGAGGTGATCCGCAGCAAGCTGAATGTTTCTCTTTTTAATTGTTTACAACAAGTTATAATTTGGTCACTATTCCATTCAGCATTTGGATATATTGTAGTAATGTGAACTCAAGTGTCTGTTTATTAGGAGCAAGTTGTGATACAATGAACTGTTATATGTCTTAAGAACAAGCCATTGAAAGCATATATGGGCTGGATCTGACTTGTATAACCTTTTATTTAAATGGACACTATAGTCACCAGAACAACTACAGCTTATTGAGTTTGTTCTGGTGAGTAGAATCATTACCTTCAGGCTCTTTGCTGTAAATACTGTCTTTTCAGAGAAAATGCAGAGTTTACATTACAGGCTAGTGATAACTTCACTGACCACTCCTCAGATAGCTGTTAGAGATCCTTCCTGGATCATGGCTGCATGCAGACACTGAACCTTCCTCATAGAGATTCATTGATTCAATTAATCTCTATGAGGAGATGCTGATTGGCCAGGGCTGTGTTTGAATCATGCTGGCTCTGCCCCTGATCTGCCTCCTTGTCAGTCTCAGACAATCCTATGGGGAAGTATTGTGGTTGGATCAGGCTACCAGTTCTGCTGATGTCAGGGGGGCTAGATTGTGGTTTTAACACTATAGGGTCAGGAATACATGTTTGTGTTCCTGACCCTATAGTGATCCTTTAAATTGGTTTATCTACTACAGACAGCCTCTACTATTCAAGTCTTACACTTTGAGTTACTTAATCTCCATTATTATATGACTCTTTAGCGTGCTCCTCTGACCTTTGGTCCCTGGTTCACATCTTTATTGTTATATAAATAATAACATAATACTAGGTTATATTTAAAAACAGTGTGTAAAAAAGGACCAAGTAGCTTATCTACTTAAATGAGGAAAAAAATAAAAAAAAAATAAAAAACCCAAACACATTATTTGATGTATTTAATAAGGACCATCTGAAGAAAGTTTGCCTCAGTATTTAAACAGACTCAAATCTTTGTAACATTATAATGCTTAAATAAAAAAAGTGTAAGATGTTTATATAAGAGGTTAAAAGAAAAACCAGAACTATTATAATTTGAGATAGTTCTGAGACTTGTTTCAGAACATTATTATTGCATTGCAATACGTGGTACAGTTGTGTCAAGAAGTAGCCATTTCCTGTTTAAAATAAATATACAGTGTGTACATCAAAAGCCAAAATGGATTCTTATACTTTAACTAAAAACTCTATTCCCTTTGTTTAAATTCTTAACTGTGGTAGAATACAACAAATGAGTTAAAGGGACACTGTAGGAACCCAGACCACTTCTGCTAATTTAAGTAGTCTGGGTGCTGTGACCCTTTTGCACTTAGTGCTGCAATGTAATACATTTTTACATTGCAACTCTAAGTCTGCCCTCAGTGGCTGTCTACAAGACAGCCACTGGAGGTGCTTCAGGAATCCAAACGGACTTTTGGTCCGTTATCTGACGTTGGACGTCCTCACAGACCTCTAGTGTCAGATTTTCCCCATAGGAAAGCATTGAATAATGCTTTCCTATGGGGAGTTCTAATGCGCGTGCGGCCATTGACGCACATGTGCATTAGGTCTTCTCCTCCGGTTGACGTAGGCGGGGGAGGAGCATGGGCGGAGCCTGACTCAGCACCGGATTCATGTAAGCTCCTCAAGGTGTTTTTACCCCTTCAGCCCCACGATAGTAGCGGCGCAAGGGAGTGGGGGACCGATTAACCCTATAGTGCCAGGAAAACTGGTTTGTTTTCCTGGCATTATAGGATCCCTTTAAAACAGATTAAATGACATTATTTGCACTGTAACAATGTACGACCTCTAAAGTTGGCTCATTATATATAAGTTATTAACATAATCCTGGAGATTGCATCTTGTCAAGTACAGCTGAAAGGCATGTGCAGGACCATAGAATTGTGTGTGTATGTAGAATATATATATACCACCAATAAAATGCATCAAGTGACAGATTGGCCCTGTTATATTGCGATTTCCAGTTTCACAAGAAGAATTATCAAATTAAGTGTTTGAATTCAACATTTTCCATTGTTTCCTCTTTTTTCCACGCATTTGTAAAACTCAAGATGTAGATTTAGCAACTACTTCATGAGCAAATGGCAAAACTGTTGGCCCGTGCATAAGTAGGTTAACTCCAAACCAATTGGGTAACTTATGTGAATGCCTCTTTTAATCTCTTGTAGTACAACTGATAGGTAATTGTAGAATACCCTTTGTTTTTCTCCTGGGGTTTGCACAGCACAATGTTGGGGATCTCTTATATACACAAGGTTGGTTCAGGCTTGGTCTATATAAATGCGTACCTTGAATGCTGTAGAGTCTGCAGGGGTTCGGGGGTTCCCTACTAGTCTAGGAATGAACCCCGAGGAATAGCTTGTGCTTTTTTTATGGCTTTTAGTAATGCAAAGAAAGAATTGGTTTAAAATTGTTCATTCACTTCTATGTCATAGTACAAATAGTTCTAACAAAGTATAAAAAAAAACCAAAAAAAAAACAGGAGAAAAAAAACACCCACAAAACAACCCTCACAAAAATATTAAATAAAATCAACTTTCTTCCACTCCGGTAAAGCAATAAAATAAAATGCAAGGTGGGGCTTTAAGGAACTCCTACAAGTTGTCAGAAGTTCTTGTTGTGTTGGGCATACCACTGCTGTCTCTGCTTCCGAGTTTCCACCTCTGTGAGCAGTGCCTGTCTGTAAGCTTCGTAGAGCTTAACAATTCGTTCCAGTTCTTTCATGAAAAGCAATTTTAGCATACCCTGATACGTGTCCAAATCTGCCAACTGGAATAGTTCCCATTTCAAAATGTGGTCATATCTGCAAGCGAAAGAAAAATATGAAATAAACTAAATTAAAATATTTGGACATATTTCTTTCTCCGCAATGTTTATCGTAAATCTAAAGCTACCCAGACCCTATAGCTGTAAATGCCATGCAAACAGGATACATTGAGCTTAAGGAACAACAAAACCGTATACATAGTTTTCAGCACTCTGGAGATGCAATAGGGATCATAAATCACAAGACCAAATCGACACATTCTGTATTAAAAAATTAAAAAAAAAAAAAAAAAAAGGAAAGAAGAAGATATGTGCCTATTAAAGTGGGATAAAAAGCACTTCTCTCTTATTGCCATATAAAAATAAATAAAAAAAACCCTCCCACTGTTTAGTAGGGAAAACACGTATTTAATTATGTATTTTATCATTTGGGGCATAACTTAACACCTTGCAAAAGTTGCAGATCTTGTTTGAAGCCTTTGCAAGCCCCCACCTTTTCCAGTCAGCTTTCCGAGCTGTTCCAATTACACTTCCCAAATGCAGCCTATTGAGAAATATTTGTAAGCTAGGTGTTCTGGGCAATTGTCTGCCTCTTGAGTTTAGCTCTACTAAACTAAATAACCAGGAAGTAAAAGGACCAGTTGTCTGCCTCTTGAGTTTAGCTCTACTAAACTAAATAACCAGGAAGTAAAAGGACCAGTTGTCTGCCTCTTGAGTTTAGCTCTACTAAAACTAAATAACCAGGAAGTAAAAGGACCAGTTGTCTGGCTGACAGATAATTTATGAAAGTGCCACTTTCTATGTAAATCTGCACTTTTTAAAATAGTTTTACAAATAAAGAGTGGTAGAGCGTTATTTCCATACCAACGGAGAAAGGGCAAGCAAAGTCTATCTACTTGGAAAAAAAATAAATTAAATGCTTACTTACCTTTTTCCTGCACATCTCTCCGCCTCTCGAACGTCATGGAGTATGTCTGGCCTCCTCTGCCGTGGTCCACACCAATGCTCTTCATTGTGGCAAACAAACATTCAAGCTTCCCCGTAGAAAAGCATTGACTCACTTTTTTTCCTATGGGGGCTTCGGCACCACGCAATAGTTTTAATCAGTCAGTGCCATGGAAGCGCCTCTTGTGGCCGTTAGGAATACAGCCACTAGAGGTGTATTTCTACTCTAAAAAACTGCAGTGATTTACATTGTAGCGTAAAAAGGACCGGACCACTGCACCCACACAATTTCATTGAGATGAAGTGGCCTAGGTGACTTTAGTGGTCATTTAAATCACTTTTATGCAGCCATACTTCCCATGACAGATTCACAGGGTGAGACTAACTTGAGACCCTACACTTCCTGACATCGAGCTCATTTTTCTAAGCTTCCCTTATTGCACAGTGTGTTTAACTTAGATTCTATTATCTCCTCCTATGTTAGTTGCCTGCTAGAGCCTACAACAGCCTTCTGTGTGTGACTCAAGTTCAATTAAAGGAGAACTTTTAATATGGAGTGCAAGCAAACTATATATACTGCGCAGAACTTTTTAGCAGCGTTCAGTATACAAAGAGTAAACAAAATAAACACCACATGAAAAGTGAGTTCAAACATGTAAAAATCAAGTCGCAATTACAAAGGCAGCTGCAGACGTGAGTCGTATTAGATTGACTGCCATTTAGCAGTATCAGTCATCTAGAAAATAAATGGCAATTAGAACAGAGACGTCATGGCTTACCACAAAGAATGCAATATTCATTAAACAAGAGGCAACAAAGATTCCCAAAGAGGCAGAATAGTATTTGCACAAATTGTATGACCGCTTTGACAAACATGGATAAATTGTGTGGCAAAAGAGGGAGTGTGGTCGCAAGTCTAAGCTCACAGACATAGAATGGTGCTTTGCATAGCTGGTGCAATGAGTACATTCTTTGCTTGGATGCAAGATAAGAAATCACAGAGCAATCTAAATAAATGTGGTGTTTCTATCGAGGGCAGTATAATCAGATAACACTTCATCATTTATTATAAATACACTTTTTGTCACTCTCACCCCTCACCCCCATCTCCCACCCCCCACTTTATGATATGGTTTCCAGCAGAATCATGGGACAGTCTTTTCTGGCAGTGCATCTGTTTATATCTGGGCAAATGCCACTTTATTATTTCCCAAAAGGACAGCCTTTGCTAATCAAATAAAAAGTTCCTCTAATAGAACATCTAATCTAATCCTTCCATAACAAGTTCGGGGAGCCATCAGTCTTGTAGAGGTTAATGAACGTTCCATCAAATCATATAAAAACACGTGCACTTGTTTTCTGTGCCTGGTGAAGGGAGCTCAATGTACATGTCAGTTCCAAACAATAACTCTATGGGATTTCTGTCAGTTAGAGAAGGTACATCAATTCTTTAAATGCTTTGTGATATAGTAGTGGCATACTGGTATAAAAAAAAAAAAAAGCTAAACTTTTGCTGCCAACAACCAAATAATATAAAACACTAAAGAATGCTTATTCTCCAAGTGATCTACTAGGACTGTGACATCATCAGCGGCTATTATAGCATAGTTATTACATGTAATGGAAAAAAAAAAAAAAAACACATTGTTAATCGCTAAGGAATATGGATTGCTGCAAATTGTGATCTAATTTAAAAAAAAAAAAAATTTAGGCCACAATAGCCTAAACAGTGGACAAATAGTGAACAAATCTGTTCGTACTGAAATAAACAGACATGCATTTCCACTCCTTTTTTCGTGTGTGTTCATGGCCCTCGTCCAATACTTTTGATTTAGTGACTAGCTCACCTCAGCCAATCACTGCCACCCAAGCAGAAGCATAAGGAGTTCATTGGCCATAGGGAAGAACATGGCAGAAGGGGCAGACAGGACCCAACAGCTTAACCCCTTGAGTTCAGGCTGCGCCCAGAGACTTCTCAAAGAGGTCCTATCATTGTCTAGGGCAAGGGTAAGCAACCTTCAGCACTCGAGATGTTGTGGACTACAACTCCCACAATGCTCTTACACAATGCTGGCAAGGTATTGGGGAGATGTAGTCCACGGCATCTGGAGTGCCTAAGGTTGCCTACCTTCAGTCTATTGACTTGGTATATTTTGCACATGTCTGACTATGATTGTTCCACTAGGAGTGTGATTGCCGCAGGGTGAGTTTTACTCAACTGAACCGGTCCTACACATGTGCACGAGTAAAACATCGAGGTCTATATCCACCATAGACAAAGCTCTTTTTTCACCTCAGCGGAGGGAAATGATAAAACTTGACAGAAGTAACAAGCCCCTTTGTCAAGTATAGGAAATATACTAGGAGAAAGTAGTCCCATGGGAGTGTTTCATAAAGATTTTTGGGGAGGGTGTGTGTGACAGAAGGGAAGTTGTTTTGAATTAAGAGAGTTTCTTTAAAAATAACAAAAATAAAAACAACCAAAAAACAATTAAATTAAAGATACCAGCATTTCAACATTATTTCTTATTCTCAAGGTTAAAAGGCAGTTCCTGTAGTTTCAGGACTGGACACTCAATACAGTATATGAGAAAACAAGGCGTGGTGGCCAATTTAAACTACGTCAAGTGACGTACTGGGACAGTCTACCCTGAACCCATGAAGTTACAAAAAGTATATATAAAGAAGATAAAGGAGTCATTATGTTTACATAGTTCACAATAAATGGATCATGTTTGCTTCCAAACCAACTTGAGGAACTAGTATCAGTGTTGCTAGCCAGACCCAGGGGCAGGGTACTATTGAAAGAACAGAGATATTGTATGACGAAAATACATATCAGACAATAGTGTAGATTGTCTGCTCTACCAAGGTTAAAAAAAAGTCATATTGTGGCCCAAGTGACATTGTACACATATGACATTTGGAACTGTATAAAGTGTGCTGTTGTCCCTGGGCAAATATGTGTTTGCATTCCTTCTAAACAAAACAAAATAAAAAAAGAATAAGAAAGAAAATCCATAAAAGTCAATTAGGTGTTTCTGTAATGCTCTGCAATTAGAGAAGTGCAGAGGGGCTGCAGCATAAGTAACAATTAAAATGGGTTGGGGGGCTGACTTCCTAAGCTGACAGGAAGCAACATTTTTGTTTTGCTAAAACAGCTTTTTTTTAATTTTTTTTATTAACATTCCACAAATCTTGTCAATTCAGTAAGGCAATTCTATTCTCTCCCCCTGGTTTTCCTGTGACAAGTAGTTCAGCCTTTTCTTTATTAAATGGACACTAGGCACCAAGGCCACTTCATCTTAGATGTGCTTCCTCCGAAACTTCGCTATTTCAATCAGTTGAAATGTGTGGTTGGCACAGCGATTTGCTAAATATTCACGCTATCCTGCAATGCTTTCATTTAAGCGTGATAATCTCAGCCAAGGAGGGAGAGAGCAGCGTGGCGTGTTATAAAAGGGAATATCTTTTTAAACCTTGCGGGACAGACAGCTAAATGGGGACTAAGACACTGTAGATGGCAAATCTCTTTAGGAAGGAAACTCCTTGCACTACAACCTGTGCAAGGAGTATAAGTGGTTATAGTACTTGATGTGCCCCATTGCAGTAAAATTGTATCAACACAAAGCAAGCAAATGGTCTAACAAAAAAATACTACTACATAAACTTTCTAGGAAAAACATAATTAAGTCCCTTTCTTCGCCACTTGAGATGACACAAACAAAAACAAACTAAAAAGCTTAGGTGCCAGAGTAATTCCAATGCAGAATCCAAACAACACGTGAGTATCCTGGGTCATCTACCTCTGTCAGCTCAGCTGGTTAGTGAGGGCAGATGAAGCAGCACGTCAATTAATTGAACAAAGCTACCGCGTAAAACCCTGCTCAGAACGCAAATGGCAGTGAAGCAAACGATGGAGTCTCAAGGATTAAACAAAATAGTTTTGGAAACTCATTATGAGGAAACCAAATTCCAGAGTAAATCAAAAGCACAGCTGTTTGGAACAGTTTAGGAAAAGTTTCTAAAACATTTCCAATAAAACCTAAAAACGCTTGTTTGCAGAAACAAAAATGTAGGGCAATCAAGACTACCTCAAGAATTTTGAAGGAATAAACTGGAGCATACTTGATTGATAAGCACTCTCATTATTGTTCATTTAACACCACATTTTGTCTGGATGGATGGACAACTTCTGGTGAAAATGGCCAAACATAGAATGTGACGGCAGATAAGAACCAGTCGGCCCATCTAGTCTGCCCAATTTTCTAAATACTTTCATTAGTCCCTAGCCTTATCTTATAGTTAGGATAGCCTTATGCCTATCCCACGCATGCTTAAACTCCTTTACTGTGTTAACCTCTACCACTTCAGCTGGAAGGCTATTCCATGCATCCACTACCCTCTCAGTAAAGTAATACTTCCTGATATTATTTTTAAACCTTTGTCCCTCTAATTTAAGACTATGTCCTCTTGTTGTGGTAGTTTTTCTTCTTTTAAATATAGTCTCCTCCTTTACTGTGTTGATTCCCTTTATATATTTAAATGTTTCTATCATATCCCCCCTGTCTCGACTTTCCTCCAAGCTATACATGTTAAGATCCTTTAACCTTTCCTGGTAAGTTTTATCCCGCAATCCATGAACCAGTTTAGTAGCCCTTCTCTGAACCCTCTCTAAAGGTATCAATATCCTTCTGAAGATACGGTCTCCAGTACTGTGTACAATACTCCAAGTGAGGTCTCACCAGTGTTCTGCACAATGGCATGAGCATTTCCCTCTTTCTACTGCTAATACATCTCCCTATACAACCAAGCATTCTGCTAACATTTCTGGCTGCTCAGAGGGGATATGATAACATTATACAAATATATTCGGGGCCAGTACAAACCATTATTTGAAAATCTATTCATAAACGGTTATACATAGGACACAAGGTCACGCATTGTCTGCCTACCTTTAAAGGATCACTATAGTGTCAGGAAAACAAAGCGGTATTCTTGACACTATAGTGCCCTGAAGGTGCCCCCACCCTCAGGGTCCCCCTCCCGTGGCGCTAAAGGTTAAAACCCCTTAAGCAGCTTACCTTATTCCAGCGCCGGGCTCTGAAGGGTTAAAACCTGAGGGACATTGCACCCAAACCCCTTCATTGAGCTGAAGTGGTCTGGGTGACTATAGTGTCCCTTTAAGTCATCAGAAATAATCACCCCTAAATCCCTTTCCTCAGATGTTGAGGTTAGGACTCTATCAAATATTATGTACTCTGCCCTTGGGTTGTTACGTCCAAGATGCATTATCTTGCACTTATCCACATTAAATGTCAGTTGCCAGAACTCTGACCATTTTTCTAGTTTACCTAAATCATTTGCCATTTGGCTTATCCCTCCTGGAACATCAAACTCTGAGCAGAAAATCAATTCTCATATTTATTGAAGCTAATTTCAGCTGAAATTCAATTTACCGGAATCCATAACACTGAGCATGCATTCGGTGTCAGGATTAAAATCAGTGCTGTGCGCATCCGAACCCTTACAAAGTATAGGATTCAGAATCCGTTTAAACTAAACAGCGAATGACTGCATCCAGCAGCAAGCATATTTGCAAATTATCATTCACTTGCTCTTAGGCAAGCAAGCAACAATCTGAATTACAGTTTCTGAGTTGGAAGCACAAGCAGCCGGTGGGCAAAATAATTAAGGAACCCTTGGCAACGCAAGGATTAACTTATGTGTAACTTAAAAGAAGAACACAACAGAGAGTTCAATGATACAAATTATAAATGATGATATAAATTATAGATAAAATTAAGCTTATACTTATTAGTTTCTCCAACACACCTTAAATATGCAGTGCAATTTTGGGCACCTGTTCTAAAGAAAGATATCATGGCACTAGAAAAAGTACAGAGACAAGCTACAAAATTGATTAAAGGAATGGAGCACTTAAGTTACGAAGAAAGGTTCAAAAATTTAAATCTCTTTAGTTTGGAAAAACAGGGCCTCAGAGGGGATATGCTAACATTATACAAATATATTCGGGGCCAGTACAAACCATTATTTGAAAATCTATTCATAAACAGGTTTATACATAGGACACAAGGTCACGCATTTAGGCTGGAAGAATGAAGATTTCACCAAAGAAAAGGTTTTTTTTTACAGTAAGAGCAATAAGGATATGGAATTCTCTGCCTGAAGAGGTGGTTTTATCAGAGTCAATACAGATGTTTAAACAGAAATTGGATACATACTTGCAAAAAACATAACATACAGGGATATCATTTCTTATTAGTGGGGTAATAGTTGCATAATACATATCTGACTGCCATTTTGGGGTCAAGAAGGAATTTTTTCCTAGTTTGTTGCAAAATTGGAAGCACTTCAGATTAGGTTTTTGCCTTCTTTAGGATCAACAGCAAAAAAAATGATGTGAGGAAGGCTGAACTTTATGGACGCAAGTCTCTTTTCAGGTATGTAACAAATGCAATACATACACACAGGCAGACCGCTGAATACACACACACAGTCGGCTGAATACACACACACAGACTGCTGAATACATACACTGCATTGAGGAGTGCAGTGTATGTGTTTGTGTGTACGAGTGCAGAGTGTGTCTGGGGGTTCTGTGTGTGCGCGTGTGGGGGAAGGAGTGCCATGTCCTTGTGGTATGTGACTGGCTGCAGCTCTCCTGTCCTCCAGCGCAATGCTATGTGGAGCGTTGCCATGGGAACACGCGACAACGCTCCACACAGCCTGTTCGCGGGAGGACAGGATAGCTACTTCCCAGATCCCTCCCCCTGCCTCCAGGTCCTCCCGATATGAAAGCAGAGTAAGCGTCTGCTGATCGCGAGGTGCAAAAAAGACAGAGCTTATAACAATGAGACAGCAAACTACAATGGAGTAGCGCAGTTGCAGGATAAAGACATTTTGAATTCTACATTTATATTTTATTTCGCACAACTCAAATACCCATTTGTTAGATATACGGTATAAGAACACAAACAACCAATACTTCTGGGTAGGATTCCTCGTTAAATAACTGGATTTATGTTCTAAAAAATGACACACTCTAGTGAGTGATCTAATGGAAATCTGCTCCTGATATGATTGAATCCACGTTTTACATAGCTTAATTCAAGTTCTTAATAAACAAACATTCTTGGATACAAAACAAAGCTCAAGGAACATATAACTGTTACAATGTAAAATGCTGCTTGTAAGCCAAAAAGAAATGGATATACAGTGGGACCTCTGTTTCCAAATTTAATGCGTTCTCCGAGATGTTTCTTATTGCGAAAAATTTGTAAACCAAAATGCAGTTTCCCATAGGAATGCATTGAAAACCAATTAATCTGTTCTGGAGGTCAGAAAAAAGTTAATATGAGCTGGCATAGAAACCAACCCACAATGCAGAACACACAATAAAAGGCATGCAAACGACAAAGCTCAGCTCCCTACCTTTCCACAGCTTGAGAAATGCACCAAAAAGTCCCAAAACAACTGCAAACTATTTCCAGAATGGCTCCAAAACTTGATGCAAAAGCCGCTCCAACACCTCCACACTCGACACCACGTGCTACCCACAGGCTCCAGCATGCAGGGGGCGGTGCTATAAACCTCCCAGGTGCAATGCATCCTGGGGAAACTTGCTTTGTATTGCGAAAATTTTTTGTAAACTGAGGCATTATTTTCAATGGATTTTCATTTGTAAACCGAAAATTATGTTAACTGAGGCGTTTGTAAACCAAGGTCCCACTGTATATATTAGTTACACTTGGCTCTCATGTGGTCTATCCAAGGTAGCCATATTGCTAGGTATTTTGGGGGGGATTCTGTAGAGCGGACCATCTTAATTCTTCCAAAGTGTGGTATGGCTCCAACCTCATTAACCAAGCCTCGATGGGTGTTTTTTGGGGGTATTTCCACATGCTTTTAAATAAATTCCTTTGAGACCATCAGAAGAAAATATGTTGGGGAGTATTTATATTTGGAAAGCAGTTCGCCGGTTAGATGGAAAAGTATGGTCGTTTGTGAATATGGACCGTCATTGCCAGTGACTATAGTGTTCCTGATCTTTTTCCAGTAGGGTCTGATCTCTTTACAGGAACACCAGATGTGTTGAAGGAAGCCTGTGTTTATTCCACAACACCAGTATATGGGTGAGTCCACTCTTATGTCTAAGCATTAGAATTGCATAGATCGATCTTTCACCACCTGTTCATCCAAACATTTTCCTACTCTGAGTAAATTTGGGAGGAAGATTTGTCTGTCTTCTATTCTTGTTAGAACAGTCCTTTTTACCTTTACTTTATTGTTATCAACACAGAAAGGTCAAAGCCATTTGTCAATTGTAAAACAGCAGTATAATGTGTAATTAAGCCCATAGACAGACCAAGTACATTAAAATGTCTATCAAATTAATTCAACTTTTAATTATCCTTGACAGCAAGCATTCATTGTACTTCTATTTGGTTTCCACAAGTGTTTCAATTTCCAGTTTTATTCATAGAAGGAAACATGGCGGGCCTTAGAGTTTGGTTCAGCCCACAAACAATAACAAAACCCTCTTCTGAGCAATGTTGGACTTGGGTTCGAGTTAAAAACAGCTGTTGGAAGTATCAAACTAGCTCCTTCAACACAGAACAAGTAAAAGCTTTATGCAGTTAATACAGAACGTAAGCAAACAGAATAGCTGTGACTTCTGTAAAGAAATTGATTGATTTAAAATACACACACAAAACAAATAATCTGGTACACTTTACTGCCACCTTTATAAAATTAAGCTATTTTTCTAATGCCACAATTAAAATGTAGAAGACTCACTTTACAGGAGCACGGGCATAAACCTGAAGCCAGTCGGGGATCTCGGCTGTATGGTATGGATTTGCAGGCACCAGAAGTGGCTGGCTCCTTTCGACTTGCTGAGGCTGATACGTAATGGGTGGAGGGAGAGGAGGTGGCTGGTCATACCTGGGAACGCTGCACAAGTAAAGTAAAGATGAAGCAGAGGAATGAGCACACCAAGTCAAAGTTGCTTTCAACAACTGTGAAAGTAAACTAGACTTCAATAGGCAAAAACCCATAGCTTCCACCCCCTCACTGTACCTCTCCTATTCCAGATTCTGCAGACTAAGGGTGGTGATATTTTAAAGTGTTGTGATCAGAAGAAAAAAAAATAAAGGAAGTAATTACCAATGGAAAGTTATTTTTGTTTTCCCTAGTTTCCATGGTGACTGACACACTTTCGGAACTTTACTCACTTATATTGCTCAAGCTATGCCGTTCTAATGATTATCAGGATTCGGTAACACACATATACATATGGGTTTATAACCCAAATAAATAAAGAATTAGCAATTACAATGTCAGACAAACTACACACACACACACACATTACATACATTTAAAACGTACCTTGGTGCACACGGGTGCTTATACTGGGCTCTTTTATTGATATGATCCACATAATACACTCCAAATTCAGCTGACTCCACTCGTTCCCAGCCAGGGGGTAAACCTTCCCTCTCCAGGGGATGGCTCCAATGTGTAGTGTTTGTGTTGTGATCGATGTAATATTTCCTTCCCCGTATAGTCCAGTCTACAGTCCATCCGGGAGGAAGAGGCATGTCTTCAGTACTGTGATTTGTTAAGTTTCCCAACGATGTAGCCGCTATTCGTCCAATACCTGCAACCGACACAGAATGTTCACAACGTCACAATGTTCATCATTTCATTGTAACACTGTCTGGTCTGCTGTAAATAACAAGGTATGTTTATCAGGTTTCACTGCAAGTGAAAATGCTATACTATAAAACCAGGGGCACTTTTGTTCAGGAAACTTATTTATAAAAAAAAAAAAAAAAAAAGTTATAAATTAAAAATAAAAATTAATTTAAAAAAAACCCACATATATACATGCTCTCTGTGCTCTAAAACCTACCCTGCCTAGTTGTAAGATGAGCTAGAAAATACAAGGGAAAAAACCCTCACTTATGTACCCAACTCCTGAAAATACATTCTTTTCTAATCATATCTCCATCATCATACAACTACTGCAACATGTAACATGTAACGAGCAGGATCTAGGAGCTCAACAAGTCCGGAAGCAAATGCTATATAAAATACTGTCACAAACACAAAAGGGGGAGGACATGTTCCCACCCCCTCCGCAGGAATCTGAGCCCTGAAAGATCCGTTCAAGAAAACAGACCATGACATCCCAGTCTTTGTAGAGCACAGCTCTAAGACACAAAGTTAAAACAAAATACTTAACTTTACATAAGTACTATGTAAAGCAATCTTGAAACTAAATGTGGAATAGATTTGAACTCATTTGATATATAACAGAGCATAATACATGGAGCTATAAATTCACTCTTTTACAAAATCCTCTATGCTACACTGTAAAAAAGACACAAAACAACAGATTTATACACTAGGCAAGGATAAATCGATAAATCACGGTTTCAAAATCTGCCTCAGGATGTACTCCCACAGCCAATTTTCTGTTTTTTTTCTCATTACCACACTTTTGCAAATAGTTCTTTAGTGCAATAGTGCTTTAGAAAATAAATAAGTTAAAGTACAGTTTTAGTTTTACATGGCATGTACTGCGGAAGATACACGTCAGCAACTCTGACTGCTGAAAGTCAGTAAAAAAAAAACACATGCATAAATTTGAATGACACAGTTGCCTCACTCAACATGCTGAAAAATCAGGTAAAATTAAAGGGACACTCCAGGCACCCAGAACACTTCTGCTCATTGGAGTGGTGTGGGTGCCAACTTCCACTACCCTTAACCCTGCAAGTGTAATTATTGCAGTTTTCATAAACTGCAATAATTACCTTGCAGGGTTAAGTCCTCCTCTATTGGCTGTCTATCAGAAAGCCACTAGAGGGACTTCCGTGTTCTTAGAACACGAAAAGTGTGTTATACGACGCTGGACGTCCTCACAAAATCCCCATAGGAAAGCATTTTATAATGCTTCCCTATGGGGAGGTCTAATGTGCGTGAGGAGCTTGACCCAGCGCCGATGTCCCTCCGGTAAGTCACTCCAGCAACTTGGGATGGGGGGTGGGCTGGAGAGGGGCACTACAGGATCCTGCAGTGCCAGGAAAACTATATTTACTTGCTTCTTCTTTCTTATGCTTTCCACACCCACTCCAGGGGGGGCAATAATCTAACCAATCAGAGTCCTTTCCTTAGGAAAGCTGAAAAGGTGCATTTGGCCTGCCTGACAGATTTGCACAAGTGCAGTTGGAAGATCTCTTCACTTCAACATCCTGACAGGGAGAGAAGAGAGGGTGTCTGCTCAGTGTGGTCATGGAGAGCAGGCTCTGGTGCTAGCGGGTTTCTCTCTCATGGTGCTGCACGAAAAGGGTGGGGGAGATAGGAGGTGTGGAGTGAGGGAAGGAGGGGATGGACAGACTGAAAACACTCCCCTAGCTAATAGATGAGTTCAGCCATGCATTATAGTAATTTTATAAAAGGTTTATTATGTTTTCAAAAAGTATTTCTGGATTTATTTTTGATTGCACATCTGTTTATAAGCGTTAACTTGCTGGTTTAAAAAATAAATAAATATTGAGTAATGCATGCTCCTTTAATAACCTCTTCAGGACCAAACTTCTGGAATAAAAGGGAATCATGACATGTCGCACATGTCACGTGTCCTTAAGGGTTTAAGCAAAGTAAAGTAAAACATTGATCAGAACAAAATTCACAGTTTTGATTTCACCCAAAAAGGAGATAATCTAACTCAGGGCTGTCATACTCCAGTATCCTCAATGTTGATAGACTACAACTCCCAAATTCAATTGACTGCAGTAGAATTATGGGAGCTTGAGTCTGACTACATCAGAGGAACACTGTTTGACACATAGAAACATAGAATGTGACGGCAGATAAGAACCATTCGGCCCATCTAGTCTGCCCAATTTTCTAAATACTTTCATTAGTCCCTGGCCTTATCTTATAGTTAGGATAGCCTTATGCCTATCCCACGCATGCTTAAACTCCTTTACTGTGTTAACCTCTACCACTTCAGCTGGAAGGCTATTCCATGCATCCACTACCCTCTCAGTAAAGTAATACTTCCTATTATTTTTAAACCTTTGCCCCTCTCATTTAAGACTATGTCCTCTTGTTGTGGTAGTTTTTCTTCTTTTAAATATAGTCTCCTCCTTTACTGTGTTGACACATTGTAATAGCTAGCTCTGTGAGCGGAAGGGAAATGCAGGGACTTCAGGCAGATCTGCATAGTGAAGGAATGACTGCATAGGGGCAGTGGATTCATTCAGTAACAGAATGGGGGGGGGGAGGGAGGACCACTAAATGGGGGGTGGGAGGATAACTAAATGCAAGGGAGTGGCTTCAACCAGCTGTGTACAGTGAGGGAATACAGAAGGGGAGTGGCTGTGTACATTGAGAGTACATGAAGGTTTACTTTCACCAAGCGTTTTGTGTAATGATGGGAACCGAAGGATTTAAAGGAATACATCACTTCCCGAATAGGCAAAACAAAAATGTAGATATCAATATTTTGTAGATATACGCCCAATAAATACATGCATGCATGTTTTAATGCAAGTATTCATTAGTGGTATATCTTAAAAGAGCTAGCAAAAGCTGTAGTTCATATGAAATGCAATCCTTGCAAGTCCTGACCCTTTTTCCCAGAAGAGATGGAGACAGCCTAAGAAGGTCTCCCCCCATGCATGCGTTCGTACTTACAGAATTCTAATCTGAGGTATGAGGAGGGGAGTCAGGCGTGCTCAAGCTAACGGGAGGAGGAGGAAGAAACCTTCCTGGCTGTTTAACAGCCAAGGGCGTGTCATTATTTATTTAGAATATTGCTGATTTCTCGAAGAAATTATTTATTACGGGATACTCTTCACCCATAAAGCACTTGAGCAGTTTGAAGTCCTTTAAGGGTGCAGAGTGGTCCTTTAACCAGCTATTTTTGCAGTCTTGGAATTCTTCAAAAGAGATCCTTATTTTGTCCCATGTATGTCTTTTGATTATTCTGGAATTTCAGCGAAATTAATGAAAGAGGATGTCTCCTGTGAAGTGACAGTTTCACGTTCACATAAATGGGATCAGTCGTAAATAATAACTGGTTTGGGAATGCAGTGATTGTGAAGATGTGCAGATTGTTCGTAACATCTATAAATAAAACAATGTTCTAAAATACAGCTCAGGGTGAAGAGCTGTTGGCGCTAGTCCCACAGGACAGCTCAGAGGAATAATTCCAGAAGGAGATTAGCCATTTTAACCATACACACACACATAATCTGTAGACCATCAATGAAAACCAGAGGCCTACAATGCAGATTTAGGTGGCAATAAGTGAACATAATATCAGTGCCAGTTCAAGGATTTTTCTCGCCAGATGAAGACAAGAGGATGATGATGGGCTCAAGCTGAAGTCTGGCGTAGAAGAGGCTCTCTGGAGACTAACAGTGCTCACAAAAATCAAAGAACAGGAAGCAGCTCCATTTTTGGGGGCCCCTTACACAGCTCAAGGGGCCCCCAGAGTCTGACCGGGAGTATGCCTACAAGGTCCACCCATTAGTCAACCTACATGGCCCACACATGAGTTCGCTCACAAGGAGTGGAGTGTATTTGTGTAGGGGATGTATTATGTGTTATTGTAGAAGATGTAATGTGTGTGTGTTCTTATGGAATGTAGTGTGTAGGGATACCAATTTGTGTAAGGGGTGTAGTGTGTGTATAGGGGGTGTAGTGTGTGTTTATGCATTCTTTGCTTCTGTGTATGTGTAAGGATGCATTGTGTATGTGTGCAGTGTGAATGAGAGGGTTTGTGGGGTAGGATAGGGGCCGAGAGGGGAGCACCTATTTTTTTTTTTGGTGCTCTCCCCACCGATGCCTCAGAGCTACCCCCTCCTGTTCCTTAGTGATCTCCCCTACCACTCTGTCCCTTAGTGCAGCCCCTCCTCTTGGTGGTCCTCCCTCCCCCCTTTAGTGGTCCTCCCTCCTCCTCCCCCCATTTAGTCCTCCATTTAGTAGTCCTCCTCTCCTCCCCATCCTCCCTCTCCTCCCCCATTTAGTAGTCCCCTCTCCTCCCCCATTTAGTAGTCCTCCCTCTCCCCATTTAGTAGTCCTCCCTCTCCTCCCCATTTAGTAGTCCTCCCTCTCCTCCCATTTAGTAGTCCTCCTCTCCTCCCCATTTAGTAGGTGGTCCTTCCTCCTCCTCTCCCCATTTAGTGGTCCTTCCTCTCCTCCCCATTTGTGGTCCTCCCCTCCCTCCCCCCATTTAGTGGTCCTCCCTCTCCTCCCATTTAGTGGTCCTCCCTCTCCTCAACCCCCCATTTGTGGTCCTCCCTCTCCTCAACCCCCCTTTAGTGGTCCTCCCTCTCCTCAACCCCCTTTGGTGGTCCTCCCTCTCCCTTTAGTGGTCCTCCCTCTCAGTGGTCCTCCCCCCCATTTAGTGGTCCTCCTCTCCTCACCCCTGTGGTCCTCCCTCTCCTCCCCCTTTAGTGGTCCTCCTCTCCCGCGCCCCTTTAGTTGTCCTCCCTCTCTTCCCCCTCCTTTGGTGGTCCTCCTCCCCCCCCCTCCTTTGTGGTCCTCCCTCCTCACCCCCTTTGTGGTCCTCCCTCTCCCCCCTCCTTTGTGATCCTCCTCCCCAGTGGTCCTCCCTCCTCCTGGTCCTCCCTCCTGGTGGTCCTCCTCTCCTCCCCCCTTTGGTGGTCCTCCCTCTCCTCCTCCCCTTTAGTGGTCCTCCTCTCCTCTCCCCAGGTGGTCCTCCTCTCCTCTCCCCTTGTGGTCCTCCCTCTCCTCTCCTCCTCTCTCCCGGTGGTCCTCCCTCTCCTCTCCCTTCAGGTGGTCCTCCCTCTCCTCTCCCCTTCGTGGTCCTCCCTCTCCTCTCCCCTTTGGTGGTCCTCCCTCTCCTCCCCTTTGGTGGTCCTCCCTCTCCCCTCCTCTCCCCTTTGGTGGTCCTCCCTCTCCTCCCCTTTGGTGGTCCTCCTCTCTTTGGTGGTCCTCCCTCTCCTCCCTTTAGTGGTCATCCCCCCCTTTAGTGGTCCTCCCTCTCCCCCCCCTTTTTAGTGGTCCTCCCCAGTGGTTCCCCCCATCTTAGTGGTCCTGTGTGCTTCCCTCCTGCCGGGTCACTCAAATCTGATGCCCCCAGGGCTGGTGCGACCTAGGCAACTGCCTAAGTCGCCTACAGGACACGCCGGCCCCGCATAATATAGATTATTAGACCGTCAAAAATAAACCAAAGAGTTAAATGCAGTAATCTTTGGAAATTCCGTCAATCCTAAAGGTCGTTTACAGTCCTATAATCACCCAATTTTAATAGAGGTCAATTTGTTAAAATCTCTATTTAAGCTTCAATGCATCTATAGATTTTGGCAGGGCCCTCTTTACCTTCTGTTTTATTATGTCATGCGTGTTTTGTCAGGATGTATAGTCATCCTGTTGTACAGCACAGCTGAATATGTTGGCGCTATATAGATAATTGTAATAGTATGTTGACACTGTGAATTTTATAAAAAGTACCTTATTACTCTGTAGTGGATGATGTTGTTATAATTTACAAACATTGGTACCAGTGTTCATTTTGGTGGCAAATTTTTATTTAGTTTGTCATATTTTAGTAATCTTGTTTTAGTCAACTAAATCTCCAGTAGATTTTAATCGACATGACTATAATCTAATGGGTTTAGTTAAAGCCTCTGTCTCTTTTGCCCCTTCTACAGCCCCTCTTTGCAGTGTTTATTTGGGCGGCAAATTTCAATTTAGTTTTAGTCAGTCCTTTGACTAAAAAGCCATTTTAGTTTCAGTCGTATTTTAGTGATTTGAATTATTTTAGTTTTAGTCGACTAAAATTGTTTGTCGACAAAAATGAACACCGATTGATATTCAGATAACCCCCAGGCCTATGTCTTTTTTATAAGCAAAGCCATAATCTTAAGCAAAGATACTGAGAAAATGACTGCAACATTTGGACTATTTCCAAAAATTTTAAATACAAGTCTAAAAGTTTACAAACTGCATTAACTTAAAAAGGTTTAGCCAATTAACACGAGACAAGGAATGATTGGATAATCATAATCGTTTCCAATCAAATTTACATTTCAGATTGCACAACAAGCATATAAGATTAAAACACCACATGTACTTAAAAGGAAAATAACCTTAATTTATAATGCCAGAGTGTTTAAAACCCCATTCAAATTACTGTGCCCCAAAGAGTACCAAAAAAATAAAAATAAATATGCCTGCAATTTATTATAGAAAAGCACGGAAACCAATCCGTCACATCTGCAGCGAGGAAGAGCATTCTCCCAGCTGTGTGACAGAGAATTTCTAAAAGTGCCGAATTCGCCTGAAATCAGCCCCTTCATAATGTGAGAAAGAGTTAACCCCTAAAGCATTTCAGCCAGCTGGAGTGCCTTAGAGGTTTGGAATGTTATTTTAAAAGAGCATCATTTTTTTTATGCATTAGTCATATCTGCAAATGCATATTTAGGCATGCTCATAAATTGACAAAATAGCACTATACACAGCAGCAATAATAGCAATAGCACTCAATACTGCTCTAATTTTAACAAAATAGAGCACAACAATTCAATACAACTCAACAGAACAAATTGACCTATGGCCTGGATTGCACTCTGCCTTCTCCAAAAACGGACGTATCGTGGTCGCTTCCAGCCACTCTAAGGGTATTACATGGTGTAAAAGTATAGCATCACAAGCATTGTCTGCTCCGACGGCAACACACAGGGGAATCCCCAATACTACACGAGGGACTGGAGACCAGCACACTCACCTCCACTCTCCCACCAACTAGTATTATTCAAAAGCAGCAGACATCTAGTATTGTTTAAAAGCAGCTGACACCTGCATAAGCATATGAAGAAAAAGAAAAAAAAAAAAAACAGCTGACATCCATCTCACCCTCCAAAAGAAGATTTTTCTCTGCATATTCCTTTACTGAGCTATCCACAGACATACTGACAGGCAGACTCAGGACACAAGATCAGGAGGAAAAAAGAGAGCTCTCTCTTCAATCAGGTTGGACTTTTAAAGTATATTTATTTTTATATCTAGACCTTTTTTCTCAACCTTCTCTTTTTTTTACATATCCATTGTTGGAAATATTTTTATCACATATTTCCTATTTTTTGCATCTTTTTATTATTTTTTTAATTTCTTTGTTTTTATGCAATACCTGTAAAATAGTGTGCACACTTTATTTAGCATAATTTTTACAATAGGATAACTATATCCAAGTATACAACTAGTATATACAGCTTTTTATATATATTTTATGCTCTATAATAAAATGTTTTCTTTTATATGTTAACCACTGTATGTATTTTTGCGCTTCTTTTCACATTTCTACTGATAGTAATCTTGCTGTTTGACTAGATAAGAACGCCAAAAGGACCACTATAGTGCCAGGAAAACAAACTCGTTTTCCTGGCACTATAGGGTCTTTGGGTTCCCCCCACCCTCAGGGTCCCACTCCCGCTGGGCTCAAGGGGGCTGAAGGGGTTAAACACTTACCTTTCTCCAGCGCCGGGCTCCCTCGGCGCTGGGGAACGCTCCTCCTCCTCCCGACGTCAGTTCTGAATGCGCATCATGGCCTAAGAAAGCCATAATAGGCCAAGTAGATAGCTGCTTTGATTACTGAATTTGAGGCATGTTCGAAAGGGGTTGTATCTAATAAGTCTGACATATCCTTAAATATCGGTTGGTGAACGGGTAACCTTAGAGGTGGACTAGTGTTACTGGCTTTGTGTATGCCTTTCAGTATGTTCTTAATGGGGTATGGAGACAAAAAACTAAGGTTGTTTGGATATAATGTATACATGTGGAATCCATGTTTAAAATGGAATGAGGCAAAAATGTGATTCTTTGTTAAACTAATTTGCATATGCCCACCCAGAATCCTTTGTGGATTGCTATACGGCTGCTATACGGTCTCAAAGGCAACATGGGCCCAGCAAACCAATCTGGCAAATTGCAATGTGCAAACATGGAAAAGGGGAAATCCCTACATTTGACCCCTGCAAGTTTGCAAAAATCCATAAAACCTGTACATTGGGGGCACGGTTGTACTCGGGAGATGTTGCTGAACACATATTGGGGTGTTCTTTGTCAGTAACACATAACAGGAGCTGAGAATCCATGCCTAAAGTACAATGTGAGAGAAAAATAACGCAAACAAATGACTACCGAAAAGTTTGACAAAGACTGGAGGTAGAATTAGTGCATGGAAAGTGTTAAAATACCACCATTTGAAATACCCTAGGGTGTCTTCCTTTCATAAATATATGGTTTGATCGGGGTAAATTACATTGGCCGGCTTAAAAAATGTCCCAATAGGACATGGGTGCATGATGACCAGCTGTGAAAATTCCAAGTTGGAAAACTGGAATGCGCACCCTCCAAATAAGATATTTTATCCCCCAGAGATCCCGACACACCTATACATGGGTGGTACCACTGTACTCAGGAGATGTTGCTGAACACATATTGGGGTGTTGTTTGGCAGTAACCCTTAAAGTTCTCAGTACATGTATTATTAAATTGCTATGTGTGTAGAAAAAAAAAAAAAAATCACCAATTATTCTTTTAGTTTTTTAAATTTGGCATAAATTGGTGGTAAAATGGTTGCATGAAAAGAGTCAAAATACCCCAAGTTTAATACCTTAGGTTGCCTTCTTTTAAAAAAAAATAAAAAAAAATTATATATATATATATATATATATACACACATACACACACACACATACACACACACGTGAAGGGTTATTCAGGGACTTGCGTTAATTTTGAAAAAAATAAAATAAAATGGTTTGGCACTAGCAAAGTGTGTACTTATAGCATCACAGGGGGCTGAAGACAGACACTTTATGGAGGTCCCCAGATTATTCATATGTTTTAGTCTCTCTGTGTCCATTACAGGTATATGGTGTGTAATTGTATTTGTTAGTAATTCTCCTTCCCCCCTTTCCTTGTTGTTTTCCCAGACGGGCACTGTCCCTTTGTTCCAGAGACTCTCATTTGCTGTATGTTATTATATGTGTTTTAGGTCAACAGAAAGGAAGAAATTAGTTTATAATACAATAGCTATTGTGCAATGGATCCTGGTGTCAGGCAGGTAATTCAAATATGGACTCTTGACCTAATTCTGTCCTACACACCAAGGAGTGACTTGTATTATTTTGTGTGATGACCCCCTGTTCTGATAACTTCTATATAAACCTGTGGTTCACTCAATAAAACCATTTCTACTTCACTCTTCACTAAGTCTCGACTAGTGTTTGGGTGAGAGCTATACAGCTATAAACTCTGAAGGAGAGAGTGATCACTTGGAGCTCTACCAAGGACCCTGTTCAAGGGCAGGAAGCTACGGAGAGACCTTGACCTAGGTACCCAGCCGGTTTACCAGGAGCTTTGTCACAATATTTATGAAGGTTCATTTGTGCCCTATGCATTTCTGTCCAGAACCGAGTTTGTTTAGCCTTGATAAATACAGCCCAAAAACAGTCAAAACTAATATGTTGGTTTTAAAATAATGGGCTGTGAAGTAATGGGACGTTGTTCTATGCTTCTAAATACCGTACTCCCATACGAGAACTCCCAAAGCCAGGGTCAACAATCCCAAATGTTAAGAAAATAACTGTACTAGACCCCTCACACTTCTTGCCAAGAAGGAAGCTGCACTGGAGTTAGTGATATGCAATCCATCTGATACAATGGTTTCTATTAACTTAAAACATGCTTGTAAAAAAAATTATTATTGTACGTGCCTTTCTTTTTTATGAAATGCTCAGAACTCAACAAGACAGCCACTCCTGGCGCCACATTAAACAACTTCTCTCTTCATAAATTATTGGTCTGTGCTTATTGTAGTGGTTCTACTAAAGTAAATGTATAAAATAAACGTAGACTTGTTTTAACAACAAATAGTTTAGAACATGCATCTCAAGGCCACTACTTCCCCCTCAATTTTGCTGAACGAAAACACCCATCACTTTCTGGCCATCTACTGCATTTGCAAACCATCAACATCTGTGTGGCCAGAGTTTGCTACCAATATTTCGAGAGTAGCACAATGAACCAGCAAACGTGTTATTGCTACCTGCTTGTGGCCTTCCATGTCCGTGAATAATCCTCTGTACATGGTCACTGTTATGATCATAATATCTGTATTCGTCATGGGCACGATCAACTTGCCTCCTCCTCTGTCCATCAAACTGTTGATCTGAACAATAATATCTGGCATTACCATCCCCATTTTCCATCACAGAATTAACCTCAGTTAGAAAGGACTGTGAAGAGTTGCCGTATTCCCTGGGCACTTCACCCAATCCCCGGACCAAATAGGAAGGAGCGGAAAGTCTGTTGCTTTCCCTGCGCATGACTTCTTGTGGTGCTCTCTGGATATGAGTCCGTAAAAAACTTTGGTTCCTGGACACAGCGCCATCTCCTGGCGGGGTGTAATGGGAAGGCTTTGGTTCAGGAGGGCAGACATCAGTTCGCCGTGGGATGGTTGGACCATGGCGAATAAAGGAGGGCATCAAATCTGAGGAGGGAAAAAAAAAAGTGTGTGCATTACAAAAATATCCATAATATGACCTTTAAAAATAAGTCTAAATTTGATTCCAGAAAAACGAGTAAAAGAGGTAATTACCACAAAGATCAGTTTACTGGAAGTCCGTTACCACATATGTAAAAAATAAAATACAGCGACCGCACTTTATGCATCACACCTGAATATTATCTGCATTCTACCAAAATAAAAAGTATCGTGGAACGGGTTAATAAATGTTCCAATACTTATAGATTACATCTATTTTTTGTAGCGGTTATAGTGTTTACAATACCTTTTTAACTTTAAAAAAGGCTTAATGTGTGCATGCATTGCTCTTTAATGGTCTACTGATCAATTTATACATCTTTTATCATGTCATTATTTTACATAATTTAAAGGGATATTAAAGTCGCCAAATTAACACCACCTTTAGTTTAATGAAGCAGTGTTGGTGTTTATATAGATTATGCCCTTGCAGTCCCACTCCTCAATTCTGTACCTTGTAGGACTTTAAAGAATCCTTTAGGTGCCCAGACCACTTTATCTCAATAGAGTGGTCTGGGTGCCATGTGCCCCTCTTTTATGGACATCCACTAAAGGTGCTTCTATAAAACAAAGTAAAATGTGTGCCTCCCCCTCCCTCACAGACATCAGGCCAGCTCGACAGTTCCAGATGTGCGCGCGTGAACGTCGGGACCAAGTCAGAGGCTTCTCAATGAGAAGAGACTGAAAGTCTCTTTTAGGAAAAAAAAAGGGAGTCCTTACAAAGGCTACAGTCATAAGAACTGCAGCTTTGTAAGCTTTTTTTAGACTACTCCCAATGAATACATACATGTATTCATTGGGTTATCTAGTAAACTGTGGGTATTTTTGGAAAGTGTGGAGTAGTCCTTTAAATAGCCTGGGGAATGCACTTTTCCAAATATATACTTTTGTGTAGCGGTTTTGGACTCTGTGACTACTATAAAAGTTGTAATCTCAGCATACCATTACTGTTTAGTAGATATTTCCCCAACAAAAACATGCATGCATTTAATTATGCATTTATTTTTTATTGTGGGTTTATGTAAAAACAGCTTGCAAAAGCTGCAGATTTCGTCTGAAACTTTTACAAGCCCTCCCCTACTAACCGCACCAAAACATTCTGTGGTTGTCCAATCACAGACTTTCCAACGCAGGAAAAAGAAGACTTTGCAAGACAGGTGCTCTGAGCCATAGCCAGTCTATTGAGGTTAGCTCCACTAAGCTAAACAACCATGAATTAACAGGACTGGTTGTCTGATTGACAGACAAGTGGTGTAACAAGGTTAATTTATAATAATCATAATATATAACAATAAAACATAATTGTTTTGAAATCTTCACTTTGTATAAAATGAAAAACAGATGCCACACTCTTCACACATAAATTACTTTAGTTTGCCGAAACGCTGTATGTGTGAAGAGTGTGTCCTCTTTTTTTTTTCCCCCAATAAAAATAGGAACTTTTATAAAATAACCTGGTAAAACCTCATTTGCTTTCAAGCAGACAACAGGTCCTTTTGCTTCCTGGTTTGGTTAGCTCTGTGGTACTTAACTCAAGAGGCGGCAATTGCCCAGAGTACCTGCCTTGCAAAGACTTCTCATTGAGCTGCATTGCCAAGTCTGTGATTGGACAGCCACAGAAAGTCTGGGCAGGGTTAGAAGGGCAGTGCTTGCACCCTTAATAGGAAATTAATAATTGAATGCATGCACGTTTTAATTTGGGGTATATCTATTTTAAGTACAAAACAAGCAAACAAATGTACTTGTTCCAATATTGATTGACACTGAGGCTCATATTGCATATCCCTTTCTTTACTGTTCAACCAATAGCAGCAAAGAATACAAAACAGTAAGAAAAAAAATGGTATACATAGTAATACCCCACTCCCATACCAAGTACCAGTATAACAGTCAGCACCTCATACTTCCTCTTTCTTTGCTGCTCCACGACCGTTAAGTACCATCTATTTTGTCTCTTGAGACTTTAGTTGTATAAATTATTGTGTATTTGTTATTATTTGTCTGGGGATTTTAGTTTAACTTAACCTTTGAGTTTAAATTGTAGAACTGTTTTATTGTATATTGTTTGGTTCTGTGCTCGGGTGCCCAGACTTTTTTTCTTTCCATCTATTTTTTTTCATATATACATTTTTCTCTGACTTTCTCTTCAGAGGCGTTTGTGTCTTTCCGTTTTCTGTCTCCCCTACTTGCTATACTGGGTCCCGGGGCCATTTTGGCTCCCTTTTTGTGCACGTTCAGCACGTTGAGTGGTTTTCTTGTGTTGGATGTTCAGATGTTGGCTTGAAAACGCCCGTCCACCTATTTTATTATTGCAGTTGGGGCCTTACGTGGCAAGGAGGCTACAGAGTTGGCGCCTCTGAGCCCATCACGAGTCGTCAGCAATAACTGTGTGGTTTCTGTTTTCAGAGCCTAATTCGGACTTGTTTGATGGACTCCGACTGATTATCGTCTAATGGAATCCTCTATGTTGGCGGTTCTTGTTTCCGGTGTTGGATTTGTCACAGTTCGTTGGATTGTTACCTGGTTGGTAACAAGTAACTAAATTTGTGGGCAATAGTTCTTGTGCGGTTGGACTGATTCCTTGGTTCCTGTTTAATGTTTGTTTTTTGTGGTTGCATCTCCAAAGAAAGGAAGTATGAAGAAAAGTGCTGACTATTATACTGGGACTTGGTATGAGAGTGGCCTATTACTATGTATACCATTTTTTCTTACTGTTTTGTATTCTTTGCTGCTATTGGTGGACAGTAAAGAAAGGGATATGCAATAATCGCCTCTGTGTCTTTAAAAAAAAAAAAATACATGACTTTTCGTCATGGAATAGCAAAATCATGTAATTTTATGTTTCTAAACCATTCAACACAAAGTGATCAACTTCATTCTCAGCATGGCTGGGCATCTATTGGGAGCAATCGTCACTTGCAATTAGTTCCACTTGATAAACCTAGAATTCACATATGGTAACTGTGACTATCTGGCAACATTAACATACATCAGATGTCAATTCACAGCAGTTGGAAAGAAAGCAGTTGGATGTAGCGCTATGCATTATGCGCACAGAGTAAGTAGAAAATTGCATAGACATAGACTGGATGTTTTATCTGCTAGCAGTACTGCTCGTGGTGCAAAAGGGTTAATTTTATTTTGCTTCTAAAACAGCTAATGACATTAAATTAGACAATCATTAAAATGTAATCCCGTTCTTACAGATCTAAAAGAGTGAACCTAAAAATGTACATTAACTGGATTCCAAGGATTAAGGCTATAAGACTACAATTGTCCCAGACAGGTATAAAAAATAAAAAAGCCATACAGACAAATCTCCCTGGAGGCTAAGTTTACACAAGTAGAGGTGACATGCATATGTCTGACAGTCTGTGGCGTTTTTACGCATACAGATAACTTTGAGGAATAAAACTCTAAAAAGTAACAATCAGAAGTAACATTCCCTTGGTATCTATGGAGACTGCTCTACTTGTATAATCCACAGATGCTCTTTACACCCACACGTCTCACATGTACACACTTTTAGTAATCAATATCTGAATTTCTTGTCCTTGCAGCAAAGGGTATGTATCTGCATGCCAAAGACATTATCTAAGGTGATACTAACCGTTCAAACCAACAGAGACAAGCCATACATTTAGCTTGATATAGTATAGTTGTACATTGAATTCTAAACACTACAACAGTGAACTGTATGTCACATCACACGCAGTCAGCCAAAGGATTAGACATTGCTGTACTTTTGGTGACAAAATATATTTAAAATTCTTAAACCTTGAAGTAAGCTTGACAGTTAAAAGTTACTGCAGTGCAATCAGTTTACTGCACCAATAACACCATTCCTTTACAATTAGAATGTTTAGTACAGTGTGTTTTATACAAGTACAAATATATATATATATATATATATATATAAAAAATATATAAAGCAGTTTGAGATATTGTTATAAGGCTATAAAAGCATACTGCTGTACAATAGTTTGTTGCACATTTTTTTTACCAATAGGATAAAGCTGGAACACCACTGATGAGGTGACAAAAATACCAAGTGAGTTTGCACAAGATGTGCCGGAAATGATCATCATCATAAAGATTTGCAGCTTCTAAAACATCTTATAGCACTGAGTGGAGCTAAAAGCTTCCAAGAATAAAACACTGAATATTTGAATCATCTCTGGGAGGTAAGGCTTATCCCATTGCCCTGAGACCTTACCAAACCAGAGCTGCTGCAGCTGCTACCATGAAAACATAAACAAAGCAGTCCCAGAGGAAGCTATAACTTTTCTTGCTATGAAATACCTACGGCTAGCTAGATACACCCAATGCACTGTGCCCATCACTACAGGCCACCATTTGCACTATGCGCCTCAACCCATGGCACACTACACACGGCCCCCTTACTCCATCCAATCTAACCAGCTGAACTATGTTCTTCACCTAATGGGAGCCCTCTCACTGCCTTCTCCACTCCATGTAAACAACAGCACCGTGTCCCTTAGCCCATGTAACCCCTCTCACTGCGCCCTCATTACATGGAACCCACCACACTGTGGCCTTCACCCATGACACTCCTTGAATTCCTCCCTTCGCCCCATAGCAATCTTCATATTGTGCCCTCACAGTAGAGCACCTATGTCACTGTCAATCCTTGCATCTTACTCCAAACCCCATGCCACCTTACATACTGTGCCACCCCATGTAACCCTTGATCCCATGGCATCCTTCACACAACAGGTCTGGCGCCATGGAATCCACACCACTGACCCCATAGAAGACAATCAACACAAGGCAACCAGAGGTGCCAGAAAATTTTCCATAGGGGGCAAACCAATTATATATGTAGCCATGGTCTTTAGTAGGCACCACTTAAATTAAAGGAAGAGCAATGTCACTTGCTCCATATTGTCAAATGCAGTGGATACCCATGATGATAATCCATGTATTGTGCCTTTCACCCCAAATAACTGCACCCTATGGCACCCATTGCTCTGTTCTGCTCACGACATAACGCTCTTTAGCATATGGCACCTACTGCACTGCGTCCACTCAACTTGGGGCACACACAGCTCTGCGCCACTCAACCTGGGGCACACATGGCTCTGCGCCACTCAACCTGGGGCACACACGCCTCTGCGCCACTCAACCTGGGGCACACACAGCTCTGCATCCACGGCTCTGTGCCACTCAACCTGGGGCACACACGCCTCTGCGCCACTCAACCTGGGGCACACACGCCTCTGCGCCACTCAACCTGGGGCACACACGCCTCTGCGCCACTCAACCTGGGGCACACACGCCTCTGCGCCACTCAACCTGGGGCACACACGCCTCTGCGCCACTCAACCTGGGGCACACACGGCTCTGAGCCAGTGAACCTGGGGCACACACGGCTCTGTGTCACTCACCCGATGGCACACAGGGCTCTGTGCCACTCACCCGATGGCACACAGGGCTCTGTGCCACTCACCCGATGGCACACAGGGCTCTGTGCCACTCACTCTATGGCACCCACTCCACACCGTATCCCATGGCACACATTGCCCTGTGCCCCTACGGTACATATCACAGTGTCCTTTGGCCAATGAGCCCATCACTTTCTGCCACCCATCACAGTGTCCCTTGACCTATGGCATCCACTGCTCTGTGCCCATCCACATATGGCAGCTCCCCTCAAACACTGTGCCCATCACCCCATGACTTTGCCCCCTCCCCTCTTTGCCTGCCCCCTCCCCCCCCAGACCGGTAGTTGCACTCTCCCAGTTTAGCCCCCGGTGCAGTGACCGGTCACACTCACTCCGCAGCAGGGGGGAGGTCTCCTTCTTCACATATTTCCCCTGCACCTCGGCCGGTTTATTAACTTCTTTCTTGGTTTTCTTCCTGGATAACATTCCCTCAGCCCGGGGACTGCCTGCTTCAGGCAGCGGCCCCGGACGGCATGTTCACTCCCCGGGAACTAGATCTCCCACCGCCTCAACTGCCGAGTCTGCGGCCACATCACCCGAGCTCCCCCCCCGATCCCTCCGCCAGCCGGAGAGCCTCAAACTTTACTTCTCCCAGCACATCGGCAGTGCGCATGCGCAGGAGCAACAGGCTATGACGTTTTCACCACGCCTTGCTCCCTATTGGCCAGCGCAGTCTGCCTCTGGGAGAGGGTGTGCCAGAGTCCTAGCCACGCCCATCTATATATACATTATAAACACTATTCTTCACTACCAGCCCTCTCTCTGTATTATACCCAGTACCACACTACCAGCCCTCTCTCTGTATTATACCCAGTCCCACACTACCAGCCCTCTCTCTGTATTATACCCAGTCCCACACTACTAGCCCTCTCTCTGTATTATACCCAGTCCCACACTACCAGCCCTCTCTCTGTATTATACCCAGTCCTATTACTCACACAGCCTCTCTCTCTGTGTATTATACCTAGTCCTACACTCTTACCAGCTCCTTCTCTCTCTGTATTATACCCAGTCCCACACTACCAGCCCTCTCTCTCTGTATTATACCCAGTCCTACTCACTAGCCTCCCTCTCTGTATTATACCCAGTCCCACATTACTAGCCCTCTCTCTGTATTATACCCAGTCCCACACTACCAGCCTCTCTCTGTATTATACCCAGTCCCCACACTACCAGCCCTCTCTGTACATATACCCAGTCCCACATTACTAGCCTCCTCTCTCTCTGTATTACACCCAGTCCCACACTACCAGCCCTCTCTGTAATATACCCAGTCCCACATTAGCCCTCTCTCTGTATTATACCTCAGTCCCACACTACCAGCCCCTCTCTCTCTGTATATACCCAGCCTCCACTCACAGCCCTCCTCCTCCTCTCTGTATATATACCCAGTCCCACATTACTAGCCCTCTCTCTGTATTATACCCAGTCCCACACTACCAGCCCTCTCTCTGTATTATACCCAGTCCCACACTACCAGCCCTCTCTCTGTATTATACCCAGTCCCACACTACCATCCCTCTCTCTGTATTATACCCAGTCCCACATTACCAGCCCTCTCTCTGTATTATACCCAGTCCCATATTACCAGCCCTCTCTCTGTATTATACCCAGTCCCACACTACCAGCCCTCTCTCTGTATTATACCCAGTCCCACACTACCAGCCCTCTCTCTGTATTATACCCAGTCCCACACTACCAGCCCTCTCTCTGTATTATACCCAGTCCCACACTACCAGCCCTCTCTCTGTATTATACCCAGTCCCACACTACCAGCCCTCTCTCTGTATTATACCCAGTCCCACACTACCATCCCTCTCTCTGTATTATACCCAGTCCCACATTACCAGCCCTCTCTCTGTATTATACCCAGTCCCATATTACCAGCCCTCTCTCTGTATTATACCCAGTCCCACACTACCATCCCTCTCTCTGTATTATACCCAGTCCCACATTACTAGCCCTCTCTCTGTATTATACCCAGTACCACACTACCAGCCCTCTCTCTGTATTATACCCAGTCCCACATTACTAGCCCTCTCTCTGTATTATACCCAGTACCACACTACCAGCCCTCTCTCTGTATTATACCCAGTCCCACATTACTAGCCCTCTCTCTGTATTATACCCAGTCCCACACTACCAGCCCTCTCTGTAATATACCCAGTCCTAAATTACTAGCCCTCTCTGTATTACACTCTGTCCTAAATTACTCTCTCTGTATTATACCCTGTCCTATATTACTAGCTCTCTCTCTGCAATATATCCAGTCCTAAATTACTAGCCCTCTCTCTATTACACTCTGTCCTAAATTACTTTTTCTGTATTATACACTGTCCTAAATTACTCTCTGTATTATACCTTGTCCTATATTAATAGCTCTCTCTCTCTCTGTAATATACCCAGTCCTAAATTACTAGCCCTCTCTGTATTACACTCTGTCCTAAATTACTCTCTCTGTATTATACCCTGTCCTATATTACTAGCTCTCTCTCTGCAATATATCCAGTCCTAAATTACTAGCCCTCTCTCTATTACACTCTGTCCTAAATTACTTTTTCTGTATTATACACTGTCCTAAATTACTCTCTGTATTATACCTTGTCCTATATTAATAGCTCTCTCTCTCTCTGTAATATACCCAGTCCTAAATTACTAGCCCTCTCTGTATTACACTGTCCTAAATTACAGAGTGTTTATTATAGAGCCCTGTATTACTAGCCCTCTCTCATTATTATACACTGTCCTACATAACTAGCCCTCTCTGTATTATACCCTGTTATACTTTACTAGCTCTGTCTGTATTATACCCTGTCCTTCATTACTAGCCCAGTGTGCATTATAGAGCCCTCTATTACTAGCCCAGTGTGCATTATAGAGCCCTCTATTACTAGCCCAGTGTGTATTATAGAGCCCTCTATTACTAGCCCAGTGTTTATTATAGAGCCCTCTATTACTAGCCCAGTGTGTATTATAGAGCTCTGTATTACTAGCCCAGTGTGTATTATGGAGCCCTGTATTACTAGCCCAGAGTGTATTATAGAGCTCTGTATTACTAGCCCAGTGTGTATTATGGAGCCCTGCAGCCCTGTATTATAGCCCAGCCCAGTGTAGTAGTGTGTATTATAGAGCCCTGTATTAGTAGCCCAGTGTGTATTATGGAGCCCCTGTATTAGTAGCCCAGTGTGTATTATTAGTAGCCCAGTATGTATTACTAGCCCAGTGTATTATAGAGCCCTGTATTAGTAGCCCAGTGTGTATTATGGAGCCCTGTATTAGTAGCCCAGTGTGTATTATAGAGCCCTGTATTAGTAGCCCAGTGTGTATTATGGAGCCCTGTATTAGTAGCCCAGTGTGTATTATGGAGCCCCGTATTAGTAGCCCAGTGTGTATTATGGAGCCCCGTATTAGTAGCCCAGTGTGTATTATAGAGCCCTGTATTAGTAGCCCAGTGTGTATTATGGAGCCCTGTATTAGTAGCCCAGTGTGTATTATGGAGCCCTGTATTAGTAGCCCAGTGTGTATTATGGAGCCCCGTATTAGTAGCCCAGTGTGTATTATAGAGCCCTGTATTACTAGCCCAGTGTGTATTATAGAGCCCTGTATTAGTAGCCCAGTGTGTATTATAGAGCCCTGTATTAGTAGCCCAGTGTGTATTATAGAGCCCTGTATTAGTAGCCCAGTCTATACAGTGTGTGTCTAAAGAGTGACAAGCAGTTTGTAATTGGGTGCAGTGTATCGAGCTGCCTGTAGATGTCGCTCGTGGCAGAGCATGACGTCAGAGTGAATGTAGCTTCTTGTCTCAGTGAGGAGCGTTGAGCCAGAGCCGGGTGCAGTGGCGTGCGCCTGTAATCCTGCTACTGGGAGGCTGAGGCTAGCGGATCGCTTGAGTCCAGGAGTTCTGGTCTATCCTGCGCTATGTCGATCGGGTGTCCGCACTAAGTTTGGTATCAATATGGTGGGGCCGAGGGAGCTCAGCCTCACCAGGTTGTCTAAGGAGGGGTGACCCGGCCCAGGTCGGAAACGGAGCAGGTCAAAACCCCCGTGCCGATCAGTAGTGGGATCGCGCCCGTGAATAGCCGGGGTAGGGCAGCCTGGCCAACACAGCGAGACGCAGTCTTTTTACTTATTATTTAAATTACTAATAATAGTATATTTAGCTCAGTCTTTTTATTATTATTACTATCAGCCTGACCAACACACACAGTCTTTTTATTTACTATTATAACTACTATTAATAATAGTAGCATTAGCCTGCCCAACAGTCTATTTATTATTCATTAATACATTTGAATTATTATTATTATTATTATTATTATTATTATTATTATTATCATCCTGACCAACACAGACACACACACACTGTCTTTTTATTATGGTTATAATTAATCTCTTAAATAAATATTTTATCATTATTTATGAGTTAGACATTAATCACCATCTGCGTTATAATGATTATAATTATCTATTATTTGTGTTTTATATATATTTTGAATAAATATGTGAAATTATTTATTCCTCTTGACTGTCATTTATATATCTAGACATAAGGGTGATGTGGACTGTTAATGATCACATTCTTCTCTGATTGTGATTCATATCATTAGCTGTATGGTAATGTTAACACAATTATTATTATTATTATTATTATTATTATTTTTATTATCCTCATTAAAACCTCTGAGTAACCTTGATAGGGTAACCTGGCTCACACAATTATTAACAATACATTATTATTATTAACCCATGGCAAGCAGGGTAGGGTTGCACAAATTACACAGTGCATTTATTATGGATATTATTATTATTAAAAATAATAATCAGACTTTATTTATTACTATTAATTGTGTCATTAACCTGCGAATAGCCCAAGTAGTGCACACTGTCTTATTATAATTATTGTTGTTATTATTATTATTAACTAGACTGTAAGCTTGTTTGAGCAGGGTCCTCATTTACCTATTGTCCCTGTAATATTTTGTAATGGTCTCATTTATTGTTAAACTTCCCCTTTTATAATATTGTAAAGCCCTGCGTAATATGTTGGTGCTATAAAAATGCCACAAATAATAATACATATTCATTAGCCATGCCAGGAGAGCCCTGCCAAATCAGAGAGACTTATCCTTTCGGTCAATAAATTAATACTCCAAGAACCATAACCACTGCAGCACAATCTAACAGTTTGACTTCTTACTTTGAGTCCACCGGTGGCAGTCCCTGTCTCTATGATAGCCAGAAGCTCTCCTGAGCTATGCCAAACATGGCAGGGCTTAGCTTACGTGAGCTAATGTATGTTCCTGCTAAGGAGCTTTTGTTTCTGCAGTGTTAGTTGTGGAGGTGGGGAGCAGCGCCCAGTGGTCCACAGGTGATAAATCAAACTGTTCAAAAATGGTCTGACTACTTACAATAGGTGGCTCCTGGAGAACTCCTGACACCATAACCACGATAGTTCTCTGTATCCTTCCATGCAGTTGCTGTGTTAAGCATTCTTTATTTTATATTTACATGTAAATGTTTATTTAAGGATATGCACCAAACAGATGGTGAACAGTACACAATGAAATATAAAAAATAAAATGTACAACTAAAACCAGCTCAATTAGCAACATATGAATAAACCACTCCCCCTTACATTCATCTCCGAATGAAGCAGCCCACGTGTTCACAATCAATGAAAATCAATCAATAATGTACAGAGTGCCATAATTTGGTACCAGAATTTAAACCTAATTCTACTCCAATAATAAATAGATAATATCTATACCAAAATGTAATGAATTAAATGACACTAAAACTATTTAAAAAAAAATAAAAATAAACATGTGGATGAAAGTGGTTTTGGTTATGAATACATGCAGTATTAAATACTCTAATATCTTAGTGCAACATGGAGAAAAACTGAATTTTTTCATGCGTAAAAAGGAACAGACAAGATAGTATAATGCTGTGTATTGCATAGATAAAATTACAAACATGATTAAAAAGGCTTACATTAGATTCAATGGGACCCTTTGAAGGTTTTAAATGTGCACACATGCTCAAAAGTATAATCACCCTTATTATCATTAAAGTAGCCGCCGCTATGCCACTCCCCATGATCAACTGTGCTCTGTACCACGCTGCTTGTTTTCGGGTTGTGACGTATCTCTCAGCTCTGTGACAGTTTGACACTTATCACAAATCCCGGTTAAAGCATTAAATTTTTGGTGTTTTTCACGCGTGTTTTTTTTGGGGGGAACTCACAAATTACGTGCCCCATTATTATAAACACGTGCAATATTTGTATACCTACTGTTATCAAGTACAGTACATGTATAACTTTTCCCCTAATCCTTCCCTTAATCTTGCCCTCAATCCAACCACTAATTCTACCGATAATCCATCCCATAACCCTACCCATTATCCTACTTAAAATCCAACTCCTAAACCTGCCCCTAATCCCACCGTTAGTCCTAGCTCTTACCTCAGCAGAGGGATTCCCCAGCTCTCGCAGTACAGAGCGCTCTGTGAGCACTCAGTACTGTGTGATTGCAGCATGAGTGGGAGATCTCCCTTTCATGCTGCAGCTCCTAGAAGTGTGATCAACGCTGGGCAGCTGGCAAAATCCAGCACTGATCACTGGGCAGAAGGGCATGCACAGAAAAAAAAACTATATATGACAGAATATGTAACAAGGTGCATATGAAATATATATTGAATTACTGGCATATCCATGAGAATGCAATAAAGCACAAAGATAAAGACCCCATGATTTCTGCTGTTATATTTGGCATATATATATACCTACACACAAAAAAATTGAGAAACCAATCTGTAGTTATTTGCATAAGCTGGAATCCAGACGCACCCTTCATCTTTCCAGCCTTGTTTTTAAGAGCTTCTCTGGGAAACTCCCACCCTACCTGAACAAAATGCTTTCCTTAGCTGTTCCCACTTTCTATAAGCTCCGATCCAGTACAAGCACTTTACTTAGTCTACCTCAATACAAAAAGAAAGCGGCCCGATCCTCCTTCTCCTACAGAGCGCCGCAATTGTGGAACGACCTCCGCACAATTTAAAATCTTCCCTAAGCCTAAAGTCATTTAAGAGATCCCTCTCTACATACCTCAAAACAGAATGCACGTGTCATGGTTGATTATATATTTCCTGCCTGTTCTATGTTAAATTTTGTATATATTGTGTATTAATATTGTTTTTGTATTTTGTTGTACCTAATGTAACAATGCAATGATTTGTGGACCCAGGACATACTTGAAAACGAGAGAAATCTCAATGTATCTTTCCTGGTAAAATATTTTATAAATAAATAAAATATTTTATAAATAAAATAAATAAGCAATAAATACATATGTATGTAACTGATCTATACATACATACACAACAAGCACTGTTAAAGTAAGATTTCGGTGGGAAAAGCAAGTCTTGTGGCTTGATTGGTGTGTGTATTTGTATTTAGCAATGTATTAAAGGACCACTCTAGGCACCCAGACCACTTCAGCTTAATGAAGAGGTCTGGGTGCCAGGTCCAACTAGGGTTAACCCATTTTTTTATAAACATAGCAGTTTCAGAGAAACTGCTATGTTTATAAATGGGTTAATCCAGCCCTCAATTCCTCTAGTGGCTGTCTCATTGACAGCCGCTAGAGGCGCTTGCGTGATTCTCACTGTGAAAATCACAGTGACAGCACGCAAGCGTCCATAGGAAAGCATTGATAATGCTTTCCTATGCGACTGGCTGAATGCGCGCGCAGCTCTTGCCGCGCGTGCGCATTCAGCCGACGGGGAGGAACGGAGGAGGATCGGAGGCAGAGAGCTCCCAGCCCAGCGCTGGAAAAAGGTAAGTTTTACCCCTTTTCCCCTTTCCAGAGCCGGGCGGGAGGGGGACCCTGAGGGTGTGGGCACTCTCAGGGCACTATAGTGCCAGGAAAACGAGTATGTTTTCCTGGCACTATAGTGGTCCTTTAACTATCCACTTACTTCAGGTGGAAGGGGTTTTCATCCAAACTTTTTTCCCCACCTCAACTGTTTTGATATGTACTTTTCAAGTAACGCCAAGCTTCCATAACAAGCCAGTAACCAACCTCATGCTGATGAGTTGCATTAACAACGAAACAGCTGTCCATGAGTGGTTCACTGGCTTTGCTCCTCTTCCTGAGTTGTGTCAGTCTTATGGCTTGACCGGTGTGTGTATTTGCATTTAGCAATGTATTAACTATATATTATATATATATATATATATATATATATATATATAGAGAGAGAGAGCACAGCACCCCTACCCCCCACACAAAGCACCCCTACCCCCACACAGCACAGCACCCCTACCCCTTACACACAGCATCCATCACACAGACAGACACAGCACCCCTCAGACAGACAGACACAGCACCCCTCAGACACAGCACTCCACACACACTTCACACCCTTACACACAAACACATACACTGCACCTGTATATGAGCCACTTGTATTCAGCAGACTGTGTGTGTATATTCAGAGAACTGTGTGTGTGTATTCAGCAGACTGTGAGTGTGTACTCGGCCGTCTGTGTGTGTACTCAGCAGTCTGTGTGTATGTATTCAGCAGACTGTGTGTATGTATTCAGCAGTGTGTGTGTGTGTGTATTCAGCAGTCTGTATGTGTATTCAGCAATGTGTGTATTCGATGGACTGTGTTTGTATTTAGCAGTCGGTGTGTGTATGTATTAAGCAGTCGGTGTATGAATGTGTTCAGCAGTCTGTGTGTGTGTGTATTTAGCAGTCTGTGTGTGTGTCCATGTGTGTATGTATTAAGCAGTCGGTGTGTGAATGTGTTCAGCAGTCTGAGTATGTATTGCATTTGTTGGAGATACTAATAAATATAAGCTTAATTTTATCTATTGATATCATTATTTAACATTTGTATTATTGAACTCTCTGTTGTGTTCTTCTTTTAAAACAAAAGTTGTTAACTAGTTCGGACAACTGTACGAGTTGTTTTTTCTAAACTTAAACCTCAGTATTCAGGTTTAATTGCCGTGTTGGCACTTTGAGGAAAAAAAGGTTGGCATTTATTGCGGTTTGGGCACTCGGACTCAAAAAGGTTCGCCATCACTGTCCTAGATCCTTTTTCCTGCAATGCTCTGTATTTCTAGCAGTATTATATCTTTGTTATTGTATCTCTGTTATGTCTTTTACTATTTCTATACTATCTACACTATACTATAAAATGACTTTTCTTTTAGGATGCCTTTACTAACCTCTGACATCTGCTGGGGAAATGGTGATACTGACTTTATTTCTTTGCACTCAGATGAGATGACTATGTCTCCTAGTCCATGTTGTGGATAATATATATGAGCCACTTGGCCATGTACTGTATTATCCTTCTGTCCTGTATACTTTGCTTCAGACATTACAGCACACGATGCAAAATATATATATTTTTTCTTTTCTTTTCTTACAGCCTGTACATTAGCTCTTATATTGCTATCTGGACCATATCTGCATAATGTCCAAAAGTGAAAAGGTGCACCCATTTATTTTGATGACTTTGACCATACTGAATGGTCAACTTCCAGTGGATCCAGTAAACCCCTTATAGGAGCTACTTACCCCCTCACTGACTGTTGTGGAAATAAGGTCTACACATATTTCCTAGTTAAGAGAAAATGTCTATTTACTCATCTCACAATATATTATAGAGTTAAGCACACATGTTTAATCAAAATGGCTGCTAGAAGCTTCTAGCCCCTCCACCCTCTCCTCCCCTCCCTTCATAACATCAACTAACTACCTCGTGCAACAAGATGGCGCCGGGAAACCGTGGGAGACCCTCATGGCCCCGGTGACATCACCTATAGTAGGCAGAGCATTAGAACAACCACTTAACACCTAACCAATTATTGATGTATTATTCCATGTTATCTCTGACAATGCTTATGATGTAATTTTGCTTTTAAAGGGACCTGCCGTCCCCTCTGAATAAACATTCCTCAAGTTATTCAACAACCTGGAACCTGTGTCTGGTGTGAATTACTTCAGGGAGCGTGCACGCATTGTTTCATTGATTTGGCCAGGGGCAGATACACAAAGAAATAATCAATACTTTAATTGATTTTTCCCATTTCAATTGGCGCCCAACGTGGGGCCACCGGAGGGCCGGTTCGGAGGGCCGGAACCAACGGACCGGAGCGGACCCCTGGAAAGTGGGACAAGCGGAGCCTGATCACCTCCATAATACAGCCGTTGCCTGTGTTATTCTCCTGTTTTGTGTCGGTCTGTCTCCGAGTCCACTTCCGGCTTCCAGAAGGCTACTAGAGACAGGTAATTAACTCATCCGGTGTGCCTTTTTAAGGTGAACCTGTCAGTTGTCTATCTGCCTCCTGTATTCATTTGCGTGTGTGTGTGTGTTTCTAATTCCTTTGATGAGTTAGCTTGACTGCCTAGCGGGCAGGGGACGCATTACAGCCGGTGGGGCTGGGATTTTACAGCCGGTGGGGCTGGTATTTTAAGTTAGCTTGACTGCCTAGCGGGCAGGGGACACATTACAGCCGGTGGGGCTGGGATTTTACAGCCGGTGGGGCTGGGATTTTACAGCCGGTGGGGCTGGGATTTTACAGCCGGTGGGGCTGGGATTTTGTTTGTTTATTACTGTTATTACTGTGCTCCCGTTAATACCTGTGACATACTGGGACCAGCCTGGTGGGTGAAGGCTGAGGATTGCTATACTTCAATTATTTGGCACCGGTGATTTTAACATGTACATGGCCATTCTACTTTCTGTCATTCTGTGGTTTTTGTTTAATTGTTGTTACAGCGTGGGTACCCTTGGTGTGTGTGTGTGTATTGTGTGGTTAGTTCTGGATTCCGGAGTTTATGCTCATTTATACGTTTGTGATTTTTGCAAATGTCTTCTCATTAGTGCAGCCACGTTCATCTTCTCTTTTGTGCTTTATCTCTCCTGTGCCTGTAACCCAGAGCTGTGTTAGTCACCCACGCTCATTCGCTCCCGTCCGCGGCCACCACCCCGGGTGGGCGGACCTCCGTGACTAGTCTACGTTTGGGGAAGACGCACGGGGCTCAAGTTCTCGTGGCAGTCGAGCACTGTAGACACTCTTTTTCCCTTTTCCCTCATACCTTCTCTATTCATCTGTCTTTAACGAGTGGCACGCTTTGATTAGTCAAGATGGGGCAGGAGCATGCTAGACCTGCTAAGGGTTTGTTAGCTTGTGACATTGTGAAAGAAAGGGCAGGGGAAGATGCGATGATGAAACTTAAAAAGGTTGCTAAGGTGTGTGGCTTTCAGATGTTACCCAGTGGGAGATTGCAACCGGAGTTTTGGAGAAAACTACTCATAGACAAGGAAGGTTTATTGTTGGATAACGGACTCACGAGGGTTGCAGAGGCTTGGTATCGTGTAGCTAGAGGTTTGAAAAGGGAAGGATGGGTCGAGGAAGAGTTGGAGTTTGAAGGGCAGATCGTACATGTTTATCATAGGAGCGTTCACAATGATGATGTTGTTTCTATTGTTCCACGGCCACCACCCTATGATGGCGCCCAAAGCGTGGCAGTAAATTCCCGCCCTGCTTCACCCGTCACAGCACAGACTCCACCCCCCGGGGGTGTGCCTTCAGCCCCCACCCCTCTATGTCCCGTACTTGGAGTAGATGGAGCCTACTATTTCCCAGTACCACAACACTCGTTCCCACCCACTCCCATGCACCAGCCCTCCTGTGACCAGGTCCCCTCTTTCAACCATCATCCTGTCATGTCCGTTGGAGCTCCCCCACCTCCATGCCCTCCGTTACCTCTCTCAGTGCCTGTCCGTACTCCGAGTTCTGCCCCAACTACTCCCGCCCCGACTATCGAAGGTCCATCCTCCTCCCCCTCTCAGTCCCTCTCCACCCTGAGTACCCCGTCCCTAGTAATCTCTGCTCCCTCACCCTCTCCGTCCGCCCTGTGCCCTACGACCCCCGTTCCCACCCACTCAACCGACCCCGACTCCCAGGACCCCTGTCCCCCAGTTGACCCTCCTACTCCGGTTGTAGCGGAGATGCAATATTACCCAGGTTATCTCCGCTTATAATCCAAGTGAGACTCAGGAACAAGTAAATAGTAAATCCAAAGGCAGGGTTTCCAGCAGGTAAAATACAGCAATATCCCAACAGCAATCCCAATAACTGGATGACACACAGTTTCAGGAGCATAACTGACAAGCCTTTAATCGCAGTCTCCTTATAAAGCATGCTCCCATGCAAGGGAGGAACTTACAGTAATTATTACAGTAGCCAATCCTGTCCTGGTAACCTCCCACACCTCCCCTCCCCTCAGCTAGCATCATAATCCCCTTAGCCAGCACACCAATTCCCCCCATTTCTGGATGTACCCCTAAACGTAGGGGTACCCCTTTAAATCATACATCCCCGGGTAGCCCTGATCTGGGTGAACAGCATATCCAAAAATCACCCAGATCGGACCAGGGGTTCGGGAAAAGTATGGAGGGAATAAAATGACCGACCGCACGAACAGAGCTAGCCGAATTCGGTTCCATGTGAATGGGCCTTGCGGTCGGTCCTGGCATAAGGGAATAAAATACACGAAAGCCTCTAGCTATAGAGGCTAGGGGGGGATTCGCCTGAATCCCCTCGTTCGGTATTCTCTATTTACCGAACGAGGGGCCGTTCGGTAGTTTGGAACCGAACGGACCAGGGCTGTGGAGGTCTCAGCGGTGTTCGCCTACTCGAGTGTCCGATTTTAGTTCCAGACACTCGGCGGCAAAACACCGCTGTTCGGGAGTTTTAAAATGGCCGCCGCCACGTGTTCGTTTGTCGAATGGCGGCCACCCCCGAGAACAAAGGACGGCTACTTACTGTTCAATTACCCGTTCGCAACAATGTTGCAACGGGTAATTGAGGACACACTTCACACAGGGAGGTCTGGTTGTTCGGTAGTTTCATTCGAATAAACTAAGGGAATTAAACTACCGAACAATCAGAGGAATACAATTCTTTTTAAATACACAGAAATTACAGCAGATACACGTATGCAGCTTTATACAGTATTTTTTGTAGGGTCGCCTGGTGCCATCCGCTACACCGGTACCCTTAGGAAACCCTGTGATCCCGACCCCTGTACTCCCATTGTCCCCCACTCCTTCTCATCCAATCCCCTCCTCCTCCTTTCCCAAGGATCCCCCGTCCCTACTCTCCGCTCTCCTGAATCTTGTCCAGCCCGTTAATCCCGGTTCCCTTGCCTCCGTCCCCTTACCCACAGATGCCCCTTCCATCCTCAAGGACACTCCTACTACCCCTCCTCCAGTGTTACCTCCTCCTGAAGTCCCAGCCCCCTCTACCTCGTTGCCTCCCACTCCCGCGGCCGATTTGCCGTCCCTAATCTCTGCCCTCACCGCCCTGACCCAACCCATTGCCGCCACCCCTCCTACTCCTCCTCCAGTGTTACCTCCTCCTGAAGTCCCAGCCCCCTCTACCTCGTTGCCTCCCACTCCCGCGGCCGATTTGCCATCCCTAATCTCTGCCCTCACCGCCCTAACCCAACCCCCCGTTGTTATCCCTCCAGCCCCTTTTCCCGTGTTACCTCCTCCCGACATCCCTGCCCCCCCCAACCTTGTCACAGCCCCTCGATCCCGTCCCTCTGACCCCTTCCCCAGTGACCTCTGACGCACCCATAACCAGTGATCTGCCTAGTTCGATATCCGCCCTCTTCACTGCTGTTACCTCCCTGGTTACTTCCGCGATCCCCGTGACGCCTCCTATTGACGTACCTCCTCCTCCTCCCCCCGAGTCTCCGACCCCACCCTTGTCGCATACCGATACCTCCGAACCCTCCGATCCAATCTCTGCCCTCGCACATGTTCTGAACACCCACCTTTCACGCCCAACCCAACCGACCCCCATGACTGCCCCTTCCACAGCTTTGGTCCCTCGTGTCCCTTCCACCAGTCCTAGTTACCCAATCATGGTGGTTGGATCTGAGGTGTCTGGGACATCTGACCAGCCCTATGCGATGGGTGCCTCCCCCCAGGCCTCAGGGTTTCACCCAACTACCTCCCCCCTCACCACCCTTCCTGTTGTCCCCGCTACAGCCACCCCTGAGACTACTCTTCGCCGTGGCCCAGTGGTGCCCGAAGAGGTTGTTATGGTTGACCAGAGTTCACCCCACCTAGGGGTGAATAGGCCCCCTCCCCAGCACTCTATCCCTCAGGGATATCCCCAGATCACCCATGGTGCGGATGGTGCACCGCCTATGTATGTTACCTTCAACCCTTCCCAAGCTGCTACCCTCGTAACCTCACTCCCTGATCCTGAAAAACACCCCATGCCCTTCTTCCGCAGAATGGCTCAGATCCGTAAAACATACTCCGCTGCCTGGAGAGATCTTATTAGTCTATGTGAAATAAAGGCTGGAGATGCATACTGGCCAATCATGGAACGGAGTTTTAATGACGCTCCACTGACTTCTGATACTGACTTTCGTTCTGGTGAAATTTTTTGTGAACAGCTTCGTGCCTGGGCACAGGATAAACTAGCAGATCAGGCTACTTGCATTAATGACATATTACAGGACAAACTTGAGACAGTTGAAAAGTATCACTCTAGGTTAACCCAGACCTTTTCAGACTTAGGGTTCAGTACTTACAACAAAGCACACACCCAGATGCTTTCTGCAGCTTTTGTGGCAGGGCTTAGGGAACACATTCGTAAGGGGTTAATTTTAGCTCGGCCTGAGTATAGAATTATTCCACTGGACACTCTTTTGTTGGTAGCCAAGGGCTTAGAATCTGTAATGCTCCCCACACAACGTAGAACCAACCCTCTGATGTATGCTGCCTCCGCCCCAATTGTAGGTCCAAATCAGGGACCACAGATGCTCCCCCAACAGTATACCCAGTCCCCCCAGACACTGCCTGCACCGATTCCCTTCTCCCGAGACCGTGACCGGACTGTCACGACAATCCGGACTTGTTTTAATTGTAACCAGCCGGGTCACTTTAGAAGAGATTGTCCACACCCTAGAGTGTACCGCCAACAGACCCTCCGGTACCAGAATCCCCATGTCAACAGCTACCACTTCCCCTCCACTGGTTATCTCCCCGCCCTGCCCCATCCGCAGTTGCCTCAGCTCCCTCCTCCGCCTCCTCCTCCACCGCCCCCTGAATACTCCCAAGCCCAGCTCCCTGTAGCAGAAGCCCGTGCATACACTTCGCCCTCCACTGAAGGGTATGATACTGATGACTTCCAGGACAACCAGCCTCATCCCCACCATGCCCTCCGTCCATCCCGTCCCCCCATGCACACTGCTACCCCTCCTTCCACTTCCCGCCGGTACCAGGGCCCAGATCAGGCTCACCTAGATTTATTGCAATAGGTAACTGGCAAGCCTGTGTCACCAACCCCTGCCATGGCAGTGTCTGCGGGGGATGGGGGAGGACCTTTAGCTACTGTAGTTCTCCCCGTGGAGGGTCACCCAACCACCTTTTTAGTTGACACAGGTGCAGCCCGTAGTGTTCTTAGGGAACAAGACCTGCCTGACCCTTCTTTCCTTTCTGACACCGATGTTTCATGTGTTGGGGTGGATGGCACACCACGCAGTAACCCACTTACCAAGCTCTTACATGTAGGTTCACACATCCTGTCCCGTTTTGTTGTTTCTTCCACTTGCCCCATTAACCTCCTAGGTGCTGATGTTCTCTCTCGGCTGCAGGCCTCTATTACCGTTACTGCAGATGGACAGGTTGAGTTAACAACCCCCTTATCACAGAAAGATACTTCTGTACTATGTTCTCTCCCCATCTTGTTGAATCTAACAGACAATTCAGGGAATGCACGGGTCACACACACCCCCAGTGCTCTGGATCGTATCCCCCAAGAACTTTGGTCCACCAGACCGGATGATATTGGACGCCTACATGTACCCCCCGTCCTGGTCAAGCTCCTGCCTGGAGCCCTTCCTCCTCGAAGACCTCAGTATCCTCTGAAGCCTGCACAAGCTGAAGCCATCACCAAACAAGTTGAATCTCTGCTTACCAAAGGTGCCCTCACCAAGTGCACTTCTCCATGCAACACTTTTCCCTGTTAAAAAGCGCACTGTTAAGGGCCAACCCGACCAGTACCGCATGGTACAAGACCTCCGTGCTGTTAATGAAGTTACCATAAAGGACACCGCCATTGTTCCAAACCCCCATACCCTTTTGTCCCAAGTGCCACCAACTTCAACAATTTTTACTGTAGTGGACCTATCTAATGCCTTTTTCAGTGTCCCCCTTGACCCTTCCTGCCGTTTTCTTTTCGCCTTCACACATGAAGGACAACAATATACCTGGACTGTAATGCCTCAAGGGGCTCAGAACTCTCCCACACAGTTTGCTCACGCCATGTCTCTAGTTTTGGATCCCTGGCAGAAATCCCATCTGGATGTTGTTCTACTTCAATATGTTGATGACCTCCTTCTCTGTGCTCCTAATTTGCTTATTGCAGAGCGTGACTCAGAAGATCTCCTATGTTTTCTCGCTGCTGCAGGATGCAAGGCCTCAAAATCAAAGCTACAATGGTGCCGGCCCTCGGTGGTCTTCTTGGGACATTGCCTTTCCCATGGCACCAAACACCTAACCTCGCAACGGGTGCAAGCTATCCTGCAACTCCCATTACCTGCAACACACCACTCTCTTCATGCTTTCTTGGGTCTCATCACATACTGCAGATCTTGGATACCTGAAGCTTCCAAACTCATGCAGCCACTCTATGATGCCCTCAGGAGTGAGCCCTTTCACCTCACTGAAGAAACTATTAACTGTTTCCATACTCTGAAGAGAGCTATTGCTTCTGCACCTGCTTTGGGCCTACCCAACTACCAACTCTCTTTCAATTTGTTTGTCTCTGAGAAATCAGGACATGCTTCCGGAGTCCTTACTCAGAAACATGGGTCCAGACAACGGCCTATTGGCTATTTTTCCTGCATGCTTGATCCTGTTGCAAGAGGTAGCCCCTCTTGCCTCCGTGCTGTGTTTGCCGCCAGCGCTCTCCTGGATAAGACTAATGACTTTGTTCTAGGCCATCACCTCACAGTGTTGGCCCCTCATGACATTACTGCTATCCTCCAACAAGTTCAACCCAAACACCTTTCTTCCCAACGCCACCTCCGCCTCCAAACCTCCTTGCTTTTACCTGACAATGTGAAACTCCAGAGATGTCTTACCCTAAATCCGGCCACTCTTCTGCCACTTCCCAAGGGGGGGATTGTGCACCACTGGTATAGCCTGGATATCAACCCAGAAGTTCTAGAAGATCTACAACTACCTGCACTTGCACCTCCACATGATGAACAATCAGTGGCCCTACTTCACTGTACTTTGTGGTTTAAGGATGAACCAGGCTCTGATATGAACTATGAACAAGAAGTATTCCACCTCAAAGAAATTCACATTACCCTGACCGACTTGTTTTGGGACCACGCAGGTACCATGCTCATCTTAGTCCACCTCCCAGAGAGTGTGACACATCTTTATCACCATTGGGAAACATCTATTCCACACATTTCCTTCACCAGACCTCCTGACATCTCATGGAAAGACCTAGGTCCGATAGCCAAAACCTGGAGTCAAATGACCCAAGAACAACTGACTTCTACGGGGGTCAACAAAAGGATTATTAATTACTGTACAGCTGGGTACCCCAGGTACCACACAGAAGCCTGCGAGGATCCACTCATCACAAACTGTGATCTCGATATCCCTCATGATTGTTTTGAACAAATGAAAATGGAAACCACACACCTACCAACTGTCTATGAAGCTGCATTACTCAATCCGGACCAAACACTATTTGTGGATGGGTCAAGATTTGCCGATGAACAGGGACAATATCACACTGGGTATGCAGTCACTACAGAATGCCAAGTATTACAAGCAGCTGCCCTACAACCAACCAGGTCTGCTCAAGAAGCTGAATTGACAGCCCTAACTGCGGCCTGCAAATTGTCTGAAGGTTTACGTGTCAACATTTACACGGATTCAAGATATGCCCTGGGAGTGGCACATGACTTTGGCTTAATTTGGAAGACCAGAGGATTTCTTACGGCCACAGTAAAGCATGGGGCAGCCATTGCAGAGCTGATGGATGCACTGGAACTTCCAGCAGAGGTGGCAGTACTGAAAGTAAAAGCTCATGGAAGATTAGACACAGAAGAAGTAACCACCTAGCTGATCAAGCAGCTAAGGAAGCAGCACGGCAAAGATGGGAAGTGGACAGAAGAGTGGCCACAGACACATTACCTATCTACACTATGCAAACATTACCTACAGACCTTAGGCTTCTGAAGGAACAGCAAGCTGCTGCCACTCTCCAGGAGAAACAAGGTTGGAAGAATAAAGGTGCTGTACTCCGTGATGATGTCTACACTATCAATCTCAAGTTCTGCTTACCCAGAAGCATGTACCCAGCGGTGGTACAATGGGCCCATGGGCCCGCTCACCTGTCAAAACTTCTGATGAACTCACTGATTGACAAATACTTTGAAGCACCAGGCATCACCACCCTAACACAGAATTACTGTAAGTCTTGTACTATATGTGCTAAATGCAATCCTGGAAAGATTATAAAGACCGCACCTAACCACCTAGCCAAGCCACAGTATCCCTTTCAGAGGATCCAGATTGATCACATTCAGATGCCAAAGAGTGGACGTTATGAATATGCATTGGTCATAGTGGACATGTTTTCAGGATGGCCAGAAGCCTTCCTGGTGACTAACCTCACCGCAAGGACTACAGCCAAGTATCTTTTGACGGAAATTGTTTGCCGCTATGGAGTCCCAGAAGTGATTGAAAGTGACCAGGGGACCTCCTTTACTGCCTCGCTAACACGGGAAGTCTGGTCAGCACTGGGGGTGACCCTTGCATTCCACACACCATATCACCCACAGAGTAGTGGTAAGGTAGAGCGCATGAATGGCACCTTGAAAGCCAGAATGCTTAAAATGTCACAAGAAACTAACATGCCCTGGCCCGAGAGTCTCCCACTGGCATTGTTTAGTGTAAGGTACACACCTAGGGGAAAATATAGCCTATCACCTTATGAGATTTTGTTTGGTACAGCACCCAGGTTAGGTTGTTACTTTCCTCAACAGCTTCAGATTCAGTCAGATGCTATGGTAGACTATGTGACCGCTCTCTCTCATGCCCTGACCAAAATACATGCCCAAGTGTTTTCTTCTATTCCAGATCCTGAGTCGAATACAGGTACACACAAGCTGCTTCCTGGTCACTGGGTTATGGTCAAGAAGTTTCTCAGGAAACACACCCTAGAACCGAGATTTGATGGTCCTTATCAAGTGCTCCTGATCACAGCAACGTCAGTTAAACTAGCAGGAAAGAGTTCCTGGATACACGCTTCACATTGCAAAAAAGTGCCTGCCCCAGAAGAAGCTGTTCCTGCTGAAATATGAATTTATCATGTGTCTTGTGTTTTCTTATGTTGTTGCACTTTGCTTGGGCTCAACAAGTGGCCATAACCAAAGATAATCATGTATACACTTTTTGGTACAATTCTTCTGACACAGATGTAGCCACGTACACCTTTGATTACTGTGACATAGTTACTTGTACATTTCCACAAACACAATATGCCGCCATATACAAAGACATACCTAATAAAAAGGACCCATACATTTGTGTGACCGGGGGAGCTTGGGGACATCATTGTAGTTCATGGAAAGCTGCCGGATGGAATACAGGTAGGCCATGGGGCTACAGACCTCAGGTTGCACTGGACAGACTTGACAAAGACGGGAAGCCCCTACTTTCCAGGATGACCCTGAGTAAACCCACAGGGTCAACCCCCATTAAACTTACCCTGAATATAGAGCACCCTAGCCCAAGAGACGCGGGGGAATATGTGATGGGGATGTACTGGAAGGGGGGTGGCTCTCATAATGCATTGGGGACATTTTACCTACAAGATATGCTCACCTCCTCAGACTGGGTAGGGACCACTCACATGATAATTAACCCATTAAAACCACATATTAAGACTCTACATGACATGGTAGCCATAGCCAACCCCACCTTTGAAGACACTATGGTGGTAGAGACTGGGTTCTCAGATACTAATTTGTGGCTAGAATGGATGAGATACAATGCTAACTCACACAACAAGACTAATTGCTATGTATGTGGAGGGGCTAGGCCCCATCTGGGCACAGTTCCCCTGAGTCTACCTCCCGAGGTGGAATTATGTGTATTGAGTCTCTATGCACAATCCACCACTAACTCCTCAACATGTGAATCATGGAAGAAAATCTACCCGATCAGTCATGGACATGTAAAGCCACCTGATGGAGTCACCATCTACCCAGGTAACTACACATGTTATACAATACCAAAGAACACTGGTTTATATCTGGGCAAATTCCCATCAGGATACTGCTCGACTTATCATAACCCACCTACATCACTGCTAATGAATCATACAAAGACAATCGGGGATATCTATTGGTTATGTGGTGATAAACAATTAAGGTCCCAATTAGCTGGGCAATGGTGGGGGGAGTGTGCCCTAACTAAAGTCATAATGCCTAACCATATTATTCCAGATGGTAGTCATAACACATTAGACCCCACACATATACACTCTAGAACCAAACGAGAGACTCCTATCCGAGGGAGCTTTGACCCCCATGTGTACATCGACGCTATAGGTGTGCCAAGGGGGGTGCCTAATGAATTCAAAGCAAGAGATGAAGTGGCTGCAGGGTTTGAATCCCTAATTCCAATGATAACTGCCAACAAAAATGTCAATTGGATTAACTACATCTACTATAACCAACAGCGCTTTGTCAATTACACTAGGGATGCCCTACAGGGCCTGGCAGAGCAACTACAAGCCACCACTCAAATGACATTTCAGAACAGAATGGCCCTAGATATGATTCTAGCTGAGAAAGGGGGTGTATGTAAAATCCTCCCTGAGACCATGACATGCTGTACATACATACCAGACAACACTGGGCCCAATGGTAAAGTGACTATGGCCATAGAGAAGCTGGATAGTCTTGCAGACGAGCAGAAGAAAAATTCAGGAGTCACTGACACTTGGGACAAATGGTTTGGATGGATGAATGGTTGGCAGAGGACCCTCTTCCAGGTGGGGACAGCTGTTCTTATAATGACCAGCATTTTCTTATTTCTGACCTGTTGCGTACTCCCTTGCATACAGAAGTACTTACAGAAAGCAGTAGATAAGACTATAGTTGACGTGACTCCTACTTTCCTACATCAGGACGTCACAGACCTCGAAGATGACACTCCACATACACCCCTTCAAGCACATCAGTTCAAACAGACAACTGCCTTCCTGTAGGGATAGTATAGGGAAAGCATCTGTCTTGGCAGGTGAGTCTCACGTGTGGAGATGTAGTGGATTAGCCGCTGCGGGTTACCCACGGAGTGAAGCGTTCGATGCTTGCCAAGATGGATGAATTATAGGTAATTAGAAGCACATCATTAGGGATATATTAGGGACAGTGGCAGTTGTTATGGTACATAGCCATTTTAGGGGGGACTGTTGTGGAAATAAGGTCTACACATATTTCCTAGTTAAGAGAAAATGTCTATTTACTCATCTCACAATATATTATAGAGTTAAGCACACATGTTTAATCAAAATGGCTGCTAGAAGCTTCTAGCCCCTCCACCCTCTCCTCCCCTCCCTTCATAACATCGACTAACTACCTCGTGCAACAAGATGGCGCCGGGAAACCGTGGGAGACCCTCATGGCCCCGGTGACATCACCTATAGTAGGCAGAGCATTAGAACAACCACTTAACACCTAACCAATAATTGATGTATTATTCCATGTTATCTCTGACAATGCTTATGATGTAACTTTGCTTTAAAAGGGACCTGCCGTCCCCTCTGAATAAACATTCCTCAAGTTATTCAACAACCTGGAACCTGTGTCTGGTGTGAATTACTTCAGGGAGCGTGCACACATTGTTTCATTGATTTGGCCAGGGGCAGATACACAAAGAAATAATCAATACTTTAATTGATTTTTCCCATTTCACTGACAATCACTGAGCTCCCAAACATAGAAAAAGTTTGTTTTACGTGTGTTCATTTATGCTTCACTCCCCTTTGACTTACACATATATCTTATCTGATTCAGGCCTCTGTTTATTATGAATTCCAAGTGTTTCATTGCTGTTAGAAATAACTATCCAAATGATATATCAAAAAAATTCCTATAGACTTTAATGTTGACTTCTGTAGATATTTTTGTAGACGTTTTTCTAACAGTATTAAATCATATTGAGAGCTTATTAATTTGAGGCTTTAGTTATTTGATTTACCTATACTTTGCATTTTCAATTAAAACATAAAAAGAAAAAAAAAGCCAGAGCCTTTTCAGATGAAATAAATAAAGGTGGAGGGGTAGGCGGCATCACAGGTGAAAGAAACCTGATTATAAACTATACAAGCATATATACAAGATACTACATGAGAGAGAATACATATAAGATAAAAAAACAAAAAGAGTTCGAAACATAGATAATGAATAATAATCAGGAGTCCAAAAAGTAAGCCCGAAAGAGTCTATGCCTGATAGACACAGCATAAAGTCCAAATAAAACCTTGTATAAGAAGTCAATCACAATCTTGTCAGGGGAAGTATTCCTCAGTAAGGTATGGGCATGGGATATTCGTGAGATCCGTATGAAAAAAATCAAAATACAGCAAATAATGGTGCAGTATATCCCAACAGGTACTAAGTACTATTTGGTAAGAGGTCTATATGGTCCTACTCACGTTTTCCAGAGCTATAAGACTAGCTCTAGTGTGGATGGCATACAGTGGTACAATCCCCACTTATGGGATACGTGAAGTTTTGTAGTAGATGGATATCTTGTAGGTATAAGGACCATATGAAATATAAAAGAAACAATAATAGTGCTTATTGTATAAAAGCCAGAGGTGAAATAATAAAATACCAAGTGGTTACTCACAGTTTATTGAGCAGCTGCTTCATATAAAATTTTACCAAAGGTGTTCGGGAAACACTTTTTAATACACCAACGTGCACACTTTATATTTGTAGAAGCACCAACACACTTTCATTTCTTATTCTCTGTCATAAATATGATCTCCTTACCTGTATTCCTCGTGGTCTCCTGGTCCGGTGATTCCCAACCTCTGCCAACTGTTGCTGGCGTCCGCGCATCCTGTCTCGGCTCTAACACTGGCTTAAAACCGTAAGTCTGGCACCTACCATAAAGCAACGGCCGTAAACCTTGCTAGCTTTCACGGTATAGGCTCTGTTCATTTGAATCGGGCATTCGGTTTCTTCTATCAGCATTTCTGGCACTCACGCCGTTCGGCTAATTCTCGTATACATATTTTCTATGTACGCTTGTTTCACAGCATTAATTCACACGAACACGACCGTTCGTTCACATACTACTGTATAAACATTCGGTATTCGAACAGCACTTAGAGGACGCATTCATTCGTATGAGTTAGGTTTTACACGCATCCCTCTTTGTCTTTTGGCAGTTACAGCCAGACACAAGGCCGTGGCAATGCTCATATCTCGCAAGAGGAACCCGGCGGAGCTACTGGCAAGAGCTCCGCCGGTCCTCTCCTGCCTCCCTCCCTGCATGTGGGTCGGTGGGGAGGGAGGCTGAGAGCAGAGCCGGCGTTCGGATAGCGCCGGCTCTGCATGAGCAGACAGGGGAGATCCTGAGATCTCCCCTGCCGGTCTCAATATACATAGGCATGCCGCAGGGATTAGGGTGTGCCCAGGCACACCCGGCACACCCCGTACGCACGCCTATGTCTACTGCACATAGCACCAATTTCTGCCTGAATACGGCTGAAACTGAACAGGGCCAAGCTGTCTTCAATCTCCAAAGACCTACTAGAGGCTTAAAAGACAAACTGGGTAGAGATATCGTATTCCTAGGCAAATCCAAGATTTGTAATAATTTTAATGTGGGTAATTGTGGTTTTAGCTCCTGTAGGCTGATGCATGTGTGTTCCCACTGTTTCAGGGCCCATTCAAAGACAATGTGCCCAAATAAAGCTTTTCCCAAACCGTATCACACGTGCGTGAACCTCACATTATTGGCTACACTGTTACAACAACATCCATCACACCATTTCATTGACTACATTATCACTGGACTAACTGAAGGATTTCACACCGGGTTGGTACACTTACCTACCGGTACACTAGAATGTGACAATTTACAATCCACATTAGATGATCCACAGTTAGTACACACACTTATCATGTCCGAGGTGAAACAAGGGTTTTTGTTGGGTCCGTTCATTTCTCCACCCTTCACAACCTGGAGAACCAGTTGTCACGGGGAAAACTTCACTGAAACCTAGACTGATAATTGATCTATCTGCTCCACATTCCTCCACTATCCCCAGCCTTAATTCACTCATACCTTCCGAACAATTTTCGTTACACTGTGCCACTATCGATCATGCCTTAGGGGCCATTTTAAAGGCTGGCACAGGGGCAGGGTTAAGCAAAACTGATGTGGTAAATGCCTTGAAATTGCTTCCCATGCACCCTTCCCTGTGGCATCTACACAGCATTAAATGGCAGGGGGTGTATTATTTCTTCACCCGTCTCACTTTTGGCTCCAAAAGCAGCCCAAGAATTTTTGACATGTTTGCAGAATCTTTGTGTTGGTTGTTACTTAATGCTCGATTTCCTCATGATTGAGAATAACACACTCCCCCCAAGTAGCTTGACACACATGTTGGCTCTGTTTGAATCCCTCACTATCCAGTCTCATATCAAATAAAAACGCTACTTAAAGGCTTTAAAAATTACACACACACATCCCCTCGCAAAGATAACCCATAGACAACAACATTTTCCACTCACTATCCAACTTATTAGATTCTTCTCCTTTTGAACGCATAACTAATACCATAATTAAAACATCCCTATATTTAGCCTTTTATGGGTTCCTCTGTCCAAACAAATTTACGATTAGGACCATTACTGCCCCGGACTACCTGAGAATGATTGACTTACAAAGACACACCGACCATTACGTTCTATCCTTTAGACAATCCAAAACCAGCACCGTAGGACATACTATTAAAATTCCCTTGTATCCTACTCAAAATAAGTGGTGCCCGGTACAAGTCTTGGACACCTATTTCCTTTCAGTCCAGAAACAACCACACCAACCCCTGCTGGAACTGCATGGATACACTCTTACAACAGCGAAATTCATGCTTTACGTTCGACTGCTGTTGACTAGGCTCAGCCTAAATCCCAATCATTTTTCAGGTCACTCTTTTCGTATAGGGGCAGCATCTTCAGCATCCGCTAATCATATACCCGCTCATATTATCAAGGCTTTGGGATGCTGGAAATCCTCCGCCGACACTCTCTACATACCTAATCCAGTTAAAGAATTAAGACAAGCTTTCTGTGACTTATCCACATAAATAAGTTGGTTACACAAATTATGTTTTATGGTATTTTCTTTTTGACCACTTTTATTACAGGCCTAGTGCTTTGTCGGTTCCAGCACACCACAACCGACTGGTGCAAACTCATTGATGTTATGGTTATAATATGCTGGGATTCTGTTTTACGGCTATATTGCCCCGACTACACATTTGAAGGCTTGGCCTGTAGTTGTGGGAGGGGTTTGGATCCCCTTTAAAAGGGCTGCCAATCCTCTCTCACCTTACCGTTGCTGGTCTGACGAGTCACCCCTCCCACCACTCCCTCTATTCATAGCACCCTCTAAGGTGGGCCCACTTTTATTACAGGCCTACTGCTTTGTCGGTTCCGGCACACCACAACCAACTGGTGCAAACTCATTGATGTTATGGTTACAATATGCTAGGTTTCTGTTTTACGGCTATATTGCCCCGACTACAAATATATATATATGTATATATATATATTTATATTGAAGAACTTGGCTATATGGGTCTTCTGCAGGTTTACTTGAAGTCTTTTGATCCCTAACAGAAGGAGTCTATATTTTCTAGGGCTATTCAACCCTTTTGAGTTAAAAGATATTTCTTAGAGTCATTATTTTCCGTAATTGGTCAGCGCTTATGTAACTCCCAGTTTTGAGAGATCTGGTGGAAGACAGGGCTGAGGTCTATTGGGTCATCTTATTCCAGCTTGGTCTATTTTTTAAAATAGCACATCTCTAGCTCACCCGTGTCCCGCAGTGGTCACCAGTCAGTGACTGAGCCTTACCGCGTCAGGTAGAATGGACGCGTAAATGGAAAAGTGCCAGAGCACTACCTGATAGCGACTCCGAATCTGAATTCGGGTTTCAAGATGAGGCTTTGATGGACTCTGCCTCGGAGTCTGACGACAGTTTTGCTGCTGTCAAGTATGTGGGCAATTTCCCTAATCCTAGCCCAGCCTCTTACCAGGCTCTAAAAGGCGATTCTAAACCTGGGTCTTATACGGAAGCTATTTTAGATCCCTTTGGAGATCCTTTGACCCGGAAGAACTGCATCATCCCTGGTTGGCAGAGTAAGTTGCTATCGACCATATAGTATCTTACTTGCAGTTGAGGGTTAGGCTCCCCCTCTCTAAGGCTTCCCGGAATGAGTTATAGAGCCCTGTATTACTAGCCCAGTGTGTATTATAGAGGTCTGTATTACTAGCCCAGTGTGTATTACAGAGCTCTGCATTACTAGCCCAGTGTGTATTATAGAGCCCTCTATTACTAGCCCAGTGTGTATTATAGAGCTCTGCATTACTAGCCCAATGTTTATTACAGAGCTCTGAATTACTAACCCAGTGTGTATAATAGAGCCATGTATTACTAGCCCAGTGTTTATTATAGAGCTCTGCATTACTAGCCCAGTGTTTATTACAGAGCTCTGAATTACTGTGTATTATAGAGCCCTGAATTACTAACCCAGTGTGTATAATAGAGCCATGTATTACTAGCCCAGTGTTTATTATAGAGTTCTGCATTACTAGCCCAGTGTTTATTACAGAGCTCTGAATTACTGTGTATTATAGAGCCCTGCATTACTAGCCCAGTGTGTATTATAGAGCTCTGTATTACTAGCCCAGTGTGTATTATAGAGCTCTGTATTAGTAGCCCAGTGTGTATTATAGAGCTCTGTATTAGTAGCCCAGTGTGTATTATAGAGCTCTGTATTACTAGCCCAGTGTGTATTATAGAGCCTGTATTACTAGCCCAGTGTGTGTTATGGAGCCCTGTATTACTAGCCCAGTGTGTATTATGGAGCCCTGTATTAGTAGCCCAGTGTGTATTATAGAGCTCTGTATTAGTAGCCCAGTGTGTATTATAGAGCTCTGTATTACTAGCCCAGTGTGTATTATAGAGCCTGTATTACTAGCCCAGTGTGTGTTATGGAGCCCTGTATTACTAGCCCAGTGTGTATTATGGAGCCCTGTATTAGTAGCCCAGTGTGTATTATAGAGCTCTGTATTAGTAGCCCAGTGTGTATTATAGAGCTCTGTATTACTAGCCCAGTGTGTATTATAGAGCCTGTATTACTAGCCCAGTGTGTGTTATGGAGCCCTGTATTAGTAGCCAAGTGTGTATTATAGAACCCTGCATTACTAGCCCAGTGTGTATTATAGAACCCTGCATTACTAGCCCAGTGTGTATTATAGAGCCCAGTCTATACAGTGTGTGTCTAAAGAGTGACAAGCAGTTTGTAATTGGGTGCAGTGTATCGAGCTGCCTGTAGATGTCACTCGTAGCAGAGCATGACGTCAGAGTGAATGTAGCTTCTTGTCTCAGTGAGGAGCGTTGAGCCAGAGCCGGGTGCAGTGGCGTGCGCCTGTAATCCTGCTACTGGGAGGCTGAGGCTAGCGGATCGTTTGAGTCCAGGAGTTCTGGTCTATCCTGCGCTATGTCGATCGGGTGTCCGCACTAAGTTTGGTATCAATATGGTGGGGCCGAGGGAGCTCAGCCTCACCAGGTTGTCTAAGGAGGGGTGACCCGGCCCAGGTCGGAAACGGAGCAGGTCAAAACCCCCGTGCCGATCAGTAGTGGGATCGCGCCCGTGAATAGCCGGGGTAGGGCAGCCTGGCCAACACAGCGAGACGCAGTCTTTTTACTTATTCACATTACTCGCAGTCTTTTTACTTATTCATATTACTAATAATAATCTTTATTATTATTATTATTATTATTATCAGCCCGATCAACACAGACAGTCTTTTTATTTACTATTATAACTACTATTAATAATCTGCCAGCCCAACACACTCTATTTATTATTCATTAATACATTTTAATTATTATTATTATTATCATCCAGACAGACACACACACACAGTCTTTTTATTATGGTTATAATTAATCTCTTAAATAAATATTTTATCATTATTTATGAGTTAGACATTAATCACGATCTGCGTTATAATGATTATTATTATTATTATTATTATTATTATTATTATTATCATCCTGACCAACACAGACACACACAGAGTCTTTTTATTAATAGATCATTATTATTATCATCAGAGACAGTGATTATTATTTATCATTAATAGTAATTATTATTATTACTTATTATTACTATCAGCCTGACCAACAGAGCGATACATAGTCATTTTTATCATTAATATAGGAATAATCGTTATTATTATCAACAGGAACAAAATGTTGTATCATTATTTATGAGTAATATTAGTGAGTTAGATATTAATCACTATCTGCATTATGATTATAATTATGTATTATTTGTGTTTTATCTCCATTTTGATTAGTTATGTATCTATTACCCCTGGCTGTTTAGTTACATATAATATAAAACATAAGGGAGATGTGGACTTTTAACTATCACTCACATATTTCTTTGACTGTAATTAATAACAGTAGCTATATGGTAATGTTACTTGGGATTATTATATATGGATAGATTTAATTGAGTTCTGATGGTTAGAGAATTTAGATGGATTTTTAGTGAGTGTCAGTGCCTCCTGCTGGAATTAAGTGGTAAATATGTGCCTGTGTGGGTGTTATAATGTCAGTCACCAGGCGGGGTCGCTGTTCAGTGGATTGAATTGCTCTGTCCGAGCTGTGGTTAGCTGCTATGTAAGCGAGGTTATACTGTCACACACCAGGCGGGGTCGCTGTTCGCATTTTGAATCGTAATAGGAATGTCCTGCATGATCTGCCGTAGCTGCTGCTTGTCCACGTGACCCGGTTAGGTCAGGGTTCACCTCCAGTGCTGAATGTGAAGACAGTGCGCTGGGTATAGCCCTGACCTGCAGCAACCTGCAGCAACATGAAGAACAGATTCAACACCATAGACATCCGGGCTGTCATTGCAGAGCTAAATAACAGGTGACATGTCATCCCATAGCCAGCCCCTGAGAGAGAGAGAGAACAGCTTATTCCATGTATCATATGGCCATGGCATGCAGTGTGCTGTGACCAACATCCATGTATCATATGGCCATGGCATGCAGTGTGCTGTACCAACATCCATGTATCATATGGCCATGGCATGCAGTGTGCTGTAACCAACATCCATGTATCATATGGCCATGGCATGCAGTGTGCTGTAACCAACATCCATGTATGTGCTGTAACCAACATCCATGTATTATATGGCCATGGCATGCAGTGTGCTGTAACCAACATCCATGTATCATATGGCCATGGCATGCCATGGCATGCAGTGTGCTGCAACCAACATCCATGTATTATATGGCCATGGCATGCAGTGTGCTGTAACCAACCTCCATGTATCATATGGCCATGGCATGCAGTGTGCTGCGACCAACCTCCATGTATCATATGGCCATGGCATGCAGTGTGCTGCGACCAACATCCATGTATCATATGGCCATGGCATGCAGTGTGCTGCGACCAACATCCATGTATCATATGGCCATGGCATGCAGTGTGCTGCGACCAACATCCATGTATCATATGGCCATGGCATGCAGTGTGCTGCGACCCACACCCATGTATCATATGGCCATGGCATGCAGTGTGCTGCGACCCACACCCATGTATCATATGGCCATGGCATGCAGTGTGCTGCGACCCACATCCATGTATCATATGGCCATGGCATGCAGTGTGCTGCGACCCACATCCATGTATCATATGGCCATGGCATGCAGTGTGCTGCGACCCACATCCATGTATCATATGGCCATGGCATGCAGTGTGCTGTGACCCACACCCATGTATCATATGGCCATGGCATGCAGTGTGCTGCGACCCACACCCATGTATCATATGGCCATGGCATGCAGTGTGCTGAGACCCACACCCATGTATCATATGGCCATGGCATGCAGTGTGCTGTGACCCACACCCATGTATCATATGGCCATGGCATGCAGTGTGCTGTGACCCACACCCATGTATCATATGGCCATGGCATGCAGTGTGCTGCAAGGAACATTGATTAATCACATGTTATTATGTATCAGTAGCATTCAATTTGCTCTAATTACCCAGGCTTTCACATGTTATTGTACCGTACTATGTGCTCGAAGGAATCAATCACATGTGCTGTTATGTCTCCATAGCATACAACGTGCTCCAAGGAAGCAACCTTCCCCATTTGTGGTGTTATGTATCCATAACATTTAACATGCTCCAAGGAAGCAACCATCTCCATATAGTGTTATTGTATTTCTTTAGCATACAATGTGCTCTAAGGAAGCATCATCCCAAAGAGTATACATTGTAATCAAAGGAAGCAGCCATTCCCATATGTGTTATATAACATATCCTGTTCTCTAAGAAGAGACACATTCTAATATCTGTTATACATCCATACCAATCAATGTATTAGTTACTGTGTATGTGTGACACACTGTACTGTAAGGTAGGAGTTACTGTATATCCATACGGGGGTAATAAAACCTGTGTTAATAAGCATATAGAGTTGTTCACTAAATTCCAATTGTGAGAGAATTAAATCCCATAGGCAAATGTAAAGGACAACTGTCAGATCATAAATAATTTTCATATAATAATTTCATCAACTTTTGAAAGGAAATAAATGTAAAAACAAATGAGAGAAACTCATCCCAATGACCAGATCCTTCAGCCGTATACATGTGCCTTGGGTCAGAGTCAGACAGTGTTTGAAAACAGTCTTTATAATCTTCCCCACTTCCGTGCAGGGAGTGAAGCAGGAACGTTTGTTTTTTCTAAACACTCTCCGACCCAAGGTGCGTGTACATGGTTGAAGCATCCTGTCATATACTAAAAGCAATGATAAGTTTTTATACTTTTTTTTTTAAATGTGTTTATTTTATTTTACATAAACTTAATTTAATTAAAAAAATCTATTTCCTTTCAATTATTGATGATAGGATTATTATGTTAAAAATAGTTTTGAGGTTACAGTTGTCCTGTAAAGGGATACTATAGTCCCAGGAATACAAAGCTATATTACTGGCACTATCGCACCCCCCTACCTCGCCCCCAATCCCCTCTCCTCCACATTAAATAAAGGGTTAAAAAGCACTGGAGGCAGTTTCTCTGGTTGCGGCACTAAGTGCAAAAGGGACACGGCAATGAGCTGAAGTGCTCTGGGTGCTTTATAGTGTCCCTTTAAACAAAATAGTCAAACTCTGATCCAAATGTTTTCATGTAATCATTTGTGCCTACATTTTACAATTTAGATTTGTTTGCTAGAAATCAGAGTTTAATGAATAACCATGATAGTGCTTTGGGATCGTCCCCAAGTTCCTCTTTTAATTCTTTTTTTTTTTTTTTTTACTTTTTGTCCTAGTAATGTATTTAGTCAACAACGGCATCACAACTGCACAAGAGTGAGAGCTTGAGCCATGCACATCCTATTCATATACTGTTCTCTGACTACAATTTAACTAATGCATTTTGTGTGTGTTCCTTTTTTTTTTTTGCAGTTTACTGGGGATGAGAGTCAATAACGTTTATGATGTGGACAATAAAACATATCTCATTCGACTGCAAAAGTAAGCTCCTTCTTTTTTGGAATATTCTCTTATATTATTATGTTTAATGATGTACTCTATGTACCATAACTCCTGCAGCTCATTGTAGTAGTTATTGTGCAGGCAGTCTGTGGGTGCAACCTCAGTCGTTACCTAATGTTGCAGTATTGTTTTTTTTTTAAATCTTTCCTGTTTTCTATTTTTTTTAATAAACAGGCCAGATGCGAAAGCCATGCTTTTACTGGAATCTGGCATACGAATTCACACTACAGAGTTTGAATGGCCCAAAAATATGATGCCATCAGGCTTTGCAATGAAGGTAAGAGGAGAGGAGATTTCCTAATACCGTCTTTACACTTCTCCGATCTTCCTTTTCTGCTCCTCCTCTACGCCCTATACATGCCTTACCTTTGCTTCCATACGTTTTCTTTCCCTCATTAAAAAACTTCAAGAGTAAAATCCTTTAAACTTACTTCCATCCCCTTCTGTTTAGTGCCGGAAACATCTGAAATCCCGGAGGCTGGTCAGTGTTAAGCAGCTGGGAGTGGACAGGATTGTGGATTTCCAATTTGGTTCAGACGAAGCGGCTTATCATATCATTGTGGAATTATATGATAGGGTAATTTGGTGCATAATTTATTGTTTAATCTTCTAGTTATTGATGGGAGAATATTTAGCTCTTTAAATATAGGTTTTTGCGCCGCTGAATATGTAGTTTAAAACCACAGTGAATTACAGAGCTTTAAAGCTCACAGCTATGTGCGATTTGTATGATATATGACAGTTTCATTTTGCTGCTGCTGTTTCAAATTTTTAATCCGTGTTGAACTTTTCACAATTCTCATTCTCACTTTAACAGTAGCAGTATAGTGTGTTCTGTGTGAGTATCTCACAGCTTCAAATAATGTTTGTTTAAACTAAAATGGGTAACGTTATACGCTAGATTGATGTTTCGATTGGATAATTACATTTCCTAAATCTTTCGTGCTCCACCTAGAAGCTACACGTAATTCCATTAAAATGTATTTACTCCTGGTCATTTCAATTTCGAGTAGTCTGAAGTAGTACAGGAGCGAGCCATTTGTCTGGAAGTCCCACAGCTGACTGTACAGTGTCGTTCCAGGGCAACATTGTTCTTACAGACTTCGAATATCTCATTTTGAACATCTTGAGGTTTCGGACAGACGAAGCTGATGACGTGAAATTTGCTGTCCGAGAACGATATCCTGTTGATAACGCCAAACCGACAGAACCGCTCCTTGCCATAGAAAAGTAAATATAACATTAGATTTTTGAATCTTCATTTTAAGGGCACTGTATGCTGGTATTGCCCTATTTTCTGTTTGTTAAAGGCATTGCATTGATAATGTATTAAAAAATATGATAAAAACAGCCAATCCAACATAGAAGATAAAATAGATACTCCATTTTATAGGGCATTTTGTAAACTCCACACTTTACATCATCCGATTTGAGCTTTGCCCACAGCAGGAAGTAGTTTGGCAAGTCAGGGCCCACAAATTGGATTTGTAGAGTCTGAGCTGTGGTACATATTTAATGTAGCATTGTAAGGGTTAGTGTTGGGGATAGGGTCTGGTTAGTAGATTTCAAAGCTCAATGTGCACTTCCAGATCCTCCTGGTAGCCAAAGATAACTCTAATTTGCCCAGCCACACATTCACATTGCATCGTAATTGGTTTGCTCGCATGCAATGCTCCTTGGTAGCTATTGCATCAGAGCGTAATTTTGTTGGTTTTTGTGAGCCTTGTAAACTCGTTGACAGACCAAACAGAATGATTACTTTTGAGTAAACACTGTTTCTAGTCAACGATAACTTTAAAATGGCAGTGTTCAGGGAGGGAACGTGAGGTGTGCCCTGAAATTAAATAATGAATTTGTATATATACATGCTTCAAAAATACAAAGAAAAATTCAAACAAACTTTATTTAAAAAAACAAAAACAAAAAAAACACACACAAAAATTCCCCAGCAAAATATCTCCATGTTAATTTCCCTTTAATACTAGTTAACCTGTGGTCATTCTGGTCTGTAAAGCACCTTCACAGGAATTGTGTGTCTTTGACTGGCTTATGTGAAGATATTAATGAAGCCTTACCTGTCAGTTTTCCGTAATCGACAGTACGTTATTCCCACTGCCTAGCAAACGGCATTGATACATCTAATCATAGAGATCATATAACATGTATGTTTACCACTGACAGAGGAATGGCCCATTTTATACCAAATTGGCAAAATCTTTAACTTGATAATGCAAGTGATTTGCAAATTTAGGCTATGTTGGCCCATACATTGAGATTCAGTTGTCTGTTTCTGATCATTCCTGGTTAGCATATTGGGTCGGATTACCATACTGAGGCGGATCAGGGTGAATGCTCAGCTGTGGTTATAATCAATCCTACATCACAGTGGATATTTTTTATTCTTTGAGAACTTATTATTGCTCATTAAAATGCCAAATGACTCTCCTGGTATTTTGGAGATTGACTGTATCTTTTTGTTTCTTCAGATTAAAAGAGATTATCACAAACGGACAAAAAGGGGACCATCTGAAGAGGGTCCTTAATCCACACCTACGTATGTGTTTTTTGTTTTTTTTTGTTTTTGTTTCATCACATGACATGACATTTAACGGAACATTCTCATAAGTTTTCACCTCATATTCATGCAGTATTTTTCTCCACGTAAAACTTTCTTGCAGGTATCTGCAGCAGACGCCTGCCCCCTAAGCCATACCTCCACTTTTCACAAACTGTCTTCCTGATTGGAAAAGTATGCAGTGTCCTAATGCAGCTCAGCCAATGAGAGATCAGAAATGAAAGTTTTTTTTGTTTTTAATGTGACAAAGATGACAGAATGAGGCTGAAATCTATAAAATACTATTAATCAGCATGTACATTGTGTGTTGCTTTAATTATGGAAAATCATATGCTCATTCATTTCCATACAAAACACAAAAAAAACACGTTGCGCTGTATACTGTGCGTATAGAGTCCGATAGAACAATTCTTTGGAAGATCTTGGCTTGGAATCGTTCAGGCTTCAGTTGGTGATGAGTATATGTAAACACACACAACACTTGAAGAAGCACCTTATTTGGCGAAACGCGTTGTGTATTTTAGTATTGACTCTCCAGGCAACCCGTTTTACTCACCTGGTTCCAGCGCCGGGAGCCTTGTGAAGCCGCTCCACCGATTTCGTCAAAATGATGAAATAGGCGGGCGCGAGCAGGAAGCAATCAGACGCTTCCATTTGGAAGCGTCATTGCTCCCTTGTGCGCATGCGCGGCTTCGCCACACATACTTCAGAGGGCGGCATTCATGCCACCCTCTGAAGTCCTGAGCGTACTACCGCGAGCTGAGCTGACTGACAGCTCAGCTCGCTGTCTTTGCCTGCCCCCTCTCCTCGGCTGACAGGCAGGAGAGAGAAGGCGCGCATACAGTGCCTTCTCTCTCCTGCACACGTCAGATGTATTTTAATACGTCTGACGTGTACAAGGCCTTTTTGGGGCCCTACATGATAGGAAGTCCCTCTGGTGGCCGTCTGAGTGACAGCCACTGGAGGTATTCCTATCAATCAATATAAACACTGTATTTTCTTTGAAAATACATTGTTTACATTAGATTGCCTGCAGGGAGCTATAGATCTCACCTGAACAACTACATTAAGCTGTAGTTGTTCAGGTGACTATAATGACCCTTTAAAGCATTACAGTTTATTTGGCTTGTACATATTTTATAGTGCAAGACCATTTATTATACTTTTTATACCTTATATTATTTTTATTATTCTTGGCACTTTTAAAACAAACTTTTGAAGGATATACTCTATATCCAATCCCTGGCAAGAATTGCCTTCAGGAGAATCTACTCAACATAATATCCTTGGAGGGGATCATACCACCCAAGTGCTATCTCTTGAGCGGTGTTACTGTCCTACTAAATGTGATTAAATTACCATTTATATTTTTACCTGTTTTTGGTTTTACTCGGTAAGCACTATTGTTTACTTTTTATATTCATCTGGATGCTGTGAGACTTACCCCTAAAGCGCTTCATATCCACCAGTGGGGACTATACCACTGTACACTGTTTTACTCAGAGCTGTAGCTCTAACAAATGTGAGTGTGATCCCACATATCCTTGTTGTGTGTCCTACACTAAGTATTTGACTATCTGCACTATTATTGATCATTTTCTGTTTTGTTACATATACTCCTCACCAACTGAAGCCTGGACAATTCCAAGCCAGGATCTTCCAAATAATTTTTCTTTTGGACTTTATACTCACAGTATTTGGCGGAACAGTTTTTTTGTGTTTTGTATCGTTTTGCTTCTTGTCAATAATATTTTGGGAGTATTCCTTGCATTCAGTGTTTGCATTTTATGTCACTGTTTAAATTAATTGATTAGCGCTTATCCTATCTTTCATATTTGCTGTATCATTAATTTTCATGTTTTGTCTATGCAGCCTATGGAGCAACCCTGATAGAACATTGTCTTCTAGAAATGGGCATGTCTGGCAATATCAAGCTTGAGCAGCTTTCAGGAGACTCAGGTCAGTGGCGTTGCAATGAGAAGGACCAGAATAACAACTGAAATCGCCTCATGCTGCCAAATGGCGCCAATTGGGTACAAGGCTTGAAAATCCATCATGTCCTGGGAAAGGGTGGCTTAGCATGACTCAGTGAATTTGTGTATAAAACCAGTCTCGGAACTACACTCATCCAAATAAGAAATCCTTGGTGCAACCAAACCAGGAATCCGCACCAAGTCTCAGATACAATTTGCTAGAGAGAGAGAGAGGTTCAGGCACTCCGAGGTATGAAAACTGCAAATTTATTGGAGCCCAAATTTCCAGCAGCATCCTGGTCGAAAAGTTGCTTCTGGACATTAGGGTTCTAATAAATTTGCCTTTTTCATACATTGGAGTCCATCAATGTCCATGCTGCATTCACGTCTAATAAGTTATTCCCATGAATGCACATAGACTATGACTTAAATATACTATATAAGGTGGCCTTCTGGTACACTATTTTTCAAGATGGCTGCCTATACCAAGAGATGTTTTACAAAAACAGTTGCCACAACTGGGAGACGTGAATCCTTCTGATATCCGGTATTAACATACGGGGCAGGAATAGTTCAACAATAACTAGAAATTGTAATTGTTGGGTTAAAAATAAAATAATTCCTCAGACGTGAAGGTGGAGTTTCAAAATCAGCCTGTAGGTCAGTTGTTTCAAAATGGAAACTGGAATCATGTGACAACTAGAGCTAGTAGATGAGAATAAAAAGATGGAGCACAAACAACCTGGTTACAAACTCTTATGGGGTTATTCACTAAATTAATAAGTCAAAGTGAATTTTAAATTCAAGGTATAACCAGGAGAACTGGAAAAATTCTCAGTCAGCTATGCTTCAAGTTTGGCTACTTTGGCCTTAAATTTGAAATTCACTTTGAATTCTCACATTAGTAAATATCCATATTAGAGTAGTAAAATAAAAATATGTAAAATTCTGCAAATTATTGTATTTCTTTTTACACTTGGTTTTTTTTCTCTCCATTTTTAAAGATTTGGAGAAGGTTCATGCAGCTTTAAGGAAAGCAGAGGAATACATGGCTATGACGGCAAACTTTCAAGGAAAGGTAACATGTTTTGCCATGCAAGGTATCCGAAGCCTGAAATTATTAAAGGAATGCTTTTGACTTGCATTTCTAATGCGTTGCAGAGATAATGCTTTAAATATATGCAAAAACAAGAAAGTTTAAAAGTTACTTCTATTTGAATAAATCCTTACCAGCCTTGAGTTTCGCTCACTCGAAGAAGTATCTTGGCCAATCAGGAATCTCTAATACTGGTTTATGGAATCTCAACATGTTTACCCCATCACTTTAAGGAATAAAATGTAGGGGGAGGGGCATATTAGCAGAAATATCTCTTTGCTCAGAACAGTTGTTTCTTGGACTTCTGCTTTTATTACTTATGAATACTTCTAGCTGGCTGAACTACAAATCCCTTTAAGTGATGGGTGGAATGCACAGGCTGTATGTGTTCCACCGGTTCTCAGAGGTGCTACTATTCCCACCTGGGAATGGACATTAGCTCCAAAATTCTAATTTCCTAAGGTATTTAAATGCTACTAAGTCTGCCAACCTTGTATACTTGGGGATCCAGCTATGATCGAGAAGATGTGTAATATTGTTACACCATATAAAATGAGGGTTGATCAAATGCAAACATGTTATAGGGCTCTCTGGGTGTCTCCCTCAATGGTGTGTGAGGCTAGAAGAACCGAACTTAAGTTTACAAGGTAAATTGTAACTTTGGGGGAACTTACTAGTTAATTTCAAACAAGTATCAAAGCTAAGTGTTTGGCTTTATCAGTGCTGGAGGTGTGTGTTTTCTATCTGATACCTATGAAGACTGCACTAATGCGCTACAGAATCTGTTGGCGCTATATAAAAGGCAATAATAATGATGTCCTAATGCAGAGGAAGAGGATGTCCAGCATCATTTAGTGGACCAAAAGTCCATTCGCAATCTGGAAGCTCCTTTTGTATCGGTCTGACAGTCACTAGAGGCAGTCTTAGTCATGCAATGTAACTATCTGGGTAACTATAGTGTCCCTTTAAGAGTGCATTATGTGAATCCCATTTGAGAAAGGAAAGTTGTTTTAATCTATTGAAGAGGAATTAATAATGTATACAGAATAGAAGTAATATCTCAGTACATCTAGTAAGTTTTATTGAACTGTCTTAATGTTTTTTATTTAGAATTCTATTAAAATCCAGTCAAACACATAATATAATAGTGTGAATAAAGAATACCCAATCTTCAAAAAGTAAAAGTGGCTCAGAAAAAATATATACAAAGCTAAAACAACATTTAAAAAAAATCTCTTTGTAGTGTTCCTTATATTTATCATTTAATATGTTTAAAGGGAACCTCCATTTCTGTAGAACTTGCACCATTAAATAAAACATTGAAAATCACCCATAACTTGTTTATTTTTCTTCATGTGAAGCTCTGGTTTATTTGTTTTTAACCAAGCAATAAAAGAGGCTGATTTATTAGGATACCATTCAACTAAGGATGAATACCAGGCATGTCCAACCTGTGCCTCCTCCCCCACCCTCCCAGATGTTGCTGAACTACAACTCCCATGATTCTTTCAATTAAACAGATAGCCAGGGAATCATGGGAGTTGTAGTTCAGCAACATCTGGGGGGCCGCAGGTTGGACAGCCCCGATGTATACCATCGGTAAACAGTATATAGTTGCTACAGGTTTTAAAACTTGAAATAACAGTATTGTTTTAGTAGTCACTCGTTCTAAATCAACTAAACTTCAGGATGCCCCTTTTGTGCCTCAGTCAAGATAAGCACCAATACATGTTTTGTCCTCTATGGAGCAAAGAAAAGCATGTCCTCATTGATTAATCCATGTAAATATGTGTTTAACACCCACAGGGCTACATCATCCAGAAGAGGGAGAAAAAGCCTTGTCTGGAGCCAAATAAAGAGCCTGAAGACATTCTCACGTGAGTTATTGTTTGTTTTTTAACCATGAGATATCCAGTATGTGACTACCATTCCCATGATGCTTTGCTAGTTGCTGGCTTAAAGGAACAGTAATATATATATATAATATTGACACTACAGTGTCCCTCTACCTAGCTCTACATTGGTCTTCTCAGCTCCCCCTGTTTGAAGTAAAAATTTGAAAAGAACTTTAATTAAAGTTGTACTCACCTTTACCTCTTTGCCTCCCATGAAGTCACGGAGGAGGCATGACCTCCTCCACGATGGTACAATCCAATGCTCCTCATGTCCTCATTGGGGACATGATCTGCATGGATGGCGTCATTCAAATTTATAGTGATCCTTTAAATTTATGGGTGATGGAAACCCACAGGTAGGTAACCTCTGCTTTACAAGATGCTCTCGAGTATCTCCAATTCCTGGACATGTTTTCTGTTTTCCAGGAATGAGGAATTTCATCCTTTACTATTTGCACAACATCGTAACAGCCAGTTCGTGGAGTTTGACTCTTTTGATAAGGTCAGTATGAAGCTCACTACACTCTATTTACTTTATAGATGCGTAATATTATGAATAACATAAGAAATGAAAGATCCACTTTAGATCCTGCTGCTCCACTAGTCCTCCGTGACTGCAACATTATTGATTCCTTTCAATACCTTAGCCGCTGTCTTAATGTAATTGCCATTCTTAGTGATAAAGTATTGCTTTAAACATCAATAATGGCACATGATCCACAAAAAATCATTACTTTTATGGTTTTTGCTTCCCAAGCACTACCAAGCCTCAATAGCAAACCAGTAACCAACCTCATGCTGATGATTTGCATTAACAATGAGTGGTTCACTGACTTTGCATCTTTTCCTAAGTTGTGTTTCAAATCTAGCAGTTTAACCGGCCTGTTAAATAAGCTGCAGATTTTATAATGTAATATTTGAACGAAGTTATTCACTAGCGTGAGACTGGTTGGGAATTAAAAATGTTACGTTCAATGCCAAAGTAGCCAAAATGGAGCGTAGCTGACTTAGATCATTTTTGCAGTTTGGCTATTTTGGCCTTAATTTAAATTTTGACCATTCTTACTTTAGCCAATAATTCTGCATGTGGTAGTACCGTCTTATGTCTGCAGATGGAACTTTTTAGATGATAACTTGTACCATACTAAATCATTCTAGATTTATGACCAGAGGTGAATATTTACATTATGATTTGTTTAATAATATTATTTTTCTGAGTTTCTTTTTATTTTTGATGGTATAGTATACATAAACATTTAGTTACCATAGTCAGAGTGCTGACATAAATTAGAAGGGGAACAAGGCAGATGACAAATATAAATGATTTGCTGTGCTATGCTGTGCAATTTGTTCTAAAGAAGGATGTTTGAGCACTAGAAAAAATGCAGGTGGGCTTCAAAATTAATAAAAGGAATGGAACAGTTTAGTTATGAAGAAAGGTTAAAGGGACACTGTAGGCACTGTATCTGCTTCATCTCATTATACTGGTTATAGTGTGAATACACAAAAATGGGATACAGCTGAATAACTAAAAAAACAAGAAAAAAAACATAACACATAGTGAAGTACAGTAATTGCAATTGGATTTAACCCCCAATGATTGCACTCATGAAATAGTGTGGAGCAATGCTCCTTTAAGCCCACAATGGGGCTAGAGAAGCGTTCACCTTCCACGGATGGGGACTTCTGTCTTCCAATGAAGTGGGAATACGCCAATTTGAATTTATAAAAATATTTTTATTGAGGCAATACAAAGCCTTAGTAAAAAAATTAAAAATGAATAAAATGTAACTGCAATCTAACGCATTTCGTCCACATATAGTAGACTTCCTCAGAGATAATACAGTATAAGCAGTAATGCAATAAAAAACAAAGTATGCATAATTCCCACCCCAACAAAGTCCCTTTAAATAGAACCAGTCCGTGTGTTGATTGGAGAAAGCTCTCATAGAAACGCCCGAAAGTACTGGTTATAGTGTCTGGAGTCCTCTTGTACCATCATTTCTTTCAGCATTAAACAGTTTTTAATGTTTGAATGCTAAACAAGAGTCCCCAGCAGTCCATCCCCTCTGTGCTGCTTTGGCTATAAAGGTATTAGGCTGGGCAGCTGTGATTGGCTGGGATTGTCAGCTGACTGCTTTTAGCCTGTCAGAGCTCCAACTGATGGTATGAATGGGTATGACAACAAGGAGGTGTGTAATCTCTGCCTTAGCTACACATACAGAAGGGGCAGGACTGTGGGTGGCCTTATTTTGTGGCATACTGCACGAACATGGTGCAACACTGAATGGAGGGACAGTGCCAGGGCACTCCAGGCACTATAACCAATTCAAAGAGATGAAATGTGTGCCTTTAACACATTTAAATCTGGAGATTAAAGGAGATTTAGTCGAAGGCAAAAGTCATTTTTTTTTGTTTGTTTTTTTTTTTTTAAAAGTAAGAACATTAAGGATGTGGACTTCTCTATCTGAAGAGGTGGTTTTATCAGTCTGTACAGATATTTAACCCCTTAAAACCAGAGGGCGTACTATTACGCTCTATTCTAAGCAGCTCTAAATGACTCAGGGCGTAATAGTACGCCCTCCATTTGTTTTTGTTTTTTTTGTTTTTTTTTACTTGGTTTTGTTTGTGCGCTGTCATTGTTGCAATACCCCTTGGTACTGAAATCAGCAACTGTGACCTCATCACTAGAGTTCATTAAAATTTAATACGAGACAATGTGACAAGCCTTTGTCTAAACTCCAGACTCATCCAAGTACAGACATTGTTAGTGATTGATCCTTTCTTCTTCATGCTTCAAGGCTGTTGATGAATTCTATTCCAAGTTGGAAGGTCAGAAGATTGATTTAAAAGCTCTTCAGCAGGTATGATTAATTTCACCTTACTATCTAGCCATCATTTGTCTATCATCTTCTTGTTTTTTTTTTTGCCCTGGTCACCTTGCATTCTTTTTGTAATTTTGTAATACTGTAATTAGACATGTAAAATGGTTTTACAGAGAGTGGTGGATATTTTCCACGAGTGAGTTACCTTTCAATAAATGTGGAAGCACTTTCCTTGTGCATGCATCACTTCCAGCTGTCTTACAGCAACTCCCTGGTGAGATGTGCGTTCGAAAATTGCTTACATGATCACTCCAGAAAACCGTAAGATGATTTCTAAATCATGCAGAATATGGAAACTGGAACCTGAAATCTATTTAAAGATCTTGCGCATGTTCCCCCACCCCCCCGACCTTTCTAATCCCCAATCACAGTTTGCTTAGTTTTTGCTCTGAATAATTATCAAATTTTTTGATTTTTAATTTCTGGGTCACCAACAGGAGAAACAAGCTTTGAAGAAGCTGGATAATGTGCGAAGAGATCATGAGCAAAGATTGGACTCCCTTAACCAAGATCAGGTATTTTCTTTGTAAAATGATTTTGTCCCTACCACGTCTGGCGTTTTGGTGAAATCTGTGTAGTAATGGCTACTTCTTTCTTGTTTGATTTTTGCTTTTTGCACCAAAATGGTTAATAACAATCTGGATTTTTTTTTTTTAGGAAATTGACAAAACTAAGGGAGAGCTGATCGAGATGAATTTGGACATTGTAGATCGCGCACTCCAGGTGGTGCGCAGTGCCCTGGCCAATCAGATTGACTGGACAGAGATTGGAACCATTGTGAAAGAGGCACAAATCCAAGGAGATCCTGTTGCTATTGCCATCAAAGAACTTAAGCTTCAGAAAAACCATATCATCATGCTGCTCAAGTGAGTCGCACTTCTTGCAATAATGTGCAAAAAGCTAAAGGATCTTTGAGATGACAACTGTTCTTTTATTTATTTAAGTGAAAATAGAAACGGAGTGTATTTTCTTTTCCCTCCATATTCATGTAACTTTTAATTGTAGGGGCTAGGTACTATTCATGAACAAAAGTTGGTGATGAGACGCTATTAAACTGTTATTGCACTCTCTGCAGTGAATAAGGTTTATGGTTGATGGCCTTTAGGTAGAGAAAAGTTGTTTGTATCAACCATTATAGTTAAAGAAAGTGCTGATGGGCTTTAAGAAGCACTGTCATTTGAGGGATCTTTACATTTTATTTCAGAACCCCCAGGTGGTATGTTTGCTTAGATGTTGGTATTTTCCTTCTTGTGCTGTCAACTTCTAATCTCCAGCTCCAGCAGATAAATTTACCAGGAGCTGTGCCTTTTGCTGTAATTATGCATGTGTGAGAGAACGAAACGGGTCTATGAAAGGTATCGGAAAACACTGGGATCGCTATTGATCTTCAGCCATAGGTATCTGTTTCATATTGCGTGAGAAGATGTCTGTACCCATCTGACCTTGTGAGTAACAGATGGTGGGTTCATAGCAAGATGCAGTATTCTGAACCAGATCAAAACTTTGCCTTTCGCCATGTTTTGACAAAAAGAATATTGTGTACATAAGACACATTAATTCATACTTTGCTTTATGATACATTTTGATTGCTGTAGAATTTGAATACAGTTTATTTTATATATATTTTTTAAAAGCTCGGATGTGATAGATCTGCTCTAAACCTAATGTTCTCCTAAACTTATCTAGGCAAAAAAAAAAAGTGAAAATTGTTTTCTTTTAAATTTGTTTTTTGTTAAATTAAGTTTTACATTTAATGGATCTTTCTAGGCACCACAACCACTTCAGAACACTGTAGTGGTCTCCTGGCCCCATATCCTGGGTAAGAATGAGACCCTTTTCAAATAGTTAAACACTTAAGAGGGTGATTTCAGGTTGCTCTCGTCTGAACCTTTTACTTCCACATGTGTGAAATTAGTGCCACCGATCTTTGAATGGAATTCTTTCGCTGAGAGCGTCCACTGATGTTCTCAACCAGTTCCATTCAAATAGGGTGGAATTGATATATCTGTTGTGGAAGGGGAACTTCTGCTTGATATGTATCTGAGAGGGATGGACCCAGGTAAGTGTCAAACTATTCAAAATGATATAATTCTTTCCCAGGGGATTCTTTGCATCAGAACCATTAATTTGCAAATAATTGCCGTGTGATACAAATTAGCAGACCTCACTGAACCTCTCCAATTTGCTGAAAATAACAATGTGATGAGGTATTGGAATGTTATATGTTTGCAGAAACCCGTATACTTTATCCGAAGAAGAGCATGACGACGATGAAGAGGAAATCAAGGAAGTTGAAGCGCCCAAAGGAAAAAAGAAAAAAGCAAAGAACAAAGTGCAACCAAAGAAAGTCCAGAAGAACAAGCCAATGCTGGTGGAGGTGGACCTTGGCCTTTCTGCATACGCAAATGCCAAAAAGTGAGTGACCTCATTTATTTATTTACTTATAAAATATTTTACCTGGATGGATACATTGAGATTTCACTCGTTTTCGAGTATGTCCTGGGTGTAAACAATCCCAAAATGCAAATATTTAATCATTTGCACTCTCTAAAAAGTGTTCCTTTCTGCATAAAAGACTGAATGAATAGGAGCGGTACTTTCTGAACGGGTCCTTACTGCATGGTACACTATGAACAGGGGTGGTACTGCTTTACAGAAGTTTATCTTCTATAGGTCATACACTGAATGTGAGAATTTTTAACTGCAGGTATTATGATCACAAGAGACATGCGGCCAAGAAGACGCAAAAGACGGTAGAAGCAGCAGAAAAGGTAAATAAGAGCCTTTGACTTTTTATAGGGCTTAGAGCAAAATGATTGAGTCCAAAAACAAAAAAAAAATTAAGAAAAAGGACAAAACAATAACTTGGTATTCCCTTCTCTTTCTTTCTGCTCTATCCCCAAATTCTACAGTCTCAGGTTCTCTAGAGAGTGAATCATGAGATCTGTAGCTCCAGTGGCTCGTCTTTCTTCTTCAATGTTTTTCCTTAAGAGCTATAATCGTCTGTCAAAGGAGCAGGGTGAGGTCCTGGCAGATCTTCCCCTATTCCCTGCTAGAACTCTAGGCAGACAGGTTCAGGATATGCAAAGCTGCTCTAACACATTTCTGTTTTTCCAAATACATATTTTGCCACTTTTCATACTTTCAAGCATTGCGAGACCCATGTTACTTTGCAACGCACCATGTCATCTTTAGATGTGCAACTTCTGAGGATGTACCTTGGCTACCCTAGAGTAAAGCCCAAGATGTCATCTCTTACACAGTATGCTACTGTTAACATTTTGATCAGGAACATGTTATTTTTTTGACTCTAGAAGTTCCAGCTTTTCATATCTCTTTAAGGTCACTGGCAGAACGTATTGTTTTTTTGTTTTTTAGGGGGTATCACCGGTATAAAGTAGCTGATTTGCTGCTCTTTGTAGATTGTGCCTCTTCTATGATCTTCTCTCTGGCTGCAGGCTGACTGGGCAGGAAATCCTATGATATGCCTAAAATCTCGTTTTTTGTTTGTTTGTGTGTATGACTTTGTAAAATAGGCATTCAAATCTGCAGAGAAGAAAACCAAGCAGACGCTGAAAGAGGTCCAGACAGTGAGCACCATTCAGAAAGCAAGGAAGGTTTACTGGTGAGCAAGACTATTTCTTTACAAATCCATTATTTCCCCCATGGTAGAGAAGTTGGAAATGATGGGCTTACATTCATCGTGTGACATAGAGGGGTGCAACAAAAGACAGCAACTCACTACCTTCTCAAAGATTTTTTTTTTTCTTTAAATTCCCAAAAACGCAACAAATTGCAGCTCCTTAAAGGACCACTATAGTGCCAGGAAAACATACTCGTTTTCCTGGCACTATAGTGCCCTGAGGGTGTATGTGTAGTGCAATAGTTTTTATGCACTAAATAGAATCATAGATAATTGAAAACTCGAATGGCACCTATTCTCCACCTTGGCAATAACCCAGTTTGCCTATTTTAGCCTGACATTTGCCATTATGTTTTTAATTCATGGTTTTGTTAATAAATAAACCCTATTTTCTCCTGTAAGTGCTCTGTCTGACCTGTAACCTTTATGGGTGATTCAGATTGCTTGGGAGAGGATGTACCTGATACTGCTGAGAGTTTTCATGATTCTCCCCTGGTGCTATGGTGGTAATGTAGCCAACATTCCAAACTCCTCTCCTGACACTTCTCTGTCTCCCATTAGGTTTGAGAAGTTCTTGTGGTTTATAAGCTCGGAGAACTATTTGGTGATCGCAGGAAGGGATCAGCAACAAAACGAGATGATTGTAAAGCGCTATCTAAGGCCTGGTTAGTATCAATGAAATAGAACAGTGGTGGTGAACTTGATACTGTACATGATTGTGGACTACATTTCCCAAGATGCATATCTGGTCTTCAAGGTGGAACAGACCGTTTTGAAATGATTGATCCACTATTGCTTTATGTTCTTATAGCAAAAAAAGTTCTGCATTCTATTAACACTTTCGGGAGTTTTCTTCCACCCAGTGGTGATTTATTGGCATATTACAGACAGATTGTTATTTATGTATAGACCATCCTTCACTATCCCTTACCTTCTCGTAGTGCTGAACACTGTCTCCATATCTTTTTCACTTCGTTTTGATTTTGTGGTTCTAGGTGACATTTATGTCCATGCCGATCTCCACGGAGCCACCAGCTGTGTCATCAAGAACCCCTCAGGTAATATACAGATTGCGTCAGGTATACCTCTACTGCGGAGGAACGAAATATGGTGAACCTTGAATTCTCTGTTCCAAAACATCCCATGAATGTTCAGTGATATTCAGCAGATGAATGGGGAGGCTGAGGAGGGACTGTAACTTCACACTTGTGTGCATGAAGACAGGCTCAACTTTATTTTGCAATGTGTATAAGGTTTATCATCTGGGAATAATATTATGAGTGAACAGTATCTGTGTATGTTGTAACATCAAATGATCTAATATTACTTGGCCATTATACAAACATCCAGAGTACTCTTCAGCACTAATGGCTAACATAAGATAGTCGTTCCACGCCTATTGATCCCCTATCATGTTTAAAAGAACAATACTAGTACTATAACCACTATAACCCTCTATAGTGGTTATGGTGCCAGGAGTGCCCAGTCACCCTCAAATTTTTTTACAATTTACCTTGGGGTTCACTGGGCGTCTCCTTCAATGGACCCAGAAGCTTCAGCAATTAATTAAAACATTTTCCAGGTATCTGTTTATGTAACACATTAAGATATATATATATATATATATATATATATATATATATATATATATATATATATATATATATATATATATATTCATTTTGTTTAGAGTTTGATACTTTTTTTATCCTATCCTTATTAACCTTATATCTGTCTGGCCGTGCAACAGGGGAAACAGTGCCTCCACGCACGCTGACTGAGGCTGGAACTATGGCAGTCTGCTACAGCGCAGCCTGGGACGCACGTGTTATCACCAGCGCCTGGTGGGTCAATCACAATCAGGTAATTTTGCGGGTGCTGACTTCAATAAGTCTGAGGTATAATGATGTGTAAATGATAACTATAAAATGTAATGTGTGTTCTAGCATTTCTCTCATTTGACACAATCGTTATGTAAATCAGTTTAAAATAATACCACCAAAAGATCAATATGATTTCCATATATCCAAGCTATAGTATGCTTAGCTGTAATTACTGATTTAAGATCTGTTATGGTTTCAGTGGGGAGGTGGTTGTGACACTTGCTGTGAGAGGATCTGATGCTCAGCAGCCAATCAGAATATTCAGTTTAATCAGCTCAGCTATTTAACTCCCAGGATTCCACTGTGCAGGAAGAAAAGACCTTTCTAATTATAAGCCAATATTGGCTTCAAATCCTTTAGTTGGTTTTAATGCTTAAAAATGCAGAACAAAAAATAAATGTGCACTGGAAAAATACAGCTGGGAGAAAAAACAAGCCATGAAAAACTGCGTAAGCCAGCTCACAAATTCAGTCTTGTAATGGCTGCAAAGTGACCCCCTCAAAACGGAGACGCTGATTGCTTTGATATTTTGGAGTTAATTTGCTAAATGGCAAGATGAAGCGAAATGGCACAAATGTGAGAAAAGGATTATCTGAAATTCCAGGTTTTTCTGTTCCCTCCACCTAAACTAAATGATCTTTTTACGGTGAATTAACAAGTAGTGTTACCAAGTGAACCAAACAGGCCTCACTGCTCCAGATATTTCCTATTCTCTGCTAAAACTGGAAGAACGTAAGCGTGTAAAATGAGAAATCTGTGTTGACTGGCATGAAAACGTATCTCTGACAGTATGGCTTTGTAGGGATTTTGATGTTTAATGATTTAGGCCTAATTATTTTGATTGTAAATATTCCTAGTTTTATTCTAGATGGCAGGTGGTATTGAATGACCGGCATTCTTTTCTGTTTTTTTTTTATTTGATGTATTTAAATATTCCATTCAATGGACGTGAAGATGTTTAATGACAAAACGTTTGAGTAAACCCCAAAATGTGCTCTAAATCCCCGTTAGGCCATGACATTTTGCCTAGGTTCTCTCTACCATATCTTTTGCCACTTCGCACAGACCACTCTTCTTTACATGTCGTACTATAATTATTCAGGCTCCCACTGTGATGTAATATAAATACTCTCATTATTCAGGTTTCAAAGACTGCACCCACAGGAGAGTATCTGACAACTGGTAGCTTTATGATTCGAGGTAAGGGGTGTTCATGTCATATTGTTTGTAAGATGCTGATCAAACCATCTTAAACTCTCTTGTAAATTATCCCTCTAAAGATTATTCCTTTCTCCTATGGCCTCTTCGGGCCTGTCTTTTCTACTTAGGGCCCTTTCTTCATACTCCGGCCCCTGCAACCTTTCCTTTGTTTTGGTTTTGTGTGGTCTGGATGTCAGAAAGAACTTTGTTTGTTCAATTTTCATTTTCCAGGGAAAAAGAACTTCCTTCCACCATCGTACCTGATGATGGGCTTTGGATTTCTATTTAAGGTTTGCATGTTCGCTTGCGAGCTATCTGTATATTAATGTATTAAGATTACCATAATCTATACTGCACATCTGACGTTATGGTCTTTACCCTGTGTGTAATTTGCCAGTACCATATCTGACCAGCAGAGGGCATGACATATTGATACTGCTTTAAAGTCTCACTGTGTTAATGGGAAAACCTAACTTGAAATAACCCTTTCGGTGGGGTGATTTGGATGTAGTAAGGTAGTGATCCCTGTCTGTAACTGACCTTGTCATTACTGAATATTTGTTTTAGCTGCCAAACGTCAATTTGTCATATTAATAGACATTGTAACTTGTATAAATATATATTTTCTGTCTGACCTTCTACATATTAAGGTAGAGGGATGCTTTCATCTTACCAGTGTGATACCCACAAACACAAACACCAGATTTTTTATTTTTTTTCTCACTCTTCCAGTACATATAATAAGTAGAAATTGCTGGGACTGTGCTACCTCTCAGAACATCAGTTTGCCAACATAAGTTGTAAAATAATTTTGCAAAGTGTCAATTAATTCCGGTGGGTCCTGTATATATGTGCTAGAAGATAAAAATAATACTAAGGTCGGAGAGACAAAGGACCGCTGATAGCGTAGTATTGCCAAAATGTAAAAGCATTTATGAAAAATATAAACATTAAAAGTGGACTCTCACATTGAAGTAAGAGGTTACCGGCATATAAAGTGTTACAGCTCACAGAGGTTTATAGGACCTGTTTTTCTTATGCTGGACTTGCAAATGGCTGACCACTGGAAGAGATTGTCTTCTGCTCTCACAGAATGGCACTCAATTCCTTCATCTCGCCTGTAATATCGGAAGTTCAAAAGGGGATCCTTTCGTCACACTGTGTCCCTCTGGTTCTTCTAATTGTTTCATAGTAAGGGCCAAACGTTTTCCGCCTTTTATGTGGGCTTTGTCAATGGCTTAGACTAGTGGTCCCCAACCCAGTCCTCATGGACCACCAACAGTCCAGGATTTATGTATTTCCCTGTTTTATTCCAACGGAGATGCTGACAAAACCTGGACTGTTGGTGGTCTGTGAGGACTGGGTTCGGGACCATTGGCTTAAACGAAGTCATTGACAAAGCCCACAGGAAGGGCAAGAGAGTCCACTTTTAATGTCTTTTATGTTTTTAATAAATGCTTTTGAAGCACGGAAAGTGTTGTGCTTGTCCAATCAAATGTCTCTCAGGGATCTCCCTGGTTCTTAAAGCTACCTCTTACCTCACTGCCTTAATTGGATTAATAATGTGGAATTTATATTTTCGCATTTCCAATATCAATTACCTGGCTGCCAGTGATTGGGTCAGTGCATGGAACAGTTTTATGTCCGCCCATAGATTCTTTGCACCATAACTTTATAGTTATCAACTTTAAACAAATTTATGGAGACAGGGAGCGAAACTGCTAAAATAATGTTTATGTAGCTGTGATTTGATCAGCAATCTCCTTTTGTACTGCAGGTAGACGAGCCTTGCGTTTGGCGACATAAAGGCGAGCGAAGAGTTAAAGTTCAGGATGAGGATCTGGAAAGTGTAACAAGTAGTCACACAGAGCTCATGGCTGAAGAAAATGAACCTCTGGGTAATGAAGCCAGGGGCCTGTATATCTGGAAATATTTACTTTTTGACATAAATAATCATACAAGTGCAATAGGCGTATTCCACACACTATTCTTTTGCTGAATTTGCTAAATCACTTAACCCCTTAAGGACACATGACATGTGTGAAATGTCATGATTCCCTTTTATTCCAGAAGTTTGGTCCTTAAGGGGTTAAATGCAATGCTTCTTCTAGACATGTGTTTTGTTGTTTGTTTGTTTTCCCCCTCCCTGGGATGGGACCTTCCATTAGATTCCCCATACTAGTTAAAGTGAGTCCTAATTATGCAGAAATCTAATTTTTCTCTGACCACAGGCTCCTGCACAGACAAATAATTTTGTGTTTTGTCTCTGCCTTTGCCAGAGCAATGGAGCCCCACCGGACACTAGGAAGAATTAATGAACCTGTGTTTACATGTTTTTGTTTAAGTATAAATTATATGACATTTGAGGAAGGTGACTGAACAACACATTAGAGTGGAAGAGTAAGTCACCTGTCTTAGACACGTACATAATCTTGATCGCTGACCGGATAGGTTGAGAACCATTTCTCCAGGCTTTGATGATAAATATGTTGTCTCTTAGGACTACTGATATGAAAATAGTTGGGTTTATCAGTGTAAAAAGGCGTACAAATATCCTGAAATTGTCTCCATGTTTAAATTCTCTAGAGGAAGAGAGTGACAGCAGCAGTAGTGAAGATGAAAAGAAAGAGGACACGGAAGAGGCCACTCAGAGCTGTGAATTGGAAATAAAGTCTGAATGTCAGACCGAAGACATCAATGGGACCCAAAACATTGTAGAGGCAGATGAAACACCGCTGTCAGATGAACAAAGCGACCGTGACAGCCCTCAATCTACAGAGAATAACAGTGAGGTGAAGGAGGAGGATGATGATGAGAGAGCAGAGCTCAGCTACCCAGACACTTCCATAGACCTGTCCCATCTCCAGTCTAAGAGGTAAACTATTTTCTTTAAATTGTTCTCTAGATGTCGATGAGCCAATGAACCTGATGTATCTGCAATCACGTAACTATCTGTTTACAAGGACTTTCTCATGAAATATCTAAGTATTTTGCTGCAAAATATATTTCAGCTTCATCAGTGTTTGATATGTTAGGTTTTCAAAGATCTTATTGACCCAAAATCCAATCAGCAGCTTTCCAGATGTATACTCCCATCATCCAAGCAACTGGGTATCTCAATGACAAAAGGCACAGTCAGATTGTTTTGCTAATTGCCTGAACATCATGGGAGTGGTTGTCCATGGCAGCTGGAGTGCCAGATGTCAGTCTCACCTGGCCACGGGAAGCCCTTCTTCTGACCTCTACTCAAACCTATTGCCATTGGCTGACTGGGATCTGCTGTACAACAGTGACACCTAGTGCTGACCTTTAGACTCCAGTGCAACACCAATTGTCTCCCTGCTTTTGTAGTACTACAGCTCTCATGATGCTTTCTCTCTTAAGGATCCTAGTTGTTGCATTCTATAGCTGAGTGTCTTTTTACAATCACGCTTGCTGTGGTGTTAAATGAAAAGCAATTGGAATATGTCCCCCACCCCTGAATTGTTTATACATCATACCTAACTCTTAAAGGAGTGATTACATGTTCAAAAGAGAAGTATTAGAAATTCATTTTTTTTCTAATGTAAGAACTTTTATTTGAAATCACAATTTTAGTCTTCTGCAAATTTTGCAGTTCAGCTAATAGTGTTACCTTATTTGTAAATATTTAAAAAAAAATATATATATATTTTTCTTCCACAGAACGACAAGCAGAGTGGTTGTTACAGAGCCTGCAGGATCAGACGCAGTGGTAATACCCTTGTTCCTATTTGCAACCTATCATTTATACCATTTAATGGCCCCATGAAAAATACACGAGTTGTAACCTGTTTATTTTCTGTCCACAACAGGACGGCAGCAAGTCTCTTGGGCGTAAACACATGTCTGCAAAGGAGCGTCGGTAAGATGTTGAGACATGTATTTGAAATTAGATTAAATTGTATCTATGAAAACAGATCAGCTATGTCATTCTATATATATATATATATATATATATATATATATATATATATATATATATATATATATATATATATATATATATATATATATATATATATATATAAACAAGAGGGTGTTGGCTGCACTCACCTTAACATGCATAAATGGGGGTGCTGCTGGGGGCCAAATAATACAATACACAAGATCCAGCGCACTCACCTATCCACTAAACAGCAACTTCAATGTTGAAAGATTTCTTTCCCCAAGTAGGTTAATCTCATAAGAGCAGACATTAGGCTGTTAGTGTAGGACCTGCCAAAGATGGGGTACATTGACGTTGTGGCAGGCTTATGCAATGTATGATCATATGGTGTAACTGGGCCCCCATTATTTTTGCCTAGATTAGGTGTTTTTAAAAAAACAAATAAAATCTTTCAACATTGAAGTTGCTGTTTAGTGGATAGGTGAGTGCGCTGGATCTTGTGTATTGTATTATATATTTATATATATATATATATATATATATATATATATATATATATATATATATATATATATATATATATATATATATATATATATATATATATATAAAATGATCTATGATAAGTAATGGATATGGGGGATTTTTATTTGACCCTACTTATCACAAGTGAAGAATGGGTCATCAAACTAATGACATAGGAGGATAAATGATGGTGAAGCTCCACAATGTCAAACTTGTTTCCTGGTTCTGTTTCACAGGGAAATGAAGAAAAAGAAAAAGCCAAATGATGCGAATGATGTAGATGAGGAGTCGATCGAAGAGAAGAGCAAAGACGAGAAACCAGAAAATGTTGTTTCTGATAATGCACCACAAAGTGCCGCTGCACCACCTCTAATGAAAAGAGGCCAGAAGGTACCATTCTCACTTTTTTTCTTTCTTCCTGAAGGAATCGGCAACTGCATCAACATTTAAATTTTAACTCACACTCAGTCAGCCTTAGGGATCCTACTGATCCGGCCATTGCGTCTTCCCATTGACCTGGCCCATTGCTCCTTTCTCTTGACCAGGCCTGTTGCTACCTCTTTTTCCATTAAAGGGACACTGTAACTGCTTCATTTCATTGGAGAGGATAGAGTGCCTTGAGATCCACGGTGCCATGTATTTTTTTTTTTTATTCAATCTTAAAGGAACACTATAGCAGGAATACAAATGTGTGTTTCTAATGTGTTATTGTCACTGCATAAGTCCATTTACTCAACTTTTGCCACACTGCTTTCTCTGCAGATGGCCTTGTCTCTTTTGTTGATCTTATCTCAGTTGATGCTTGAGGATCTCGGTCAATCTAATACTTTCCTACAGGAAAGCATTGGAAGGATAGTGTGCACGTGTGGCAAAAGCCATGCTGCGCCAATCAGCTATTTCTGCAGAAGTGCCTCTAGTGGCTGTCACAGTGACAATGACTACAGGCATTTAAACCCTGCAATGAAAAATTACAACTACTGCAGAACCACAATGTTTTCACTAACAGGGTTAAAACTAGAGACATGTCATCCAGACCACTTTATTGAGATGAAGGGGACGGAGTGCCTATTGAGTCACTTTAAACAGTTTTTAAAGGACCACTATAGGCACCCAGACCACTTCAGCTCAATAGTCTGGGTGCCAGGTCCCTCTAGTTTTCACCCTGCAGCTGTAAACATAGCAGTTTCAGAGAAACTGCTATGTTTACAATGAGGGTTAATCCAGCCTCTAGTGGCTGTCTCCCTGACAGCCAATAGAGGCCGCTTCCGCAATTCTCACTGAACTTCACAGTGAGAAGACGCTGGACGTCCATAGGAAAGCATTGAGTAATGCTTTCCTATGGGCGGTTTGAATGCACCCGTGGCTCTTGCCGTGCATGCGCATTGGCACAGAAGTCGTCAGGAGGAGGAGAGGTCACCAGCGCCGAGGGAGCCCGATGCTGGATTAGTGTAAGTGGCTGAAGGAGTTTTAACCCCTTCAGCTCAGCGGGAGAGGGGCCATGAGGTTGTGGGGACCTAATAACCCTATAGTGCCAGGAAAACAGGTTTGTTTTCCTGGCACTATAGTGGTGCCAGGAAACTCTGATATAGCACCTTTAATGCTATATGAGAGTTCCCAGCAGCCCATCCCCTCTGTGAGGAAGTGTTAGCCTAAGTGGTTGTGGGTGTCTGTGATAGGCTGAAAGAAGACAGCTGACCCTCTTAGCCAATCACAGAGCACATTCAGCTGGCATCTTTGCTTTGGACTCATCTTTAGTGCATACAGTGTGCCTCTAAGGCTTTAATAAAATTCAGAATGCTGCATTCATGTAAAAGGTTCGCTAGATTTTATCATGAGGGTTATTAAAGTAAGAACTGAACTGAAATTGAAATTAAATGCCAAAGTGTTCTAAGTTCATTTTGCCCATAACTCGGCTACTTCAGCCTTAAGTTGAAATTCACTATAAGTTCCCAGCAGTTCTCACTTTATTTATTTATTTTTTAATCAATAATTCTTTATTATATATTTCATTTTTATGAATAGACATAAATACATATACCGAAACACATACACAAAATCCTATATTGTAATATTTCTTTTATATAAGAAAGAATGTTACCTATTAACCAATGTACAAGATATAGTCAATCATAAATCTCACATAAAACAATACAAACATTTAGTGCCAGGTCCTCGGGAGAAAGACCAATTTCCATATCTAAAAAAACCCAGAAAACTTTCTGATATTAGTCAGATGGGAAGAGACAATATATTGATAGCTTAAATTAAAGATTTTTCAATTGGGTTATCCAACTCTGCATGTACGTACTATTTATTTTAGACTCCTTATTCGACCATTTTAACCCACCTTCCATATTGTACAGGAACAGAATTTGGCTTTTAAGATTTAGCCAACTTATAAATTCTCTTGATTTCCAATGTCGTGCTAAAAGAAGTTTTGTAGCTACAAAAAAAATAAGTAGACATCAAGGCATTTTTGGGAGATGGCACTGGCCAATTAAAATGTAGGATCCCTTTTTCGGCTTAAATCTCCCCAATGTCTGAAGTTTATCAAATGTTATTTTCCATAAATGAGCCGCAATTTTACAGCCCACCACATGTGGCGATAATCTGCTCCCTCAGTATCACATATCCAACACTTAGAATTAGGAGTAAACTTATTCACTAACAAGGGATCCAAGTACCAGAAATGAATCACTTTATATTGGTTTTCAAGAATATTAGTGCAATTGGATATCACTGTTATAATTTTTTTTATGGCCAAAAGCCATTCTTCACGATTTATGTCTGTATCAAGTAATTTATTCAGTTTCTCTATATTCTTATAACCGTCTCCTCGATCTATAAAGGAAATCAGTAAATAAGTCGTTGACATAACCTTAGAGACTAATTTCTTACAGAATATCTTTTTTAAAAGGCCTAATTTATATTCATCAGCACTTACAGCTGTCTGTTGTAAAAAGCCTTTAATTCTTAAGAAAGAGAACATTTCCTTAGTGGGAAGATTATATTCTAAGTTTAACTCCGAAAAGTATTTCAGTGTTCCATTAGTGTAAAGCCATCCTGAGGATACCAGATTCAACCCATTTATCTATAACTAGCTCTGGAATATTTTTAGCTAATACGCCGATGCTAATAGTCTCAATTATTTTATCCTGTACTCCTAACATTTTCTTTAATTGAGCCCAGACCTTAAATAAATGTCCTAAAACAAAGCTTTTTCACCAAGATCTTGCCATCTAGAACTTTGGGTCTCCCAAATGAAGCTCCTAAGATCCCACTGTTGAGTCAGATATAATTCTGTTTGAAAACCAGCTCTTTTCGCATATCTGTGGGGTCAGCATTAGATATATGTGGCCAATCATATTAGCTAAGTAATAGTTTTTTAATACTGGCATACCAAAACCTCCATATTTGACTTGTAATGCCATCCCCTTAATACTAATACAGGGTCTTTTGATAGATCTTTGTAAACACCACACCATAATGTCCCAATCCACCCGTTCAAAAGCTTTTTCTGCATCTAACGCAGTAATAACTGGTTATTTGTGTTTTTTTCTTGGAGAGAATATCAATTCTCCTTCGGATATTATTTATAGAGCTTCAACCGGGGACAAAACCTATTTGATCCTTAGAGATAACCTGAGCAATAACCGGCTTAAATCTGTCTGCCATAATGGACGCACAAATTTTAGCATCGGTATTAACAAGAGAGATCGGTCTGTAATTTTTTTAGAGACGTTGGATCCTTATCCTGCTTGACTATAGGAAGAATATTAGCTTCCAGGAATTCTTCCGGACATTTAGATTGATATAATCATTAAACGCTTGTAACAATTTAGGAGCTATTTTTGCTTTAACAATTTTATAAAAGTGGGCACTGAAATCATCCGGACCAGGGGCTTTTTAATTTTTTAATTTATCAATGGCCTTAATAACCTTGTTTAGATGGATAGTTTTATCAAGTGATGCATCCTGTTCTGGGCTAATTTTAGGTGTTTGAATACCATACAAGAATTGATCGAATTAGGCGTCTTAGAGCAATTGTACAGCGTTTTATAATAGCTATGTGGCCAATCTCTTTAGGAGATCTATAGATCTTATCGTTACGGATTATTTTATCTATCCTATTCTCCCCTGATTGCTTTTTTAATTTGTTGGTAAGCATTTTATCTACCCTATTATTTTTAATGTACCAATGTTGTTTTAATTTTTCTAAATTATTAGAAATTCTGGTCATATTTAATTAATTTAGCCGATCTCTAAAAATGCCTAATGTTTTCCGCACCTTCCTTCGTAGGTCTAATCTTATTTTGTTCCAAATTATATAAAGTAAGATGTAAATCAGCCAAGGTACTACCTCTCATCTTATTTTCATAAATACCCAGTTTGATCAAATGGCCCCTTATTACAGCTTTGTATGCTAACCATCTTATGCCCGGGTTTGCTCATTTGTTTTCTAAAAAATAAAAATCTGTCATCTGATCGATGTGTTTTCTATTCTTATCACTGTTGAGTAGGGCCTCGTGCAATCTCCTCTGTCTTGTACCGCTCTTCTGGTTAGCATCTATTTCCCATATAACTGCATTACGATCTGACCAATTAATAGTCTTTATAAAGATGTTTCTAATACAATTAACTAATTTAATATTCCCAACTAACATATCAATTCTTGCATAGGAACAATGTCTATAAGAAAAATGAGTAAAGTCATACTCTTGGGGATGGAGGAGTCTCCAATCATCATATAAAGTTGCCTTTTTCAAGAAAGTGGAGAGAGCCCTAGCTCTCCGTAGCAGCGCACTAGCAATCTGCCCTTAGCTGTCTGTTCTATTTTCTTAATAATATCCTTCACAAAAGTCACTTGTCCAATATTGGGTAAATATATGTTAACCAAAGTCTAAAGTACATTATCAAGTTTACATATTAATATGATAAATCTGGCTTGAGGATCACATTCCTGATACATTTTCTCATAAGAAATGCCTTTTGCTATCCATACAGCGACCCCTTTTTTTTTCCCCCGATCCATCGACGCCCTAATCAATACCGCCTTTTGCTTACCTTTATAAAATTCTCTATCCGACTTCACCCAATGGGTCTCGTAAAAAGCATACCGGAATTCGCTCTTCTTTAATCAATTCTATAAGAGCTGATCTTTTAAAGGGACTATTGAGACCTTGAGTGTTAATGGTAAGCATTGTAACCATCTTCCAGTAAATACAACTGGCTTAATCCCGATGACTGGCATAGACAATACATTACATACATCAACATATAACCTTAGCCCAAACCCCATACATGGGTACCCTGTATGCACCAAACATAACAGAGACTACAACCCATAGCAACTCTACATAGGAGTCGAAAAAAAGATAGTCATACTATTCAAATAAAACACATCTCCCTAGAATGTTCTAGCATATATGCACACTTATAATAAATCGCTCCTAATTATTAAGTTATGATTGCATATAATCACACATATTAGACCAACAATCTACTGATAAGTTCTTCCCTCTTCTACATCCCCTTACCATCTTCTTTCCCTATCCCTATAACCTTGCCTTATTATGACATAAAAAATGTGGTTCTTGCAAAAAAAAATAATTCCTATTCTGTATATTTATTAGCAAAACTACTTCACCAATCAATTTCTGTGAAGCAATTCTATGATCCGCTTTATTACAGGTGATCTTATATCTTATCTACTTTCTATCTCCCTAACTTCCCCATGATTAATACAGTCTCCTTTGTGCCCCTCCCTCCGTATCCTTACTGTGCATTATTATGGAATATGTTGCTCGGAGAACTTAAGAATTATTAACACTAGTGCAAATCTCACAATTTTCATTATTTATGTTTTATAAATGTTCATCAACATCGTGTATATTATTATACCTGTTCTCTACTTGTGATCCCCATTCATAATTATATTCCCTCTATTATCTAGAGGGAATATAACCTGAAGTTATACCAGTGCAAGTGTTACTTGTTTAAGGGGTGATTAAGTATTGTTTTAAAGGGATACTTTCTATAAGTCTATTGGTTCTAGTCAAATGATTAGTACCACAACTAAAGGAAAAAAATATTTATTTTTCCTTTCCCCTCTTTCTATCTTTTCACACTTAGAAGCCATTTTCTTATTAGCCAGTATATACAATTCTTTTGGAGCCACAAAGATGCCTTTTGGGGGTCACAGAAAATTTAGATGTCATTTCCCTGCGTTACTATTAATTTGATGGGGTATCCCCATTTATACTTTATCTGATTATCGGAATATTAGTCACTGTCCCAAAATATATTCTTCCTTTTCTTGTAAGCCAAGACAAATCTTGGAATATTTTCAAATCTTGATAAGTATAATTTGCTTCGGTCTCCATTTTGGATCTGTGTTTAAGCGTAACCTGTTCTTTGAACCAATGATGATGGAAGCATATGATAACGTCTCTAGAGGCCGTTATTGGTATCCACTTTGATCTGGCCAGGCGATGGAATCTGTCCATTATTTTCTTATTTGGCTCAAAAGCTATGCCAATGTCCCAAAACAAATTAAATATTCCTGTAATTTATCACCTGCGACTTGTTAATTGATCCCTCTAATATCGATATTATTCCACCGACTGCGGTCTTCTAATTAGCATATTTTTTGTTAAAAATCACCACATTTGGTAGATAATCATATTGTGTTTGCATCTTACTGAAGTTCCCGGCGTCTCCAACAACTTTGTGGTGTCCTCCGGCTCAAAGACTCACTAGATCACAGGGTCCCATGAGCTCCTCGCCTCTATCGGCGTCTCCCTTCATGCTACCAGGAGCGTGCATGCCACGTCATCACTCCTCCCACCCCCAGCAGTTTTCATTTTAGTAAATAAACCTGTATATGTTAACTGGCTAAGAATGTTTGTATTCGCATGGTTTGAAACTGGACCTGTTGGAATTACACCATCTGGTTGTTGGCAATTACCATTCTTTAGTATGTATTTTGTGTATCATTTCAGAGCAAAATTAAGAAAATGAAAGAGAAGTACAAAGATCAGGACGAGGAGGATCGAGAGCTTATCATGCAACTACTGGGTGTAAGAATCTGGACTTGATCATGGCAGTGCCCTTTTCTATTCACTAATAGAATTTGTTTCAGTGGCTTTATTGGCCAGTGTATTCAAATGCATTTATTTTTAAAGTCTGCAGGATCGAACAAGGAAGACAAAGTAAAGAAGGGGAAGAAGGGAAAATCCAAGGAAGAGTCAGGGAAAAAGCAGAACGCAAAAGGTGGAGGCAAAGGAAACGCTCCAAGGAAGGATGCTCAAGGTCCGGTGGACATTTTCCTGACACATGATATTCAAGAGATGACAATAGAAGAACAAGACGAGAAGGTGAGAGATACTCTGTGACAATAAATACATTTTAATCTAAGGAGTGTTCTCTCACAGTGAAAATGGATAATGAGCATTATTAACGTGATTTGGTTGGCCTAAACATGTAAATAGAACAATACAAAGAGTTGTAGGAAAGCAGTGGAACATGGAAGAACAAACTAAATACATACATTTGAAGTGATTTCCAATTGTTCTTCAAAATAAATAAATAAGTGGGGACCCTTCTTGACCTGTAGTCACAGATTTATATTGGGGCCAGTAAACTGTTTCCCCGTGTATTAACTCTTGGTGCTGAAAAATAGAAGTAATGGGGAGGGACATTCCATTGGTTTCTATGGTGACCGCTGGTTTGAGAACTTTGATCCATGTTTCTTTTAGCAACGCTTTTTATAAATTTTCCCACTAAAGGGGGGTTGCAATCCAAATACAGAAACGGATATATAGTTTGATCATTTTGTAGGACATTTTATTCACCGGAATACCATTGTGATTTTTGTGTTACTTTGATTTATTGCTTTGAACAGAGCAGGACATTTTTGTGAGCTTTTGAAGCTGTTTGTGTTTTCTATACAGGAGGAGCAAGATCCAGATCCAGATCCCCAGGTGACAGAGGTATTTTTTTTATTCGTTTATTTTTTCCGCTTTTTTGAATTTTCAATGCTTTTTTTTTGGGCCAATACCATGTCATCAGGGGCATGGGGTGGTTTGCAAGCAGTACATTTTAAATATAACACAATAATGGCTTGTATTGACAGATTACATCAGGAAAGAGAGCCTCTGCCCATTGGTCTGTAACTTCCACTAGCTTGTGCCTGGTGATGACTAATGGGGATTGTAATATCCAATTACTACTCATCGTCCTCTCAATTTGTATCTCGGGTATTAGGTAGAGGTTCAGCCATACTATTGTAATGTGATGTAACTCATATTAAAGGGACACTCCAGGCACCCAGACCACTTCTGCCCATTGGAGTGGTCTGGGTGCCAACTCCTACTACCCTTAACCCAGCAACTGTAATTATTGCAGTTTTTTATAAACTGCAATAATTACATTGCAGGGTTAACTCCACCTCTAGTGGCTGTCTACTAGATGTTTAAGTGATAAACCCAAAACCAAATGTAAATTATAAAATGTATTGCTGTAATACTCAATGGTCAGTAGATGGCTCCCAGTTAACACCGCTCACAGCACATATAAAGGGAATACATAGAAACACATAATTGTGCAGATTGTTTCACATAAAAATTGCTTTCAACATCATCACTAATGTAGAGAAAGATTCCCATAAAATTCCCCCAGTTGTAATAGTAAGGAGATCAGGCATCTGTTATACAGTGAAGGAACTCTGATATAGGCAAAGTATAAACAAATGTATTAAAACTGTGTTAGAAAACACTCCATAAACAAACTGTCTCTTACAAGAGAAAGTGGTGAGTAGGGTCGGCATTTGCTGTTACTCACAGCCCAGATTTATGTAATGTTGAGGAGTTAGACACACTGGCTCTGCAAGGCTGTTGTGTCCGGAGTGTAATGGCCTGGCTTCAGTGCAGCCGAGCCTTGCAGAGCCAGTGTCTCCAACTCCTCAACATTACATAAAGCTGGTCACTCATTGGATGTTTGCCTCCTTTTAAATGTAATTGATAATTTATGCATTTTTTTTAAGTCATTTTCTCTTTAAAGTAGATTCTGTCTGCTAAAGCATTTTTTTGCACTGGGGGAAAAACTGAATTTAAGATAACTAATCATCTTCTAGCATGGGCGATAAGGTTTTAAACAACATTTTACAGTTGCTTTATATTCTGTTTAGTCAAATACTTACTCTCAATTCGTACTCTTTCAGGAAGCAGAAAACCTCCTGGATTCCTTGACCGCTCAGCCACATGTAGAAGACATTCTCTTGTTCTCTGTTCCAGTGTGTGCGCCGTACACAGCCATGGCCAATTATAAGTAAGTTAAAACAGCCATTACCCTCTCCACTGCACTAGCTGCAATCTCCAGGAGATTTCTACATACTTATTACCGTTTTACATTTTTAAAGGGAAACATTACTCTAAAAATAAATTGAATATAATCTCCATTCATCAGAGATATTGCCTTGTATAATAGCAATTTTCAGTTAAATGAGCACTATAACATTAGGAGTACAAATAATTATAGTGTCCTGTTTTCCCCCTTGTGAAGGAGAAAGGTGAATCAATTTACCGTTTCCCCCCTCAGTCCCCACACTGCCATCCTACCTCCTTGGCTTAGATCATCAAAACTGATTATGCCAGCCAACCCAATACTTTCCCGAAGAAAAGTATTGGGATGTTAAGTGCATGGCGCAGCAACAGTGCACTGCGCCAATCAGATGGTCTCTATGAAACGATTGAACGTTTTACTTGGCTTAGAGGATGTGCCTCTAGTGGCTGTCGGAGGGTTTAAATGCCTTTAGTGGCTGTTACTCTAATATAAACATTGGTGATCCTGCAGAATGTAATGTTTTACATTTCACAGCTAAACAGACTGGTACATGGCACCCAAAACACTTACAAAAAAATAAATAAACTTGTTTGATATTGTAAAGCTGCTAAATAAGACTACAAGTACATTTTGCTCCCCCTCCCCATCGTTCTACGAATAATGGGTACAAAATCAGATTATGGAGGAGTTCCACTGTTGTATTCAAATGAAATTTGAAGCATAAAACAGCCTAGAAATAAGTTTTGCTGAGCTTGAGAATTTTTGTCATTTGGATTTCAGTGAAATCTTAGTGTGTAAAAAGTTACAAAAATAGCAACGTGTATAAAAATGTTCAGGTTACGATTTATTTCTAACTATTTAAAATTAAAACTTTAGTTTTATCTTCTAACTGGTTCACTTATGTTTCTAGTATTCAGTAACAGATTCCCTATAATTGTGTTGCTTGGCAATTTGAATGAATTTTACTTTTTAACATATTGTTTTTTTTATTTTCAGATATAAAGTTAAATTAACTCCAGGAACGCAAAAGAAAGGGAAAGGTACGTTGAAGTTTTAAAGTAAAGGTAATCTTACAAGTGCACTGTCATATTTAGGATATTAATATATTCTTCATCCTGTAATAAGAGGAACCATGCAGAGAATCACCATGATACCAGTTATATGTTTTTTCTTTCTTACAACTTTTATTACACATGTGTAAGGTCCATGCATCCCATGTTCTAATTTTCCACAGCTGCTAAGACTGCTTTGAATAGTTTCATGCATTCAAAGGAAGCCACAGCCAGGGAAAAGGATTTACTTCGCAGTGTCAAGGTAAGCATTGTGTTATTTCAATGCCTTGATCTCATTGTGACGATGCCTATTGTATTGCTAAACATCCTCTCTCTCCATTCAGGATACAGACCTATCACGGAACATGCCTGGGAAAGTAAAGGTGTCTGCTCCAAACCTGCTGGCTATGAAAAAGAAATGAGCAGTTATGTAAATATGGCCCTTCAGTACATCTTGTAAGCGAAGGACAGTTGCTGCCCTGACAATTTTTATTTTTTTTTAGTTGCATGTGACACATGCTACTTGTTCTTAAGGAAAACTTGCTAAAAAAAAAAAAAAAAAAATTAGCAGTAACCTTTTCATTGCCAAAAGTCTAGCCCTGATTTGAAGAACAATACGACTGCCCCCTGTGGCTTGCTTTTCACAATTGCTTCCAAAAATTACTGCTCAACACCTACAAAACATTCTTGTTTAAATCTAGTTTTTCGGGGGGAAAAAAAACACAAAAACAAAACACCTAGCCATACATTTCACATCTTATGCATTGTTTGTGAACTGGGCATCATATAATGCTCAGCCAGAATGAAGGTTTATCCACCTAATTCAGATATGTCTGTTTGATAGCATGTAAACACATATCCGGGGCAGTCTTGTTATACACCATTTATATGAACCTCCACAACCTTCACAGCTGTGAGGGAAGGACTTGAACTGGGGCACCCAGATTCCTCTATTAATTATGCTGCTAACGCCTTCTACCGTTTGTTTGCAGGAAGCAGTACTTTAGAGAGTAATATTTTTATATAAATTGAGTAAAAAACTTTTTTTGTGTGTGTGTGAAATTGATGTTTGGTTTTTACTTTCTCAAACGGGTTCCAGATTGCTTTCTAGAGTACATCACCAGTCGCTGACAAAATTCAGCTTTCTGATCTATACATTCTGGTTTTGATTTCATGGGGACATCTTGTACAGAGTTGATTAGTTACTTGCGTAACATTTTAAATTGTAGGTCATAATACCAGAATTGGGGGAAAAGTGCAGTTTAGCAATTTAAAATTACTTTGAAGCTACACTTTAGAAACCAACCCTGATAAGGGTGTTAGTAACTGAATTGAGATGCATGTGACACTAGCAAGGGAATAACATACTTTAAGATAAAATAGCCAGACTAGAAGAAATCTTCAATTCAGATTTTTTTTGGCCTAAAAGAGGAGCCCTGCAAGCACCATACCCAAAACAGCACGACTATTACATTCCAAATGTGGCATGCTGTAGCGGTTATATTGCTGTATTCCTAAAAAGATAGTAATTATGGGGAAAATGACAATTATCTTTGGCATTCCACTATTTTACATAATACTATAAAAAAAAGGTACAATGCCAAATGGCCACAGATTTACATTGAAAAATGCACTGAAAGGTTGTTATAAGAGCTGAGCATATCAATCAACGTATCCACAAATGGCAGTGGAAGAGAACAAAGTTTATATTTTGTAACAGATGCCATCTGTGTAAAATGCACTGCAGGTTTCCAACAAGCCTTAAAGGGACACTATAGTCACCTGAACAACTTTAGCTTAATGAAGCAGTTTTGGTGTATAGAACATGCCCCTGCAGCCTCACTGCTCAATCCTCTGCCATTTAGGAGTTAAATCCCTTTGTTTATGAACCCTAGTCACACCTCCCTGCATGTGACTTGCACAGCCTTCCATAAACACTTCCTGTACAGAGAGCCCTATTTAGGCTTTCTTTATTGCAAGTTCTGTTTAATTAAGATTTTCTTATCCCCTGCTATGTTAATAGCTTGCTAGACCCTGCAAGAGCCTCCTGTATGTGATTAAAGTTCAATTTAGAGATTGAGATACAATTATTTAAGGTAAATTACATCTGTTTGAAAGTGAAACCAGTTTTTGTTTTTCATGCAGGCTCTGTCAATCATAGCCAGGGGAGGTGTGGCTAGGGCTGCATAAACAGAAACAAAGTGATTTAACTCCTAAATGACAGTGAATTGAGCAGTGAAATTGCAGGGGAATGATCTATACACTAAAACTGCTTTATTTAGCTAAAGTAATTTAGGTGACTATAGTGTTCCTTTAAACATGGCCTAGGTAAGCTCAGTATATTTAGACTACCTTATAGCACAAACGACTGTACTAGTGTAATGTTTACATTTTAATGAATAACATAGTTCAAGCCAAGCGGGACAGGAGACTTCAGTTATGTCTTAGAACACATTTATTGTACATAATATTTACCCTAAAATAAGGTCTCAGTTTGTCAACTACAAGCAATATTTACACTAACACAAACAAACCCTATATACACAGTCTATTCAGGTCAGGAACATCAAGAGCCTGAGGTTTTGTTACTGTTTGCAAACCTCTGATGGATGTTAAGAAGGAGGTGTTTGGGAAGATGATCAAGAGAGTTGGCCAACATATCCCTGAATGATATGACTGCCTCCAGACAGAGCCTGTGGGAGGGAAAACATATTCTAATGTCATTAAATTGTAAACCGCAGGAACATGTTCAAAGCACTGAAACTGTAGACAATGCCTTCACCTTGAACACCAATTCCATTATAAGCAAACAGTTCCATAATGTGATTTTATTTAACATTTTTACAATGCACACAGATTCTCTGTCTTCTATGCTAAGTAATTATGATAATTTGAATGCTTGTAATGAGTGGCAGACAGTATCTTGCTAATGTAACAAACAAAGGATCACAAATTAGAACTGCACCATTGTTTGAACATTGATTTAATGGGTGTAAGCATATGTTTGCCACACCTTTTTGCATTACGAGTGAGATGCAATGTCTCTCAGGTCTACTGTAGCATAAGCAATGCTTCTAACTGTGGGTTTCTAATTCAATCATGTCATATATGAGAACGCAAAACATTTTTACCTGACTAGGGATTTGGGTTGAATCGGAAATATTAAAACTTCATTGCTGTGAGCCTGGGGGGAAAAAGAGCAGGTTATCAGTGCAGAAAATGTCACATTGCATGAACAATACATTATTATAATAAAATAAAAATAAAAACCCTTAAAGTCCTACACTAATAGCCAGGCCTTAAAATGTACTTTCAACTGCAATCCTGGAGGGTCCTTAACACATTCAGGCTTGTGGAAATGTATGATAAGAAGATCAATGTGTGCCTAGGTCACATAGCACAAATAAAATGGGCTTTATTTTCCTTAGCTGCACCGTTCATACCAGTAAATAATTCAGTAGAGGTTTACTTTACTTACTCAGCAGCAAGTGTTATATCAAATTGCCAAGTTGAAACATTTTCCAGGGTATCTAGTTCCTGCACGGGTAATTTAGATTGAGTTTCAATTTGCCACGAGTTTCTAATAAGTGAATAAACTAGAATAGTGTTTACAGGCACAGGTAACTATTCCTTTTTATAAAATGTACACTGAGCACCATAACCACTATATTTCTACATTACTGACCTAGGTGGTCATGCTATCCTTGTTTGATAGATTTGCATTGCAACTGCTGAACTGTAGTTTCTGCATTATAAGTGCAGCTCGTTTGACTATGGGTGCTGTAGAATACCCCAATTTTATCAAAGCCCCCCCCCCCCCTCCAAATAGTTTAAGAACCGATGAATAACCACACTGAGCTACTGTAGTTCCCCCTTAAATAAAACCGTTTGACACAGTGTAGCATTAAGACTACCATTAATCAACAATATGTTACATAGAACAACACGGTCTGGCTCTATAGCTGTTGGAAGTGTCACTGTCATTTCAAAATATTTGTCCACAATTACCTTTACAATGATACTTTATTTTCATCTGAGCAAGTTTAATTTAGTTGGAATTACCAGATGATCTGCTGATGTTTCAGTGTGGAGGCATCCATATTGGAATAACCCCCCCCCCCTTTTTATTTATTTTAAAGGGCACTCTGCACACCACAACCACCTAATGTCAACAAAATGATTATAGTACCTAGAGTCCACCTGCACCTTCTTATAACAGTTATTTCTAAAACTGTTTTAGCAAAGTCCCCCAGGTGGCGATCCTGCTTCCTCACCTTAGGCTGCTAGGTTGAGTGTGTCAGTTAATCATTGACCGCCCATGCTGAGTAACGCTTCAGAAATATACTTACATTAGTGAAGCATTATTATGGGCCGCCAGTGAGAGAGTTTCAGGTGACACTTTCAGTCTAGTACTGTTGCTCAAGCAAATATTTCTGGACTAAGGAAGTTGGACTGGTGCCAGTTGACTCCACTATTCGAAAATGGTTTAACACTTAAAAGGTAAGAAGGTGCTAGTGGACTCCAGGCACCATAACTACTTCACTGACACAAAGTGGATTTGGTGAGCAGTCTTCCATTAAAGCGTTTGATAGGTTTTTAAATATGAATCATATTTATTATGATTTTCTCCATTCAAAGCCAGTTTTGCAGCATACCTCCACCCCCTCAGTCACACTTTTTTTAAAAATAAAATATTATTTCAAGTACTCAGCTTACACAATGAGAGGTCAAATTGAGCCGAGCTGCTGGAAGCACTTCAGACAACCAGTTACTGTTCTCTTATTAAAATCTAAAACCAAACCCAATTTGGAGTAAGTTTCATTCTTGTAAGCAGTCCACCCTTTAACCCCTTAAGGACACATGACATGTCATGATTCCCTTTTTATTCCAGAAGTTTGGTCCTTAAGGGTTTAAACTAGTGGTAACTTTTTTTGTCACTTAGTTTGTATTTTTATTTGATTTACTGTTTTCTTATGTCTCACTTTCCCCTTACTGTGGCTTTAACATACTATACCGAAAGTAAGAAGACAATGAGTATCAGGTGAGCCACACTTATGTCAGCAGCTCACATCACACTGATCTCTCATTGGCTGAGATAACATCCTTTTATCTTCCACTACGGATAAAGTTTGGTAGAGAGAAAAAAAAGAAGATGGGAGTTATGCTGCAAGTCACTTCTTCTTTATATTGTTTTAGCACAAGTAAAGCAAAATGAACAATAGATAGAAGGCTAAAACCATTCAAATGCTTAGGTCTTCAAGAGTTCAAGATCTATACAACAACTTGACCACAAATAATTATGAGAGCATGGTATGACTTGCTGGAAAGTTATTTACCCCATAATAAAAGGTAAAGATATATCAACCCATAAAGACAGGGAATTATGGCGGGAAAGATAACTCATTGCCTCTCACTACAGGAACTTAATTTCAAAAGTTGTAAACAAATAGCATTTATACCCAGAGACATTACATAAATTTAAAGCTAAAGATAATCCACTATGCTGGAAATGTAATAAACACCATGGTAATTTGAAACACATGGTGGTCTTGTGAGAAAATCGAAATAACTTGGCAGAAAATATTCTCCTTAATTTCAGAACTGACGGGCATTATAATCCCAATGTCATCAGAAACTGCTCTATTTCATTTTTGATGAGATAATCTAAGTTTTTCTAATAAAGCCTTGACAATACAGATATTATTAGCTATGAAAATCATTATAGCAAGGCAATGGAAAAACCAACGTGAAATAGAATGGTTAAGGATTAAGAATCAGATTTCTCATCAATGCTTACTTCGCAAGACAGAAAATGTTCTTACACAAGGAAATATGGGAAGCATGGTTGGCTAAACAAATCTAAGGGAAGTCAAAAGGAAAGAACAAATTGGCTCACAAGTGAATAATCCTCACAATGCCCTGAAGGAATCTCATTTTCTGAGGGAAGTCTCCATGCCAAGATAATTGTTTATTTTACATGTTTGTCTGTCAGCCCTTGCTGATTTAATTAATAAGGAGAAAGAAAAAGGGAAATAAGCTTCAGCAAGACTCATGTCTTTTTTTGTACATTTATGTATAAGAGTATGTTATATTTAATTTGTATGTGCAGAATGAAAAAAAAAAAAAACAAACAAAAAAAATAAACATTCAAATGCACTTAGTTGTGTTAGTGCCCAGAGATCATGAGCGCCACAAACCACCACAATAGCAGAGAAAACTGATCAGAGGGTTTAAATGAATTTGGTGCAAATTAAAATTTATTTAGAACAAAAATGTTACCGCTTTTTCATGAGCAAGAAGATTGTTCGCACACCCTCCAAAGACAAAGATTTCACCTTCTTTACTGGCACAGGCTGTATGCCACAACCTGCAAAACAAACACAAAAGGATAACATCCCTCATTTCTGCAGGGTCACAATGTTCAAGTTAAGGGTCACTAAGTATCGAAGCAGCCCTGTGGAGTCTATACCGGTTAACAGTTAAATCACTGTTTGTGCAGCCTTAATCAAAACATTTTTACAGTACACAAACGGGTGTGCCATTGACTATCAGGCAACAAACCGAGCAGGAGAGAAATTTTAAATTGCACACTAAGATAAGGGAAGCTCGAAAATGTAGGCTCTTCTTCATCAAGTGTGTATGGAAGGAGTTACTAGGGCAGCATAAACCAAGTGATTTAAAAAAAGAACACTATAGTGTCAGGTGCTGGAATGCAGCATAAGGTCCATGGCCACCTTTCTCGCGATATTAAGGGTGATTTTACTCACTTTTTCTCCCACGCCACGCTGGTCTCGGCATGTGGAGACGCTGAACATAGGTGCTCCACACTGTGCAGCACTGATACAGTAAGCACCTCTAGTGGCCATCTGAGTGACTGCCACTAGAAGTGCTACTAGGCAGCAATGTAAACATTGCCTCATCTCTGAAAAGGCAGGGTTTATAGTAAAATTCCTGCAAGAACAGGCTATAGACCTGTAGTTCTGGTGATTATAGTGTCTTTAATATCCAAGTTAGAGTTTTTTTTTTTTCCACGTTAGCAGTTTTTGCTTATCGTTTGCAATTCTGTGTTTAATTCATAAACAACCATCAGAGCCACTGATATGTGAAATTTCTCTTGTACAATGTGTACGCTTTCGTACGTCTATAGGCTGGCAGATGCTTCATGGAAATTGTGGGGCCAAGGATAACTATTGCTGTTAATAGACAGATTGCTCGATCTTTGCATTTTCTGTATGCTAGTTACACTTCCCAGCAAAACTCACCTTGGTTTCTCAGAGTGATTGTTCTTGAATGGGATCCACTCATTTGTAGAGAGGTTGTAAATCCACGCATCACCTGCAATCAGATCAGACAGGTTTCGGGAGGCAAGAATATTTACATTTCAATTGAAACATTAGTGTACAGGACATGCAATATAGTGCTACAGATTGTTCTAAAAAGCAGATTAAAAGATAAAGAACTATTTAAGGCCAATAAGAAATAAGCTCTATGTTGTTAACACACCAATTGTGACAAACAGGATATTGGACTTTATACACAGGTGAGTAGCCATTCTTCTTGCATATATCTTATAGAGCAAGGCTCAAAATTTCCACTCACCCCTAGTGAGTGAAAATGTAACCCTGACAAATAAAAATTTACCCCTAGTGAATGTGAAATAGACCTGGCGGGCTTCAGTGGCCAGGAATTTTAATCAATTTGGAGTTCAATGCCCCTTCCTTTAAGGGACACTACACTACAAAGCTATGTTATTTCTGTCTCTAGCTAGTTGCAGGCCCCCCGTGAGTGTACTGAAATACAAAATTCAATTATTTTTACTCACCTTTAATCTAAAGCAGAGTCTCCCTCAGTGCTACCACCCGCTCCTCCTCGCATGCCTCCAGGATGACAGTCCAATCCGATGCACCTCACAGAGGAGCAGTTTGGACAGTAGGCATATGCGCAGAGCTCATCATAATCAGCCAATCATTCTCTTTTTAGAGAATCATTGAATGCATCTATTCTCTGACAAGTCATGATGGCACTGCGCATGCATGCCTGATGTCATGGAATGCCTGGGTATGAGATCCTGAAAGTAACAATCCCGGGTCTCCTATCCAGAGGGTTAGAAAGCGTGGGTTGAAGCCACGTTTCCAAGCCTTCTAACTGTTAAAAGAAAGCATTTTGGAGACAAAGACAAGGGTGGATTCTATAGTAGGCACTAGAACACCCTAATAATTAGATGGAGTTGTGATATTGAGTGCAGTGTTTCTTTAACAAATAAAGATAACAGTAAAAGTTGGTGTAGAAGACGGGATTTAAGGTACGTCTATAGGAAAAGTTTGGTTGGAGTTATGTTTGAAATTCCCCTAGTCTGTATCAGAGGATTTGTTAATTTACAAACTTGTACATGGGAAACCTTGTTAGTCAATTAAATACGTACATGAGGGTTTTTAGAACTCGACAAGATGAACTTCCTTTCAAGGATATATATCTTGAAAAGGTCAAAATTTATCTCTCTCTTTATTTACTGAAAAGAGAGCCCCGACAAACAAGTTAATCAAAACGTGCATATATTTTACGTGAAATGATTTTAGGTGTAGAAGGGAAATTGGCCTAAGTCATTTTACAATAACAGCTCACTTCATTTACTCACAGCTGACAATACGCTATTAAGAAATCAATAAAAATGGTTAAGTCTATAACACTTTGAAGAGGAACACAAAGGGGTGTCAATTTGACAAGTACCGATCTATCATTTCCTGAGAAACCACTAACACATTTGACATTGTCAAGGCTACTAACATAGTGGAAGACCTAAAGGAGGGAGCAGCTGAATAAAATCAATATATTCCATATAAAATTCTATGTCTGTCATAAAATAATCACTTACTCAGTGGTTGTTTCTCGGTGGTGAACCCCCCAAACAGAAAGAGGCTGTGTGATGAAGCCTGTGTTAAAGAATGCCAAGACCGCCCCACTGGATTCGCACCTTGCGCTATCCTACATCAAGAAATGAGATTATAATACACATCTGTTCGGTTAGCTGATGGCCTAAACAACCCTGAGTGATCTGACTTGGCAGAATAAAGTGTGACAAGATAATCATGAGCTACTTAAAAATGGCTCGGTCAACTTTAAAGGATCCTTTGCATATTTTGCAGCAGAGATAAATGAAATCTACCTGAAACTATTTCCCACGGGTACTACCGTGTGCGTTATTCAGACCACGTCAGTGTTGTATACACAAGAGTACAACACTAATACCTATAGAGGATCCTTTGAGAGCCTCCATAGATGTCTCGTGATGAACGAGACAATGCCTGATTCTCACATCTGTTGCCAGCGATGGCTTTGGGAACTGATAGGACAAGCTCTTCCTTTTGTCAAGTAAGGGTTTAACCATAAGACAAAGTGGTCCCTACTTTATTTTATAATATATATTTTTTTGAAACTCCAATGCACTCTTTATCAGCATTTTGCAAAGATGTTGTCTTTAGGAAATACTCAAAAATATTATTTTAAGGTGACTGAGACACTTTAACAGATGTGTTATATATATATATTACCCTGCAATCTCACTGCTCAATTCTCTCCCATAGCTACATCTCTCAAAACAGATTCTTCCTTAAAAAGAGATTAATTTTGACTCTTCCTTGTTGCACAGTGTGTTTAATTTACTTATCTCCTTCTCTATTAACCACCTGCTAAGGTCTGCAGCAGCCTCCTATGTGTTTTTAAAGAGATTAACTTCTAAATAAACACATTGTGCTCTAAGATTGGTTTGAAACAAACTTTTTTTTTCCCAGGAAGCTGGAGGAGTCACAGCAGGGGATGTGTGGCTAGGGCTGCATAAACAGAAAAACGTGATTTATAGAGAATTAAGCACTGACACTGCTGGGGAATTATCTATACAAAACTGCTTTATTAAGCTAAAATAGTTTTGGTGCCTAGGGTATCCCTTTAGGGAAACATGGAATGTTCTGCTTAATGAGGACTGTCAGGTCTGTCCGGCTCTGCTGTTTTTTAGTGGGTAATTTCATATTGCAATAAAAACCATAAATCCAAGTTGTTAAAATGCCAAAGAATGTAAAGGGTCCTTATGGAGCGAATAGAATAATTTAATTATTTCAAAATTGGTATTTCAAAATGACAAGTTGGTAAGTCCTGAAATAACAGCAATACTTCTCTCCACCAACCAATTGGGAAGAACTAAAAACACTTACACTTCATGCCATTCCCACGTATCAAAATTCAAATAATACAGGTCATTAATTCGGGAGTCCTGAAAGGTATAACAGAAAGACTGTTGGTGCTGGTTTCATGAAAAACGCAAACAGAAGAACCATAAGAGAAACCTATAAAAGTGTACTAACCCTGTACCTGCCACCAAACACATAACCTCTGTTTCCAATGGTGGCGCAGGCATGTGCAGCTCGTGGAGAGGGGCTTTTACCCTGGTGAGGATACAACACGTTTGTCAACAGTCTGAGAACGTCACCAATATTAAGAATAAACAATGCTAAGTTACAGATAGAAGTAAATATAGCTGTAGTTCCAGCAGACATAATTATAGTTTATATTAGCCATCACCTGGATGGATTCCAAAACTCACAAATACAACAGTTTAAAATAAATAAACAACACATGGCGGTCCACCAAGTGCTGCAATAGCGACACAAACACCCCCCCAATAGATAGCTCTCAATGCCTCCATCCCCCCCGCCCCCCATAGCCTCATGGGTAAGAGGCCACACAACACACGGGAGACACATTAACGCCACGGACACATAGTCTCATGTTTCTTAGCCTACACAAAGGAAAAGGTGGACACTTCGACTACCCACCACCAGGATCCTGGGCACCACTCATCTACCGATAGTTATCATTTAAACAAAAAATAGGTGAACACACTAGACATCATTGTTTGCAAATACTGCACATGCTTATATACTGTGATACAATGAAACTGTATTGCCATATATCACCTGCCAAAATAAAGAATTAAAATAAATAAAACAAACAAACAAAAAGTATTTACATAATTGGCATGGCATGCCTGAGGTTTAAAACTAATTATGGCTATGGTGAGAGGATAAAGTCAAGTTTCAACTCAATGGGGAAAGTTGGCTCAATGGCCCAGGTATATAGAGACATAGCAAAAGAATGGAATGCAGTATTGGTCCAAACATAGTTCCCATTAGGAGTCCCTTACAGCCACATCGACATGTCCCCTGCAAAAGTACAAAAGTAAATGGTCCTTTCTTACGGTGGTTATAGCTCGGCTCCAGGTGAAGTTCTCAAGGCTGAGTATGTGTACATGGTTGTTCCACCCTCTGGGGAGGCTGGCATTCTGCAAAAATACATGATGACATTTTGACTTCTGTCAGTATTTACTTTCCCAAAATTCTAGTGTGCCATGCTTATGCTATACTCACTATTGCCCAGCCCGGCAGGTCTGTCACTCTCAACCATCCCCTTCCAATCAGTTCTGTAATGCACACCATCTCACTGCCCACCATTTCAGTCAGTCCCACCTCTCTTTCCGGCCCATCTTTTCAGTCAGTCCCACCACTCACACTCGCTTCTTCCCTGCCATTTTCGGTAATGCTCTTCTCCCACCTCCCTGTCTGTTTATCACGCTCTCCTCTTCACATTGTTTCTGCCATGCTCTTTCTCTTGCTTGGCTGTTCTCTCGCGCTCACTTCTCTCAGACACACACATAAACAAAAAGATTTACTGGACTGTATCAATCTAATTTATATGCTCCAGATCAGTGGTCCCCAAACCAGTCCTCATGGCCCACCAACAATCCAGGATTTATGCATTTCCCTATTTTATTCCAATGGGGATACTAACAAAACCTGGACTGTTGGTGGGTCTTGAGGACTGGTTTGGGAAACATTGCTCTAGATCAGGGGTTTCCAACCCAGTCCTCAAGTATCCTCTAACAGTGCAGCATTTAGGGATTACCCTGTTGTGTCTAAAGTGTGTTTTTTTCCTTTTCTTTCTTTCAAAAACACCTTCGACACAACTGGGTAATCCTTAAATCCTGAACTGTTAGAGGGTACTTGAGGACTGGGTTGGGAACCACTGCTCTAGATTATTTTAGGAATGGCTTGATTATCGGGCTACTGAAGATTTGCTGTGAAATAGATTAACTTAGCCAACTACACATTTCACTGCACTCTATAAAGGCAAACCATAGAACATTCAGACACAGACACCGAACAGATCCCTGAAACCATTAAAAGGATTTTCACTTACGGCAAAGGAGGTTTCATCAAATTCAAATGTCCCAACTGAGTCCTCCTGATAATATCCATATCCACCAAAATAGAACAGCCTAGAACACAAACACGGGGACAAGGTCAGACACTATTGCTCAAGCTTCACAAAATATGTTGGTAAATGAAAGCATAGAGGATCTGACTCTTAGTTCCACCCATTTCCTCACCATTAAACATCTCACCTTTCCAGTTTGTAAGACTTGGCAGTGAACTATAGGAACATTTCCAACAATGTAAATTACATTCACAAAATAAATATTGCAATCAAAGCACAACAAACCGCTCATAAATATAAAATTGGTGATCTTTATAAAGAAACCCTTAAGAAAATCTCCAAGCATAAATGATGGGGTTTCCAGTTAACCTGTCTACTTTAAAAAAAAATAAAAAAAAATAATAACAATAATGAAAGGAAACATGCTGCTAATATATATTTTATTGTATTTTCTAAAGTACCGCACTATCATGTGTACTTGAAAACACGGTTATAATAATGTAATTTCTTCTTCTACAAAATTTTTTTCAAATGCAGGCAGATGCCTCCAGCAGAAAGAGACAGTTATCCCACAGTGGGTTCTGATGGGATAAGTAGTTTGTTACCAAAAGTAGTTCTAGTAAGTGGGACCAACTGCTCTGCCATAGCATGGCTGCTATCGGTTACAAACCACCCAGTTCACTGGTTACTTAATCAGACTATGGGCAGCTCTCAACAGAAATGTAGTCAATGTATGCAATATTGGACCAGCTCGCTTTCCTGTGAGTGGAGAGAACTCAGCCTAAGTTGTTAATGTAACAGAGATGACACACAGAAAACATGGACAAAATTGGCACAGGCAACCTTGAATTGTCATTCGCTGCTGACCTGATAACTCTATGGGGCAGGCTTATAGCTGAAGCAATTTTTACATATTTAAGCAATTCTAAGCCACTCTTATAGGTTAGAGTAGACTGAGATACTCTATGCATTATCAACCTTGCAATCATACAAAAGTTGTGATGGTTCTTTCAGTGATCCTTTAACCTAAACGAATGCACTTTATATTAAAATGCAAGCTGTTTTGGTGCATATAAAGTTCCTGATGACCAAAATTTAGTACCATCTTTCGCTGCATTTTCTATTAAAAGGAACACTAATGCGTTAGGAATACAAACCTCTATTCCTAATGCTACAGTATCCCTGTCCGTAGTAATACAGGTCCCCCCCATGTGTCCATTAAAAATAATAAAATATGGTTTAACTCACCTTATTCCAGCACCGATGCTCCCTCTGCACTGCGTACCTATCCTCCTCCTGCAACTTCCAATGTTATGTCCAATATGATGCTTTTCTATAGGTACTTCCATGACACATGATGGATGAGCCTTAAGTGGCTGTCAGTGTAACAGCCACTGGAGGTGTGTTTAACTCTTCAAGGTAAACACTGCCATTTCTGCAAAACAGCAATGTTTTACCTTGAATGGTTAAATTGACACTGCATTTCAATGCAGACTGCTGAGGGCAACTAAAATTCCAAGCAATTACTATATGCAGTAGTGCCAGGTAAGCCTCAGCTGGAGACAGGCATGCATGCCATAGCAAAGCATTACACCCTAAAGCACAGATGCATGATTATGGTATTTCAACAGGTGCATGTGAATGTTTATAAGGTCGTTAGTAGACTTGTGCACAAATTCTTTTCACCTGAGCCGAAAAAATCTAATTAGTGTCAATCTACAACCGAACAACTTGTCCAATCCAGGACTTACGTGATGGATCGATTTGTTCGGGCATAGAGTTAACAGGAATTTGATTTGTTGTGCTCAGGTAAGATGGATTTGAGCACACAACTAGTCGCTAGTTAGCATGATCAGTGTTATTCCCATACATCTGCTCTGCTTAATAAGAATTAAAAGTTATCAGATCAAATGCGGTTGATTGCTGAATCTTATGGAGTTATGCCAGAGTTATTCAGTAAAGTATGATTTTTTTTTTCAATTAAGGGACACTGTAGGCACCCAGACCACTTCATCTAATTGAAGTAGTCTGGGTGCTGTGACCCTTTTGCACTTGGTGCTGCAATGTAAAACATTGTAGTTCCAAAGAACTGCAATGTTTACATTGCAGCTCTAAGTCTGCCCTCATAGCAACTAGAGAGCTTCCGGAATCCAAACAGACTTTTGGTCCATTATCTGACGCTGGATAGATTGTCCTATGCTTTTCATTGCTGCACATGCGCATTAGGTCTCCCCCGCCGGCTGACGTTGGCAGGGGAGGAGCACGGGCGGAGCCTGACCCAGAGCCGAGGGACATCAGCGCTGGATTCAGGTAAGTGACTGAAGGGGTTTTAACCCCTTTAGCTCTGCGGGAGGGGGCGACCTAATAACCCTTTAGTGCCAGGAAAACGGCTTTGTTTTCCTGGCACTATAGGATCCCTTTAAATGTGAATTTTACATTTTTGACCAAAATAGACAGACTTAAGCGAGTAGAACAATTAGTGCAATTAAGTTATTTTGGACTAAGAATTTAAAGTTAATTGTCCATTTCTGCCAATTAACACATTAGAAAATAGCTTCTATGAACATACAGACACAGTGAAGCACATCCAATCTTCCTAATCTGTATCACTCACTTGTTTTTGTAAACCCAGACGCCAAGCTTGTCCTTTGGGGATGGGGGAGTTCCTTTGCATTCAACTTTTTCCCACAAGAGATCTCCATCTCTGGGACTCAGATTCAACATGTAGAACTGGAACAGGAACAAATATTAAATTAATGCATGCACAAAAATATATAAAACATCTAATTACAATCGTATCATAAACATTAAAGGAATACACTAGCTTTAGGAATGCAAACATGTTTCTAAAGCTTGAGTGTTATACCTAGACTATTAGGGCTCTGCTTAATTAAGCAAATTAAAGAGTTAAAACCTACATTCTTTTGCCCAGCACTAGTCTTGCAACAGTCACCACGCCTCCATTGGCTGAGATCATTAATACTGCTCAGCCAATCCAATACTTCCCTATATGAAAGCACTGAGAGGTTAGTGCGAATGCCAGTTGCCATAGTGCCCCAATCAGCATCTCTTCATAGGTGCCAAAGCTCAGTCCTGTAATATTTGCAGGACTGCATCCAGGAAATCTCTCTAGTGGCTGTCCAAGTGACAGCCCCTAAAGGTGGAATTAGGCACGGCCTTCTTTCAGTAAGCATATGTGCTTACGAAGAATAATTGGAAATTTAGTTCAGCTACATCTGTGGTGGCATTGTACAAACACTATTAGGAGATGCTCACTGGGGGTGAGGGATACACTACATTTTATTGGCCTCTATCTACAATACTCTTGCGATATTTCCCACATATCTAATAAAAACATAACATAACTAGCATTGCTGCCAAGTTATGATGTAAAGTGAACTTGTCCTAACAGGTTCACTGTAACAGAACTTCCACATAGACCATGAATATATAATTTATCAGTATATCTTGATATATTTAATTAAACATGTTGAGAAATAAACACCTGAATGTCTTCACCTTTGTGGGTGTTACACGATTGTAATATCCACCTCGAGTCTGCCTGTGCAGAAATGTGACTTGCCTTGCTTGGGGACACTTCCTCAAACACGGCAAAGTTCCTCTTTGATGGCTTCACTGCCCATATTCCAGCGTCTAAACGGAGTGACATCAGTGTAAGTCCTATACTCCCTGGCCAGCGCTAACAGTGTCAGTTAGGGAGAAACCTTGGCAAACAGAGCACATGTGCTGTGGTTGCTTTGATTGTAGAGCAGGAGGACAACCTGTAGGAAGTCTTTCCAGCTCTCCCAATCAGTCAATTCTGTGGCATAAAGGGTATATGCTGAAGAATTGATTGACAAGCTGGGGAGAGACCTATTTTTAAATAGGTTTTTCTCTCAATCTATACATTTGCAAGTAATTTTGTAATTCAATGTTATTTGTCAGTCTTCCACAATTCATGGTTTAGTGAGTAAACTTATTACATTTATATTATTAATTCTTTTTTAAAAATTCTTTATTTTGTGTTTTCAAAAAGTACATACAAAGAAATAGAACACTGCAAAATAAGGTAGAAGCATCACTAGTAGGTAGAATAAAGGCATGGTAAGAATCAAATAACACAATTTTGCATAGGACAAGGTCATTAAGTCATCGGTATTCCTTAATATAGGAACAGAGCACCGTCCATTAGCCAAGAGGCACTTTTAGGGGCATGAAGCCTGGCCTTGATCACATACTTTGTATTGTGAGAATAATTGGTGGGTATACGTTGCATGGAGGCTAGACATCAAGGAGTACGAAAACATCGAAAAGCAATTTATAGGCTTGTTTATTGATTTATATTTATCTTCTACCTTGTATGTTCTGCATTGCAGTCTAACAAATCACATAACAAATAGATAAAAGACTACTGAGAATGGGCAGAAATGTATTAATAGCGTACCTCTCAGTTAGTAACCAAGTATTTCAAAAACATGTTTGGTCTCATGGGCCATTACAGAGAGAACCTTAGCCTGCTGCATACCAAAATGATCTCACCCAAAAGCAGTGAAATGTGAAATGCTGGCATGAATTGTCGATTCTCCGCAATTCCCAGTTTAGTGAGTAAACTCATCAGATTCACATTTTTTACTTTGTTTTACTTATTGTTTTTCAACTTTATCATATCTAAGCCCTTATATGTTTGTCATGACGTTTTAGGTGTTAAACGTACCTGGTTAGTGTTACCATGGGCATGATGCCCACCAAACAAATACAAGACCTTATCTACACACACGGCACAGCTTCCGGACATAGACGGGGGGACATTACCGCCGGTTTTAACCTTCTGCCTGGAATATCAAATAAAATACATCAAAATTTAAAATAAAAAAATTTCATTAAAAAATATATTATTTTGAAGGAAAATGCACTTGTAATTGTATATGAAGTGTTTTGAATTAAATTGATCATTTCGTTACATCTGAAATCAGATGTTAAAGTATTAATTATCTTAACACTTTGTATACAAATATTAAATACATCTCAGGTTTGGAATATAAACTGCAGGCACTCACCAAATCCCATTGTCCATGGCATATACCCAAATTTCATCTCTCGGCAGGTAAAAGTCATAGAATTCTGTGGCTGGAGCATTCTGCAAAGTTATATTATTAGTAGAACAGCTCTTAGACATGGGTCTTGATTTAATGTGTTTCAAATATTTAGACTTAAAAAAAAAAAAAATAATTGTAAATATCCATGATATATTATTTGAAATTGTATTTATATATTTTAAAAAAACCAAACAAACAAAAAAAAAAAAACCACAACAATAATTTAAATAGGATTTTAAAAGCCCTATGCTTAAATTCCCACTACTCCTGGGCGGCAGCAATGACTATAGTACACATCAGCAGCAATACATACAAAAAATATACTTGCACACTATCCCAAATCCCTACGCACATTTAAATAACTAGAGGTTTTTTAGTATCACTCCAATGGCCATTAAAGTGTAAGCTCACCTGCCACGTCAAGGCAAACCTCTTAGGTGAGTTCTACACTAGCAATTCACCGTGATGTCTTCAGCTTAAAGATAAAATCTTTCTCATCCCTACACACTTATTAACCCTTAATAGGGTACACAAAGGGGCGGACGGCAGTACTGTAACATGGCTGTGTAATACAAACGTACAATATTAAACCCTGCGCTTAAACTCCCATTACTGGGAGGCAGCAACATTACTTAATTTTGTATTTGCTTTAGTACTACACAGCCATGTTACAATTTTTCAGAGAAAAGGCAGGGGTTACATTGCTGCCTAGGAACACCTCTAGTGGCAGTCACTCAGACGACCACTAGAAGTGCTTACATTCAGAGTCTCCATGATGAACGCTCCCCATAGAGATGCATTCATTCAATGCATCTGTATGAGGAGATGATAATTGCAGCAGAGCAGCATTTTTCTGCACATGTGCAATAGCCCCCAAATGCTTTCCTATGGTCCAAATAGTTGTGGTGGAAATCCTGAAGTTGAAGATTATTTTTCCATAGACTATAATCTACGAAGCTACCTCCCTTGTCACCTCCAACTTTTGTGTACTTCTCTCATCCATTGCCCCTTGTTCACTATCCAGGAGACGTTGTCAGGGAGCCGGAGTGTCCAGGTGCTGGCGGCGGGAGTAGCCTATGTTCACCCTGGAACTCCGATTCAGCCAGGCTCAGCCCATTTTCCTGGTCCTTTTGTACCTCAACTTACATCACCTTCCCAACTACCCAGGACAGTGCTTTTTGGAGAAGCAACTACCCCTTAAAACCTAACAATCGCTCCCTGCAACCACCTGGTAGCTCCCCATCCATGCCAGGATATAGCCCCCAGTAATTCACCAAGGTATGGCTCTGACCGCATTGAACTCTTCTCAGTCAACCTTGTTACAACAGTTGCTAAAACTTTGAGCCAATGGCATTTGGGCAATACAACATGGATCCGGTGCTATTTTCACAGAATGGGCACTCGGATCATACTGGTCGGTGATGTTTTATATGTGGAGATATGTTAATGTTTAATGTGTGTTCTGGGGGTATTTTTGTATTACACTCTGTATCCGGGAGATAATAAATTTACCGAGGGCCAACTCACTTATCTCCCAGACAAAGAAACACCTGGGCGGGCTTAGAATGTTCTAAATAGAGACTCTGTGCTGAGCGTCTGGGTATAAACGTGCGCACTTTTTCCTAATAAAACCAGTTGTCTCGACTAATGTTTGAGCATATGGGAGAAATAAGTCACTATTCCCTTGCGGGATCTTTGAGACTATGGTGGAGGTACCATGCTGGGTACAGGCGCTCTGTTACAATGCAACGTTCATGCTGAATTCCCAACAATTCACTAATTATACTTTACTGAACTTATCCCCAGTGGTTGTCACCATCTTCTTTAATTGACTCCAGGTGGTTCATAGATAGAAGTCACGTTATTGCAGAACACCACTGGGATCTATGATCCACGGTACAATATGTGCGAAGATGCCTTTTTTGACAAAACCTGACGGTGGATTCTCTGCCTTCTCTCAACTTAGTCCCTCTTTGTCTAATGATACCTTTAGATTTCAGGATTTTGCAAAAATTACAATGCAGTCAGTGGGAGTCTTAAAACTAAAATACTGTTTTCCTTCCCATTTTTTATGCTAGCTTTCAGCAGGTAAAAAGTGCTGCCCTATAGTTTACTGAGTTCATACGCTGCAGGTGGGCTAGAAATTAAAGGGAAACTAACATTACATATACAAAACATCCCCCACACCTTCATTATTTGTTTTGTTGTTTACTCCAGGTTCCCTATCCATTAAGGATTGACATTATCTTGCTAATCATTTAACACCAGTGTGGTTTTGGGACTTATTAAGCTCATAACTGTATTATGCTACTACCCTAAAGGAGCTGTACAATAACATTGCAAAACTAATTTGTCACTCTTTTTCTTAAAATGTTGACAGATCTGAAACTGTACTTTTGTCATATGTGCAGTTGTTTTGCAACCTGTAATGCTGATATTTGCTGTCAAATGAATAAAGAATTAAAAAATATAAATACAAACATGTATTTCTAATAGTAGTGTTTCTTCCTATCAATTAAGATTGTATCATCTCAGCCTAGCCAATGTTTCTCCAAAGTAAAACATTGTGGGGCCTAATACACATGAACAGTAATGTGCACCAAGCATTTCCCCATATGAATGCATGATACAAATACACGATGGTCACGGGCCAGTAGATTGCACAATAGGAATCATCTATGATGACTGTGTGTTCTTAAGAGTGTCCCTCCTTTAAAGTGGCTCTGTCACCGTCTGGGGCCTTGGCATAATTGGCAGAGATACCTGGTGGTTACATCCCAGTGGCCATGGAAGGCAAGTTATACTTACCTAAACCTGTCCGTCACAGACTCCTTGAGCTTCGACTGTCAGGAGCCGGTGAGAGTACAACACTATGGAGGTGTATGTGGAGGTCTATGGAGGATCCCACGAGACAGAGGGATCCTTCATACAAAGATTTTTTTCCCCCAACACAGTAAGTGTGAGTATTTCATAAAGATGTTATATTTATGAAATACTTATTTTTAAAATGGGATATGTGACAGACTTGCTTTAAAAGCATTTCATTTCATAAGCCTTCTTTATTTATGGCCCTCCAGTAGCATATTAACGACACATACTGCAGTGTAGCACTTTTCAAGTACAGCCAAAAATCACGATGAAGTGATATGTGTCTCTAGAAAACAAGGTATATCTGGCAATTGTATGCGCAGTATATTTAGGGAGTTGGCTAGACAAAGCGGTAGTTATGACGTCCCAGTTAGAAGATTTAAAACAGACCTCATCTTTCTTTTTTGTAATGGAAGCCAGGCTAGACAGAGTCCGAAAGTGGCAACAATGTGGCTCCACTGACGATGTTTAAAACAGATCCCATAGATCTACCCATGCCTGAACGACAGGGTGGACTTAGGGAACTGGACGGACACTGAATGTGATAATCATAGTGGTCTAGCACAGCCAGGCACAGGCAACCTTCGGCAGTCCAGATGTTTTGGACTACACCTTCCACTATGCTTTCTCAGCATTATGGGTGTAAGAGCATTATGTAGTCCACAACATCTGTAGTCCACAACATCTGGAGTGCCGAAGGTTGCCTATCCCTGGTCTAGCAGGACACACACTGAATGTGGTAGTTATAGTGTTCAGGTAAACAGACACTGAATGCGGTAGTTATGGTCCACCTATACAGACACTGAATGCGGTAGTTTTAGTGTCCATCTGGACAGACACTGAATGCGGTAGTTTTGGTGTCCATCTGGACAGACACTGAATGTGGTAGTTTTGGTGTCCATCTGGACAGACACTGAATGTGGTAGTTTTGGTGTCCATCTGGACAGACACTGAATGCGGTAGTTTTGGTGTCCATCTGGACAGACACTGAATGCGGTAGTTTTGGTGTCCATCTGGACAGACACTGAATGCGGTAGTTATGGTGTCCATCTGGACAGACATTGAATGCGGTAGTTATGGTGTCCAGCTGGACAGACACTGAATGCGGTAGTTATGGTGTCCAGCTGGACAGACACTGAATGCGGTGGTTATGGTGTCCAGCTGGACAGACACTGAATGCGGTAGTTATGGTGTCCAGCTGGACAGACACTGAATGCGGTAGTTATGGTGTCCAGCTGGACAGACACTGAATGCGGTAGTTATGGTGTCCAGCTGGACAGACACTGAATGCGGTAGTTATGGTGTCCAGCTGGACAGACACTGAATGCGGTAGTTATGGTGCCTAGCCAGACAGACACTGAATGCGGTCTGAATGCGGTAGTTATGGTGTCCAACTGGACAGACACTGAATGCGGTAGTTATGGTGTCCAGCTGGACAGGCACAGAATGCGGTAGTTATGGTGTCCAGCTGGACAGACACTGAATGCGGTAGTTATGGTGTCCAGCTGGACAGACACAGAATGCGGTAGTTATGGTGTCCAGCTGGACAGGCACAGAATGCGGTAGTTATAGTGGTCCAGTAATACTATATAACAGTGGGCTAGTGTTCAGTATGAGCCCAGTGATAGCCATTATTATTAGGGCCCATGTCTCACAGAGGGAGCCAGCTGGGGTTTAGCCCACCATGTCACCTTGTATCCCCCCCAGACAAACATCCTCCTCCCGTCAGTGACAGCTACATGGCCGCTGCGCTCCGCTGGGACACGGGCACTGGCCGCTCCTCCTGGGGAATCCTCCTCCTCGGACTCCGCCTGGGGCTCCTCGTTCCCATCTGCCATCCCTGAGTACTGGCCGCTGTGCTCTCAGACTCTGGGACCCATCAGATTGCGCTTCCCAAAGCACTCGGCAATCTCCGGAGCCCCGCCCCCTGTGACGTAGGCTGAAAGAGCCTGCCCCTCGATCCAGTGCTGTCTGCTCTTCACACTGGAAACATAGTAGGGTTCTAAAGCCCGCCTCCACCCGCCCACAATTTCACAACACCACCCTCCTCGCGGCATAACTCCGCCCCGCTCCGAATTGAAGGCGTGGTTAAGATGTCAGAGCAAAGGCGGAGCTCCGGAAATTGCCGAGTGCTGGGGGAAACATAGTGCAATGGGTTACTGAATGCGGCGCGGACTGACTGCGTCACGCGAACTCGACGAATTCTGGAAAATCTGATACTGGGCGGCCATGCTTGGTGAGGGCAGCCATTCAGTGACAGCAGTTTGCTGGACGGCCATGTTTGGGGAAGGTAGCATTCATGGTGACAGCCATGACGGCAATAATTTGTCACCTGGTAGCCATAGGTGGGAGCAATGCCCTGGTGGTCATAACTGGGGTGAGCATAGGGCTGTTCCAGATACCCCATTTCTCATGGATATACACACTTATTCATGGTTATGGGCAGTGTGTGAAAAATAGTGCGCCAAAATATGTAGAATTAATTTGCTGTAGGAGGGATAGTTGATAATAATAAATATATAATTCTTAAAGTTAAAAGTGTTTCTTACTATGTTCAGATTCAGGGCCCCATTTTATGTTTAAAAAAAAAGAAGCCATTAAAGGGTTACGCCAAACACCATAACTACTTCATTCTGTATGTGCAGACAAGTTTACCACCTTTCATTACAGATCTTTAGCTTCATGGGGCGTCATGGGCCACCCCAGAATAAGACCTGGATAATGTCAGTTCTGTGCAAATTTCGAAGCACAGACAATCAGAATGGTGAATGAGAATGGTCAGATTGTCGCTCTCAGCGGCAGGATCAACATCCAGCGTCTGCCTATTTGCTTATCAGATCGAGCAACTGGCAAGACTAGGGAAGAGGGCAAGCCATTGTAAAATGGTTTGCCCCATTAGCAGGGAACACCACCGTGGTACTCTTGCTATCATAACCACTACAGAGGGCTGTAGTGGTTATCATGGTTGGTAATCCTTTAACCTTACCTGTAATCCATTGCCAGGACAGTCTCTTTTCTGCAGACCACTGTGAGATCATCAGAAATGAGGATCTCTGCTCAAATCCAATGTTTCTCAAGAAGAAGCAATGCAGACTGATGGACCATGTGCGACAAGCATTGTGCTATATAAATCCAATGCTTCTCATAGAGAATTAGAAACAGCTGCATACAGCGTCATCATGCTGTGTATGATAACACTGAAAGTGAAGACCTTCCAAAATCAAATGTCTTAAAATGGCTATGTGATCCAAAAACCCTTTTGAGCATTTCTCATAGAGACTGCATTGGAATTTCACTGAAATTCAAACACAGTCAAAAGATGACATAAGACTAAGTAGCCACTATTTTATAGTAAAGCAAAGCGTGAGCTAACAAATTTTGTCAGTTCCCACAGTCATTGTTATCAGGCATTGCCATGCTTAAAGCTCACCACGCCCAACAAACCACAGACACAATGCCGTTAACCCATTAAGGACCAAACTTCTGGAATAAAAGCGAATCATGACATGTCATGTGTCCTTAAGGGGTTAAATAAAATCAGTAAGGCACGTGTGTGATTTGACGGGGGTGGTGTGGCTATGAGTATGAGTGAGCAGAAGTGGGGGTTGTCAGGATCGTGACAGGGATCCAACACGCAGAATACAAACAGGGGATAGGTACGTATACCGGACCTTAGAATGGCCGGACTAACGTAAGGAGAAAGCAAAAGAATAGTCAGAGACAAGCCGAGGTCGAGGGAACGAGAGATCAGGTAAGCGAGAGACAAGCCGAGTCAAAAGGACAAGAGAGGAAAGCAGGGTCAAAATACAAGCCGAGTCAGGAACCAAAAGACAATAGAGGTAATTGCACTGAGTGACCAGACTAGCTAGAACCACGACAGGGCAATGAATCATTCCACAGAACCCTTTTTTATACCTTGGCTCTTTAACTGTTGGCTCCGCCCCCAACGGGTCCTGATTGGTTGTTCGGCACTTGGTTGCCGTGATTGACGGGTCGGAACGTGATTGCCGTCATGACGTCGGCTACTGAGCGCCGCGTCATAAAAGGAGGCGGAGCTATCGCGGCCGGCGTGTAAACGACCGGGAGGAGTGCAAGGATCGGGTGAGTCAGCCCCCCTGGGAGGATGGACGTCTAGGTGTCTAACCTCCTCCGAGGTAGACACCAAAGGTACCCTGACAGTACCCCCCCTCTCAGAAACGCCCACCGGGCGGAAGGAACCGGGGCGGGACGGAAAACGAGCATGAAATGCCCGGAGGAGACGAGGGGCATGCACATTTTCATGGACCACCCAAGACCTTTCTTCAGGCCCATACCCCTTCCAGTCAACAAGATATTGCAACTTCCCCCGAGAAATACGAGAATCGAGAATGGATTTGATTTCATATTCCTCCTGACCCTCAACCTGGACAGCGAGAGGGGAGGACTCAGGGGAGGAAAATCTGTTGCAAACCAAAGGCTTCAATAAAGAAACATGAAAAGAGTTAGGGATGCGCAGGGCAGGCGGAAGGGCAAGACGATATGCAACCGGGTTAATCCGACACAGAACCTTGTAAGGGCCTATGTAACGAGGGGCAAATTTCATGGAAGGAACCTTCAAGCGGATGTTTCTGGTACTCAACCACACCCTATCACCCGGGGCAAAAACCGGAGCCACCCGTCTCCGTTTGTCAGCGTGTCGTTTGAACACCAAGGAATTCTGAAGAAGAATTCGTCGAGTCTGATCCCACAACTTTCTCAGATTGGCGACATGAACATCAACCGACGGAACCCCTTGGGAAGGGGAAACCGACGGAAGAATGGAAGGATGAAAGCCATAATTCAAGAAAAAGGGGCTAGAACGAGTAGAATCACAAACGAGATTGTTGTGTGCAAACTCTGCCCAAGGAATCAGACCAACCCAATCGTCCTGGTGTTCAGAAACAAAACAACGCAAATATTGTTCAATCTTTTGGTTGGTGCGTTCGGCAGCTCCGTTGGACTGGGGATGATAGGCAGAGGAGAAGTTCAACTTGATGCCTAAGTGAGAACAGAAAGACTTCCAAAAGCGGGAAACAAATTGGGAACCTCTATCAGAAACAATTTCAGAGGGAATACCATGTAGACGAAAAATCTCCCTCGCGAATATCTCAGCTAATTCGGGAGACGAGGGCAGTTTAGGCAAGGGCACGAAATGAGCCATTTTAGTAAACCTGTCAATCACCGTGAGAATAACAGTATGTTTTTTAGAAACAGGCAAATCGACAATGAAATCCATAGCCAAACACGACCATGGTCTCTCGGGAATTTCTAAGGGATGCAAAAGTCCACAAGGGAGCGCGTGAGGTTGCTTAGTCTTCATACAGACAGCACATGCCCTGACGAAATCCCTTATATCCTTACGAAGGGAAGGCCACCAGAAATCTTTAGAAATCAAGGAACACGTTTTGCGTATGCCGGGGTGCCCAGCAATTTTACTGTCATGAAAGCAATGCAGCAGTTCCACTTGGAGCTCAGGAGGAACGAAGTATCGATCCCCAGGAACAGGTTTGGGAGCTAGATGTTGTACTTTCTTGATCTCAGCAAGCAACGGCGAGTGTATCCTGACACAAGTGTTGGCAATAATATTACACTTAGGAACGATAGAAGACAAAGCTGCTTCAGACACCGTAGAGGGTTCATGTTGACGGGACAATGCATCTGCCTTAGAGTTCTTAGAACCAGGTCTATAAGTGAGCACGTAATTGAAATGTGTCAGAAACAAGGACCAACGAGCTTGCCTGGCGGACAAGCGCTTGGCCTCCCCTATGTAGGACAAATTCTTGTGATCAGTCAAAATAGTAACCGGGTATAATGTCCCCTCCAACAAATGTCTCCATTCCTTTAAAGCCATAATGACCGCTAACAGTTCCCTATCACCAATGTCATATCTACTTTCAGGCCCGGATAATTTCTTGGAAAAAAAACCACAAGGATGTAACGGTTTATCCAAACCTAGCCTTTGGGACAAGATAGCGCCTATACCTGTCTCCGAGGCGTCAACCTCGAGTAAAAAAGGCAAAGATGTGTCAGGATGAACTAATATCGGTGCTGAGGCAAAATGTTCCTTGAGAGTTTTGAAAGCAGAGAGAGCCTCTGTGGACCAAGTCTTGGTATCAGCCCCTGTCTAGTCATATTAGTAATAGGAGCAATAATAGAAGAGTAACCTTTAATGAAGCGCCTATAATAATTGGAAAATCCGATAAATCTCTGAATGGCCTTGAGTCCCCTGGGCAATGGCCAATCTAAAATCGATTGGAGTTTAATGGGGTCCATCCTAAATCCGTCTCCAGAAATAGCGTAGCCAAGAAAGTTTATCTGAGATTGGTCGAAGCTACACTTTTCCAATTTGCAGTACAATCCATGTTGTAACAGTTTGCGCAGTACCCTTCTGACTTGTCTGTGGTGAGTCTCAATCTCTCTAGAGTGTATTAGTATATCATCCAAATATACTATAACGCATTCATGCTGAAATTCCCTAAGAACCTCATTAATAAGGTCCTGGAATACTGCAGGTGCATTGCAAAGCCCGAAGGGCATTACCGTGTATTCATAGTGGCCATAACGGGTATTGAAAGCTGTTTTCCATTCGTCTCCCTGCTGAATTCTCACCAAGTTATAAGCTCCCCTCAAATCTAACTTGGTAAAAATCTTGGAGCCTTTCAGTCGATCAAAGAGCTCAGTAATTAAAGGAATAGGATAAGCATTTCTAACAGTTATCTTATTCAAGCCCCGATAATCAATGCAAGGCCGTAGAGTGCCGTCTTTTTTATCTACAAAAAAGAAACCGGCCCCGGCCGGAGAAGATGATCTCCTAATAAAA